TCAAGGCTCTGTTCGCTACGGCACATGACCGGCTCATTGACTCATTCTCACTTGGGCCAAGGCAGTCGGCGATTCCCAGCCTTCGGCTTCGACCTGGGACAGCGCTAGGCCTACGGTAGGTGAGATGTTCCTTGAAGTCTCAGCTCTCGTCCTCCCAGGGCCATAAAGATGCCCATGTTGATCCATCATCCGGCAAACTCCTGACAACAAGAACGGGTGCCGCGGCTGTAGATGTCATAGCTGAAGCACACAATATCGTGCGATTGTCCTTGCCACCACACTTTGCACTCCAGTGCCACCAGGCCTCGGCAGTTGTCTTGCTTTACTCTCAAGTTGGTACGCGCAACTTGGCTCAATCATGCTCACCAGTGCGAATGCGGATTGCCCTCCGACGCGAATGCTACTGTCGATTCTACTTGGCACCCTGCTTCACGTTCGCCAGAAGCCAACGGCACTGGCGGTGCTCGCATGAACGTCTAACTGTCTAACTTTCGCGGTCACATGAACTTTCCGCTGTTGCCACGTTTGTCACGTGGGCAGACGGCAGCAAATCTCTGCAAAACAGATGCTGGGCATGCCTGTGTTGGCATCCAGAAGATCCACAAGCTGATGATGCCGGGATCTCAGGCAGAAATGATGCGTTTGAGGCGGAAGATCACAACTGCAACCGGCCCCATTCGACGTTGAGCACAGAGGTGCGCACCATTCGTGTCGCCCGTCCTGCAAATGGACTCCCCTCTTGATTGTACTGCGAGCGCATATTATGCCAGTGACTGCATGACTGCACCTGCGAAAGGCCACGCGCCCATGGACAACGCCGGAACGTCGGAAACCACAGGATGTGGCTGTGCCATCCATGGCCGGTGCCTGGTTTCGACTCCCAAATGCCCCTGCGACACTTCAGACTTCATCGAGTGCCCCACCTGGACAATGAGCTCAGGCGATGGAACCACGAGGCAGAACTCCATTTTCGGCCTGCCCGAATCTTGCCCGGCGTTCCTTTCCCACCTGACCTGTCCCGCTCCACGTGCCGCACGCGGAAGGGGCTAGTGGGTCAAGTGGGGCGGAGAAAGTTAATCTTCCGCCCTGTGCGGAGGCAATGACGCTTGGACAGGAAATGTCCTGGCTAAGGCCGCCGCTGGTCCATGAACGCGTCGTTGCGCCCGCAGACTTGCCAGAGTCCCACCTGATGGGCATGGGCATGTCCGCCCAAACCACTACCATGCCGGAGCTTAGTCCCAATCGCCCTCGAAGTCTCTGCCTCCCAAGGCCATCGACCGCCATGCTGTGCCCGAGCTACAGCACTCTCAGGCCTCACAGACTGGCAAAACACGATTCGAACCGTGTGCCGCTTGTAACGTAGGACTTGAGCATGGGCTAAGGCTAAGGTCTTGGCGCCTCTCCTGGACGCTCTGCATTGTGAGTCACAACCTTGGTAGTGTCATGAAGTGTCGATCTCGGGTTGGGGCAGGGCCCTGCAGATTGGATGCAAAGGCCCCAGGAATCCCAAGGACTAGCCGCATCAGTAGGCCAGCTGCCCACATAGGCCCTTCCAGGGCATCCTGCAGAGTGAGCTGCGTGAAACGCACCACTCCTGAACTGTTGGGGAACGGTCCCTGTCCTGGCAATACCAAACGAAATTGCCACTGGAGACTCCGGTCCTGAGCTGACTCTGACGGGGTTTCTGAACACCTTTGCTGGGTTACTCTAGGACCGCCACTGGCGGTAGCACGGTCGACCATTGTGAGCTCCGATATACTCGTAGACCCCACAGATGGCCTTTAGAAGCAGAATCGGCATACGCATACACTATGCTCTGACTACACCCAGACCTTGGCGTACGGTGACCGCACACCGGTGCATCTGATGAGAGGCGGAACGGACATCGCCCATCGGGATCAATGCTGCATGGACGGCTTCCGAATCTCTTGTTGCCGTGGTATGGAGGGTTTCGTAGCGTGGCTCAGCGAACCGGTAGCCTCATGTGCGAGTTTGAGCTTCTTTGATTTGGACTGGCCATCTGAACGTCTGGGAAATCACTTAAGACTTTATAAGCTGGTCTTGAAAATGAATGATCTACAAACCGAGCCGTGATACTGATACACTCTTCCTGGTTTGATGCAAGCTGAGATCCGCCAGGTCCACGTATATCATGCAAATATGCATTGCTTTGCACCGTCTCGCCAGCGGATCGTCCCTGGAAGGGTCGCCTGCTTAAATATTGCTGGATCTGGATACTGTTGATCCCTGTGCCGATGTACAGCACGCAAAATCCGTCGTTGAGGCAGTGCGCGTTTCACACTGGTCAGATCTCGCTAGTAGAGCCTGTAGACCCTGAACGCACATTCGTGTCGGAAAGGGCCGTCGTGTGTCTGCCACGGAGTGCACTGAAGGCATCCGGTCAGACATCCATCACGGAGTCGATAGGTCGATCTGGAGACGAGCTTCCTGCTACAAGGCTCCCAAATTTCCGAAAACCGCTCAGCGAAGGTTTCAGGTTCGGACCTGGCCTATCACACGCCCTTGTCCAGCTGGCCAGAACTGGATGGGCTGCAATGGAACTTCCTCGCCATCCAGGCTGAAGTACCCACGGGCCTCATTGCAGAAATCACTGGATGTTCGGGGATCGTGGCTGCGGCTACGTGTGTTTAGATTTAGCTGTCCAACAAACTTCTACCACCGACGCTTGTCCTGCCCCATGCGCCAGTTCGCACAGCCAATCAAGAAAGCCCATATACGGGTAAAACAGCCGTGTCTACTAACATCCGGAGCCCAGGGACGTCGGTTGAAAGCGGACGAAGGCGGAAGGCCCTGCACTCCTCAGCTGGGCAAGGGAACGTCCTCTGATGTGACCTACTACGAGAATGGGTATTCAGTCGTAATTCTGAAGTTGTATGCTTGCGCTGATCCCTGTTCGGGTTCTCTGAAGAGCAAAGCATCCAGCTTTTCGGTGCCTTCCACATCAAGGTGCCCGCCGTCAGATTCCAGAGCGAGTAGGAAACGAGTGAGAGCAACCCGTCCTGCGTTGCGGAGAAGAACTATGGAGCACACGCCGTCTCCCATGGACTGTCCCGGTGCCAACTGCGTGTTGTACGAAGTCCATTCCATGTTGGAACTCCAGAAAACGGTGAAAGCTCCCGAGACGGAGGCCCAGGGACCTGTTGGCAGCTCGGAGTCGATGCTCGGTGCACTCGGCGGCGGCTGCTCAGCGTGGCTGGCCGGCCAATAATGCAGCTCGGCCAGCAGCGGTCGGGGATACACGATACAGACCCCAGCATAGAGCGTGAACCGGAAGCCTCCCATAAAACGCAGCCACTCAGAACCCAGGTCCACGTCGGCGATGACGCCCGCAGACAAGCCCAAAAAGGAGGTTCGATCTGGCTTGTTCGGCTGGGACACGGTCATCAGGTCCAGGTCTTGCTGGTGGCCCTTTGCTATGACAAAGGCTGCATCCAAAACACCGAAGGCCTCACCAGAGGAGTGGAGGATGCTCTTGGCCAGGGCATTCCCACTGCCTGCAGGAATGTGGCCAACAGCGATTCGCAAAGCCTCCGCTCGGTCGCTCCGTGAAGCGAGGCCGTTGAAAACTTCGTGAACCATGCCATCGCCACTGACCACAATGATGCCGTCGCACTGTCGGGGATCCAGCTGGGAAGAAATATCCCCTGCTTCTCCCGCACGCGTTGTAAAGGTTTCAGTGATATGTAAGTATGGCAAAGCATCGAAGAGCTCGCGAGCTTGCTGCCATCGAGATGCAGCCTGTCCACTGCCACTGGCAGGGTTAATGAGGGCATGATACTTACGCTGTCCCTTTACCTTGCACTTCTCATTCAATTGACTGATCCACTCATTGACAGCAGCCAAAACCTTCTCCTCGCCGCCAACGTGCAGGACTATGTCTCTCCGTACTCGAGCTCCAGAACTTACAGGGCAGTGCACCAAGCGCACGAGCCTTGCAGCCGTGTCCAGGACAGCCCCCAGAAGATCCTCGAATCTTAAAAGCTCGCTCCCTACGCGGAGATTTCTCGCGCTTTCACGCCCTGCGCAGCAGCACCAACGCCGTGGCTGACGCTCAGCCAGGCTCTGGCTTGGCGTCTGAGTGGCTCCGTCACCCTCCAGCTCCGCACCAATGACTAGTCCGCTGGGAACTATCTTCGTGTGCACAGAAGGGCCAACCGCACCTCCTGCCTCTACCACCCCGCACAATCCACCGGCTATTTGCCACAGGTCATCCATGGCGACCGAGTATGCCGTGTCTTTCAGGGAGCCGCATCTTCGCGTGTGCAGCGTGCTTGCACCGACTTGACCACGTCCATCCAAACAAGGGTGTGTGCAAGCCAAAGCAAGCCATTCTTTCGCACCTGTGCTGAACAGCTTCGTCCTTACCATAGGGGTGGGATGTGGGAAGACTTTGCGGTCTGTACAGCAGGGCGACTTGGAGGTCTCTTCCAGCAGCTCTCTGTTGCATGTGCTAGAGACATTATCTCAACTAAGATTTCAATGGCAACGTTTGATAGCATGCAGCTAAATCACAGAGACAAAAATTCAACTGGAATCGACGCGCTTCGCGGCTTCACGCGTGCAGGACACATCGTGTGCCAGTTTGGCAGCCGGACAAGGGGAAAGGACATTCTACGGGAGACAGCCCCGGATGCAGCTCACACGTCGGAGATCCTGCGCGCAACGTACGCAATGCAAAGGAACTGCATCACAGGTAACTACACTCCGTCATGCAAGAGCACCCGTCTGTCCTGAGCCAAGTCACCAGCACGGAGCGGGGTGTGATCTGGAATTCTATCCGGAACCTGGAGCGCTATGCGGGGTTCCCCCATGCCTTCTGCACAAACCAGCGGACCTTTGCAGTGCACACAAACATTGCGTTTTCCACTGCATGAATTGGTGAGCATCTGTACCTTGATAGCCCTGGTGAGACAGTCTACATTGTATCCATCTACGACGAAATTGGTGCAGAAAAGCTTGCACTTGTTGGTGCAATCCTTCTACAGTGCCGGTGCAAAGGGAGATGCCAGCACGGGCCGTTGGACCGCCGGCTGCCCAACACCAAAAGGAGTCGAAAGGGGCTGCTTCGAGATTTGTCCAAAGGGATTTGCAAGCGGTTGAGCACTGCTTGCCTCCTGCCGGGAGTTCGCAGGCACAGGAGGCACGTGAGCACTTGCCTGGCCCAGACCTTGCGGAGCATAGACTGGATGAGCCAGGGACGGCATTGCGTGTGAGGGCAGCTCCACGCCGCCGTGCATCGACGAGCTTACAGGGCCTGTGGCTGGCGGAGGCGGTGGCAAACCACTCTGCCAATCCCCCCGTGTCGCATCGCAAGCCGTCGTTGCCGGAGCCAGATTGTTGGACAGGCCTCTGCCGGTGTGGAACCGGAAAGCTTCAGCCTCTGCCCGCTCTTCTTCCGTCTCGCCACCTCGCAGTTTCCAGACTTTCTCTGCCTCATCGAAGTAGAACCGATTCTCCACACCCACCGATTGATCTTTAGGCCCGAAAGCATCAATCAATGTCTTTAATCTCGTGAGCAAGGCTTGGATCATCTGCTGCATAACCCCGAGGGATTGAGAACCATCCTGGCTGGGGGTATAGCTGACCTGCGGCGCTGAACCCGATTCAGGATCCATGAGGCCGGTTTGTGAATTGGAGAAGTCACTAGCGGCCCGGGCAGCTACACTCAAGCAGCTTGAAGGATATGAAGCAGAGCCATATTCAACGAGCATCGTCTCTGTGAAAGCTCGGAAAGCTTACTGGACATCAGGAAAGGCCTGGAACCTGGCCGCCCTTGGATGCACCAGGCATGCTCCTCCGCGGCTACAGTCGCAGATGCTCGAGACACGCTCGCTGCTCTGCTCTCGGAAGGGGCCTCCGGGTGGCCGAGGATCGGGCTCGGGCCCTTCACGTCCACGAGCTGGCACAAGGGGAGCAGGACACATGGATGAAGGTCGGTATCTGTGAAGCGAGGTGCAATGCAAAATCCAGAGACCACAACATAGAGAGTCCCACAGCTCTCTTTTCTGCGAACCGTGGGTGTCGGCTTCCCTAGTGGCTGTTGAGCTTGTGGATTGTACCACACTCGCATACACCACAGGAAGGCATCCTAAAGCTGTACACACCCCTCAAAGGTGAGACTGGGACTCACCTTGGCGTGTGACAAAGTGGCTCACAAACATTCAGTCTGCACTTCGGATGGGACTTGGCACCGCGCTTACTACAAAGATACCGCCTCGGTGACGGCATTGTAGTAGCTGGGAGTGGCCTGCAGGAGCTGTCGGAGTGACTCCTAGACAGGTCCTAGCTGCAGGCGGACCTTCGCGACCGTTGGCTGGCTCTGGGTCTTCGCCATCGGCTTCGCGACAAGCGGCCCAAGGCACAGCCTGAGGGAGACATGGTATCCACCGCGAGATATGAGGCTCTTCCACAGGAGCCGCGCTTGCCGACCAGCCCTTCCATACCTCAAAAATGTGCTCGACCGCGGTTGCTCAAGGAACTGTACGTGCTGTTGGTGACGAGGGTTCTCTTCACACCTTCAGCCAAGGTCCCCGGCTCACCCATGGGTGTGCCTTGTGGAAGAGGCTGGTCATGTCCTTCCCGGCCTTGTGACTGTTCGTTCACATGCCACTACCACTACAGCACTGGAATCGCAAAATCATCTCTGTCACTAGAGGCAGGGTGGGGCAGGGTGGAGCAACGCCCAAAAGAGCTTCTCTACACTCGGGCGACTCGACTCGAAGATCACCTAATTCTAGCGCCTGCCGCTCTGCGTAGCTTAGGCCTGCACCCCCTGCATGATCTGCTTTTTGCCACCAGGATGGAAATCAATGTAGGCAGAAATCTTGGCAACAAAAACTCTTCACGGCACCACGACGGGTTACCAGAATCACAATTGCTTCACGGCTGTGACCCGTGCATCGTAGACACGGCCCTGGAAAATTGTCCAACAGTCTCCGACTTGGTTGTGCCTGGTGAGCCCAACTTGCCCGCGACCATGTCAAGAGCGCAACACCGATTGTACTTGGGCCTTGCCACTTCTTCGGCGGTGAGCACTGTACCTTCTTCGAGCTGCGCCTTGATGACCCAACGGCGGTGACCATCTGGGGAAGGCTCTGACTGCCTCGCTGCACTGAGTCTGCAACCTTCGGGTTCTTGTTTCCCTCCAGCATCTGCAGGAATTGGAGCTGGCTTCCGCCGGCCCTCAGTGTGAGCTCTGAGTGGGCAGGACTATCCGCCTGGCTTGGCTCATGTTCTGTCGGAGGTACTTCTGAAACTTGGCGCCGCTGGGACATTTCCGCTGCGGCGGCAGCAAGAGCTTCTCTGCCCTTGGCTCTGGCGAATAGCCTGCTGCGGATCTTCAAAAGCCCTTCCAAGCCGCATATCCTCGGATTGGCCTCCTGGGCCGGGTGAGGCCTCAGCTCCACCCTGACATGGTAGACATGAGCACGGTATTGGGAAGCACCTGGACTCCGAATACCCGGCCTTGGGGACGGAGTTATCACTTGCAAGCTCTGCTCGACAAGCCTTGCACCGAAGATCCACAACTCACCGACATGGCAATGCATGCAACATGTGCAGCACTCTTAGCGGCGAACGATTCGAAATCGATGTTGAGCCGCGTCAGGATATCGCCGTTCGAAAATCTGGCGGGAAGAACACAATTTCTATGTGCAGCGACGATCAACCTACTGTAGCGGCCCGAGGGGCCCTGGCCCTCTGCTTTTGGGATCCCCTCGCGGCATGCGGCCCGGCAGTAAGGCTCCGGCATCTCGCGGCGTGATGCGCACCGGGGGGTCCGCTTCCTTGACTCAGCGACCCCAACCCCAAAGCTGGCAATCTGCCATCCAGTTTTGTCCTTGACTGTCATGAATTGGCAGCAAGCACGAATGCACGGCACTGAGGCACGGTCTGCCAGGATTTCCAGCTCGGCGAGGGAAGAGAGGCCTCTCGGTCCAAAAGGGAAGTAACAGCAATGGCGTCTTGAAGAAGAAATTTGAGAAATGCAGCTCCGACCTGTCAGATGTTGAACGGCCTCAGTCTGAGTTGCTTCCTTCGCGCTCTGAGCTCGTTTTCGCAGAACAGTCCAGGCGCCAGGCTGAACGCAGCTGTGTTCCGAACTCTTTGGCTGCAGTCCCCTCCGTCCACCCGAAGACCACCGACTGGGCAGCAGCAAGTCAGATTTGGAGAGTCGCACCTTAACGGGACCCGTGCCTTCTCTTCGAAGATGAGGGTTACGGCCATACCGGGCCCGGCCTCTGCACATGCGGATGAGACCACGCCAGCTTGCACACCACACTACCCTGAGGTTACTGTGTGCTCATGCAAAGCCTGCACTCCGATGGATGCTCTGATTGACAGCTCACTGGATGAAGCCAGCCAGTGCCGCCACCCAGCGCCCTCCAGTCTGGGTGACTTTTTGAACCCGACAGATACAAACACAACCTGCAAGGCCTTCGAAATCACCTGTGGCATCTAGGCCATCTGGACACGACATGCACTCTGATGGATGCTCTGATTGACAGCTCACTGGATGAAGCCAGCCAGTGCCGCCACCCAGCGCCCTCCAGTCTTGGTGACTTTTTGAACCCGACAGATACAAACACAACCTGCAAGGCCTTCGAAATCACCTGTGGCATCTAGGCCATCTGGACACGACATGCACTCTGATGGATGCTCTGATTGACAGCTCACTGGATGAAGCCAGCCAGTGCCGCCACCCAGCGCCCTCCAGTCTTGGTGACTTTTGAACCCGACAGATACAAACACAACCTGCAAGGCCTTCGAAATCACCTGTGGCATCTAGGCCATCTGGACACGACATGCACTCTGATGGATGCTCTGATTGACAGCTCACTGGATGAAGCCAGCCAGTGCCGCCACCCGGCGCCCTCCAGTCTTGGTGACTCTTTGAACCCGACAGATACAAACACAACCTGCAAGGCCTTCGAAATCACCTGTGGCATCTAGGCCATCTGGGCACGACATGCACTCTGATGGATGCTCTGATTGACAGCTCACTGGATGAAGCCAGCCAGTGCCGCCACCCGGCGCCCTCCAGTCTTGGTGACTTTTTGAACCCGACAGATACAAACACAACCTGCAAGGCCTTCGAAATCACCTGTGGCATCCAGGCCATCTGGACACGACATGCACTCTGATGGATGCTCTGATTGACAGCTCACTGGATGAAGCCAGCCAGTGCCGCCACCCAGCGCCCTCCAGTCTTGGTGACTTTTTGAACCCGACAGATACAAACACAACCTGCAAGGCCTTCGAAATCACCTGAGGCATCTAGGCCATCTGGACACGACATGCACTCTGATGGATGCTCTGATTGACAGCTCACTGGATGAAGCCAGCCAGTGCCGCCACCCAGCGCCCTCCAGTCTTAGTGGCGTTTTGAACCCGACAGATACAAACACAACCTGCAAGGCCTTCGAAATCACCTGTGGCATCTAGGCCATCTGGACACGACATGCACCCTGATGGATGCTCTGATTGACAGCTCACTGGATGAAGCCAGCCAGTGCCGCCACCCAGCGCCCTCCAGTCTTGGTGACTTTTTGAACCCGACAGATACAAACACAACCTGCAAGGCCTTCGAAATCACCTGTGGCATCTAGGCCATCTGGACACGACATGCACTCTGATGGATGCTCTGATTGACAGCTCACTGGATGAAGCCAGCCAGTGCCGCCACCCAGCGCCCTCCAGTCTTGGTGACTTTTTGAACCCGACAGATACAAACACAACCTGCAAGGCCTTCGAAATCACCTGTGGCATCTAGGCCATCTGGACACGACATGCACCCTGATGGATGCTCTGATTGACAGCTCACTGGATGAAGCCAGCCAGTGCAGCACCCAGCGCACTCTGTGGCATCTAGGCCATCTGGACACGACATGCACTCTGATGGATGCTCTGATTGACAGCTCACTGGATGAAGCCAGCCAGTGCCGCCACCCAGCGCCCTCCAGTCTTGGTGACTTTTTGAACCCGACAGATACAAACACAACCTGCAAGGCCTTCGAAATCACCTGCAGCATCTAGGCCATCTGGACACGACATGCACTCTGATGGATGCTCTGATTGACAGCTCACTGGATGAAGCCAGCCAGTGCCGCCACCCAGCGCCCTCCAGTCTTGGTGACTTTTTGAACCCGACAGATACAAACACAACCTGCAAGGCCTTCGAAATCACCTGTGGAATCTAGGCCATCTGGACACGACATGCACTCTGATGGATGCTCTGATTGACAGCTCACTGGATGAAGCCGACCAGTGCCGCCACCCAGCGCCCTCCAGTCTTGGTGACGTTTTGAACCCGACAGATACAAACACAACCTGCAAGGCCTTCGAAATCACCTGCGGCATCTAGGCCATCTGGACACGACATGCACCCTGATGGATGCTCTGATTGACAGCTCACTGGATGAAGCCAGCCAGTACCGCCACCGAGCGCTCTCCAGTCTTGGTGACTTTTTGAGCCCGACAGATACAAACGCAAGCTTCGAAATCACCTGTGGAATCAAGGCCATCTGGGCACGACATGCACTCTGATGGATGCTCTGATTGACAGCTCACTGGATGAAGCCAGCCAGTGCCGCCACCCGGCGCCCTCCAGTCTTGGTGACTTTTTGAACCCGACAGATACAAACACAACCTGCAAGGCCTTCGAAATCACCTGTGGCATCTAGGCCATCTGGACACGACATGCACTCTGATGGATGCTCTGATTGACAGCTCACTGGATGAAGCCAGCCAGTGCCGCCACCCAGCGCCCTCCAGTCTTGGTGACTTTTTGAACCCGACAGATACAAACACAACCTGCAAGGCCTTCGAAATCACCTGTGGCATCTAGGCCATCCGGACACGACATGCACTCTGATGGATGCTCTGATTGACAGCTCACTGGATGAAGCCAGCCAGTGCCGCCACCCAGCGCCCTCCAGTCTTGGTGACTTTTTGAACCCGACAGATACAAACACAACCTGCAAGGCCTTCGAAATCACCTGCGGCATCTAGGCCATCTGGGCACGACATGCACCCTGATGGATGCTCTGATTGACAGCTCACTGGATGAAGCCAGCCAGTGCCGCCACCCGGCGCCCTCCAGTCTTGGTGACTTTTTGAACCCGACAGATACAAACACAACCTGCAAGGCCTTCGAAATCACCTGTGGCATCTAGGCCATCTGGGCACGACATGCACTCTGATGGATGCTCTGATTGACAGCTTGCTGGATGAAGCCAGCCAGTGCCGCCACCCAGCGCCCTCCAGTCTCGGTGAGTTCTTGAACTTGACAGGTGGAAACACAACCTGCAAGGCCTTCGAAATCACCTGTCGATTCCAAGGACATGAGCCCCTTGAACTTGTAAGATAGAAAGGAAGTCAACGATGCCAATATTGCATCTGTCACGCATCTTCGAAAATGACGGCTGATGTGTACCAACACCGCTCCAAGGCCGTTTTGACACCACCCTTGTCATGGCGTCTGCACCTTGGAACAGCTGAGGCCACTGCCTGAACTCAGACCCGGGTTCGTCCCATTAGAAGCAGGTCGGCCAGGGCTGAAGCAGGCTAGAATGCTTTGGAGGCGTGACCTACTGTACCTCTCAGCTGAGGGATCTGCAGGGTCCCAAACCCGATCTGCTCGTGCTGCACATGATGATTATACTATTAAATAGTATAGGTCCTATAAGGGATCTAATTACAAGTATAAGGGTACTATAATACAGGGGCCTTAATAATTAATGTATCACTGTATCAATCTGTATCACTCATCGCGGCTACCTCTGCAAAGGAGATCGACTGTACTGGGTTGAGATGCCTTAACGCGGCCCACATATGGTATGCTAGGTCCAAACAATCTTCAACCACCCCAGGGAGCCAAAAGCAAGCTGCAGTGCTCCGAAGAGATCTTTGCCGTAAACCGACAGCTTATTTCGTGTGCAGCAGGGTCCACCTTGCGCCTGCTCCGCGGTTGTGCAGGATAGTACACCTGAGAAGTGTCCTGGTGAAGCCACGGCCGTCGACATTTCAGAAGTTCCGTCATGACATGTCTTGTCCTCGTCGCCCAGAACGTGGAAGTATTCGACTCCGGACTCACCAACCGTGATCTCTGCCGCAAACCTGGGCCATCTCCCCCTCAAGACCGAGGACCGAGGGCTTTGGGACGGAGAGGGGTCTCCGGGGTCCAGGCAGTCCGGGCAGCCCCGGGAGTTCTGCCATGGTCGTGCAGCTCCAGCCTGGGCCCCACTGCAGCAGCTCTGAGGACGCTTCTTTCGACTTTCCTTTCTTTCTTTCACCAGGCTTGAGCGGCCAACCCCCCGCTGCGGGCAGCCCGTTGTTGGCTGGACGCACTGTATTAAGTGCGGTAGGCTAGACTACAGGCGTCAGAACACATGGTATCACCAACTCAGTTACGGCGTGTAGTCTACCACTAGACCAGACTAGAACTCGTTGCCGCCCCGACACAAGCAACAAGCAGGTAACACAAAACCATGCAGTATCACAGGATGGGCCGACGCAGCGAGTGGTATGCCAGGTGTGCCGTGTTCACGCCCGCAAGCTTCCACTGGGCATGATTTGCCCCTGTACTGCAGTTCTGGGCAAAGTGGGCTCGCCTCGAAAGTGTCTGGTGCGTCGTTACCCCCCGTGGCTTGGCTCAACGTTCAACGACCCACTCTTCTCGCAAACTCACACTGCTGACGATGCTATGCTATGCACGTGCGACTGGTGTTGCCTGCGGGAGTAGGGTTTTCTAGGCCTCGCTGCCGCCCCGAAAGAAGCAACAAAGGTAACCAGGACTTTGCAGTATCACAGTACGGCTGTCGCAGCGGGCTAGGAGTAGGGTTAGTGTGGCCTCACTGCCGCCCCGAAAGAAGCAGCAACTGTAGCTAGGACTCTGCAGTTTGACAGTACGGCTGTCGCAGTGGGCCAGTGGTAGGTTAGCCAAGTCGCAAAGCACTCCCCGACCGCTGCCCCGTTCTAACACAAACTTTCCAAAGCTACCTCTCTCTCTCTTTTTCTTGGGGCTGCGCCGTTGAAGCTGCCCGCCAGGCCAAACCTCACGCGGTGGGGCTGCCAGGATTCAGCATAGCCAAGAGCACCAGCTGCCCGAGCCTCTTGTGCGCCTTTGGATCTGGCGGAGTATCCACCACTTCACGCCAAACCTCCAGAATCCCCATTTTGCCCAGGACAGCAAGCAAGACATGGAGGTAGGAGGTGCTGTTGCTTGGTTGTGTACACGGGATACAACACCAAAGCCACTTATGCCTTGGATCCTCGAGCCGCAGCACTGAGGTTGCGGCCGCTGCACCACTGGCATCCACTTCTACCTCGTAGACTTTGCCAATCTTGTCCTGCGACGGGCGAGCGGGCTCATGAAGGGAGCAGAACTATGCGGTCTTTCGCTTCTGACCTTCTGCCTTTACGTGTCTTCGCAAATTCTGCAGACGGAACGCGCCTCGCTTAAGGGTGCTCCGTTGGTCTCCCACTCCTGGATGCAATGTCGTTAGAAACCCTTAGTCAGAAACTGCTTGGCACCGACACGTCAGTCTGAGTCCTCAGGGTCGAGGCTGTGCTTGAAGACGTCGGGCGGCAGCGCCTGGCAGCAATGGAAGCACCAGAACGATCATGATGCCAGCTGCGCAGAGGAAAAGCACCACAAAGACTCCAGCAGCTGTTGGGCGGGGAGAGGGCAGCAAGTTTGCTGCTACAGGTTCACTTCACCGAGATCACTCAGATCCGACTGCAGGGGGAGCTCGACGGCTGGGCTCACTTCGCTGGAGACCTGGCCCTTCTTGCCAGTCCCTGCAGATTTGCGGCCCAGCGACCACAAATACACCATCTTGTCCTCCTCTGTTTTCAGATCGGCCCACTCGAAATACGGCACAGTCATGCACACATACCCCTCCATTTCCAAGGTTCGTTGGTGCAGCTTGCTGTAGGCGGTCCTCTCGGTTGTGCCGGCATAGTAGCCATACGGACCCACGGCACAAACCACTGCTTTGCTGACGGGAAGCCAGATGTCCAGCACCTGGTCGTCGATAATGGGCTTCAGTTCGACGCTGACGTCCATCTTGCGCAGCGTGCCTCGCACCTCCCTCATCCACCGAGACTCAAAAGTGGTGATTTTGACTTGCGTGGTTTCGAAGGTGTGCAACGCATCCCGGCACTCCATGCTCAGGCTCTTGAACAAGGCTGGATGGAGACGCCGGAAGGCCACACTGGTCGGCTTCAAAACCCGACGCTGATAATCCCCCAGCTCGTCCTTCGACCATGCTAAGAGTGTCAGGAGCTTTGCCGCCACGTCGTCAGAGGTTCCAACCAAAGCCACAAGTGTGCGGAAGAGAAGGACCAAGGCCTGAAGATCAAAGACATCCTGGTCACGGAGGCTGCCGGATCGCCGATACTGTGGGCCAAGCTCCAGTGCACGGTCCAGCTTCTTCACGGCAGCGTCCTCAAAGGCTTTGGCGAGTTTGACGTTGTTGAAATCCAGCTTGGCAAAGGCATTCATGGCTGTCGCAAGCGTCTCCTGGCTGAAGAGGTGCCGCTGGGCACAGCGGCGGCACATCTTTGCGATGACAATGAGTGCCTGCTCGTCTCGCCGATCCACTCGCGCCATGGCACTGACGAGGATCGTCAGCTCCAGTGGATTCATCGTCCAGACGAGTCGATTTAAAGACATTGCTGCGAGCCGCCAGAAACGGGGGCGATAGATGTAGAAGTGCGCAACGGCATTGCTGATGAGCGCAACATCCTTCCCAGTCCATTCCTCTTTCCTCTGACAGAGCACGTTCAGCAAGAGGTGGAGGTTGTCAGTTCGCTCATACTCCAACTTCTTGTGCGCAAGCAAGAGCAGGACAAGCTCTTCCGTGTTGAAAGAGTCGATGTGTCGAAGAATAAATGGGGAAAGAGTGTCCAGAGCCCTTGCGTCCCGATATTTTATCCTGGCAAAGGCACGGAACATCAGAGAAATGTCCGTGGCCCCGATCAGCGTGCCTGTCATTAGCACTCTCTGCGCGAAGCGCGCCCAGACCTCCTCACTGCGAACACCACGTCTGGCGCAGCTCCACATCTTCTTGGCAAGCGGCCCGGCCTTCAGCCCAGAGCCAGAGCCCTCAGAGGGCGAGACTTCGTCAAGGAGATCTTCGGGTCTTGCCTGATCCAGGATGTCCTGCGCCTCCGTTAGCGTCTGACCGACTTCAGCCAAGATTGGCGTTGCGCGCTCGGAGGCTCCTCCCTTCTTCCTTCTCCCGGGGAACCCCCCGCCAGGGCCGCCAGGGCCGCCAGGCGGGCCGGATGCGACACCTTGGGATGCTGCCCTTCTGAGTCTGAGAACCACCTTCTGCGTCTCCTTGCGCCAGCTGTGGAGGCCCACGGCGAGTACTCTCTGCCCGAGCCGCCGCGCCCAGATCCGCGGCTGCATGGGGCCCCGCTCAGCATGGAGGCATGCTGGCTCTTCAAGAGCATCTTAATTTGTTTTATCTCGGTGCTTTGCTAACGTCGTTACCGTCATGAGTCATGATCACCTTAGTACACGAAGGGTGGCCTTGGCTGTAAGATAAAAAAAAACAAAATGCGCAGAGGATTGAACAGTTCTGCGCGGTCTTAGGGTGGCTCAATCAGTGTTCGGAGTACCCCCACAAGCGTCTGCTCGGGCTTGTCCAAAGCTCGATCCGAAAGCTGCAAGCCACGGCCCACAGCTATGGGGCAAGATCGACTTCACAGCTCACTGTGGAAGGGTAACGGATCACATCTCCGGAAATAGCAAACAGCTGGCCTGCATGATCTTCTGCAGCATGAGGCCCCTTTAGCGAGGAAAAGCTGGTAGACTCATAGAGATGCAGATGTCTTTCGGAGCAATGGCACCGGGCTGATCGGAGCATTTTTAGGAATGGTCCGGGATTGCGTGTTGCGTTCGCTTCTGGCGCTCCGATCGGCAGGCCTGAAGTCCTTCTTGGTGACATCCCGGGCAGTGACACAGTTTTGCCCGAATGCCCTCAGATGCCACGCTGACTGTACGAATCACGCACCAGCTGACGTGCTGGGGGCGCGGCATCGCATGGGCATTCGTGCCTGAAACATTGGAAAGACCATTGATCTGAAGGCTGACAAATCATGGAGAATGATGGAGAAGCTACAGGAAAAGCTTATATCCCGCTGCCATCTACTCTTATTGTAAAGATCCGAGATCTGCACCTCCAAAGCCGAAGGAACTGACCTGTGGTGGGAGGCCGTTTTCTCATTCCGGGTGCGAGCTGCCCTTGCCACTCACATCGAGGTTCCAGCGCCGGTGACCGCAGTGTTGTAGTGCGTCACCAAGCCCTCTGACAAGAACTGGGTCGGGAATCCTGACAGCAAGTGTGCCAAGCAGGACTCTTCTTACTTGCATCCACCAAAAGGGGTCCCAAACATGCACAATCACCGATGTTCCCGAGAGCCCTACATACACTCACCAATATCCGAATAGAAACACTGTTACATGCTACACAATGAGGCAGACCCTGGCATGCGCTAAGCCCGGTGTTGCTCTCTCGCAAGGTCGGGGCCAAAGAATGGATCAGAAAAGAGAGTGCGGGAGTTTCAACAAACGAGCGCCACATGTCAGTACATATGGCAGTATGTCAGTCCTTCCACATCCAAATGCGGATTTCTCTCACGGAGATGGATGTTTGGACTCGCCTCACAGCGCATGACCTGCGAGCTTCAAAGCAGAGAAAGTCCTCAAGGCCGGTTTCCTTACGCAAGAAGTCTGCCTGCAGGATGCACTTGATGAAGCCGGCCATGCCTGCAAAGACTTCTGAAGGGAAAGAAGGGCGAGACGGTGAGGTGGCGATGCCCCACCTGCACCACCTTCCAAGTGGCCTAGGTTGGTCTTGGAGCTCGTCACCTGGGTCGCCGCCATTGAAGAGAAGCTCTATCAAGTTCCTCCGAGCTCGGCACCATGAGTGGGTGGGCTCGCTGAGACTGGGCATAAATGCGCTTGAAAGCGCCCACCTGCAGCTGAAGGCTTGAATTTGAAGTAGCTCCACGTGGACACTGCCTCAATGGGGTCGCCGAGAGCGGTTCCCGTTCCATGCGTCTCGAAGCCTTGGGCCGCGAGTTTCGCTTTGAGCTTCGATTCTGCCGGGAGATTGAGCAAGCACTGTCTTGGGAGAAGGCAATCCACCTCCGCTGGTTGGTACTTCGCCTCAAGACTTTTCGAGGCCCAGCAGGCAGTGAATAACACCCAATCATACTGGCCTCGCGGAAGCATGCCCGGATACACCTCTCCTGGGAGGGGCCGTTGGGTGCCGTGATGCTGGCGCTGCGTCCATCCTGGTTAGCCTGTCGGAAGCGAGGCCGCCATGAAGGCTGCGAAATCGGCTTTGACAAGTTGATCAGCGCAAGATCGGTGCATATTTATAGCATATTTATCGGTTCGCACAGCACGGCTGCCAGCTGCTCTTGGCCTGACTCGCAGGCATCAGGGTGAACACCTGCGCTGCCAGAACTAGAATCACATTCCGGTGCAAGCACGGCCACGCTCACTCACGCACTCACTCGTCTTGTTCCTGCTCATCCCTTTCCCTCTCCCTTTGCTTTGCCAGGGGCATTAGACTAAGACGGGGCCATGCGAGCCCAGTCTGCGCCGACTGCAAAAAAGCAACCAACCCCGCAGAGGCCTCCCGGCCAAACTCCTTGAGCTCCAAGAAAATGCTGGACACGCCCTTGGCACGTCGTGAGAGAGCTGGCACCGAAGTCGTTTGGCGCAAAAGCTCCCAGCCTCACCCCGCAAGTACCCATCCGCTGAAACATCGTATGTAAAGCATCGGCCCTTGAAGGAGAGCATGCCACCTGTTCTGTTTCTGTTGCGCGCGGCTCAAGGTCTGGAGGCAGAAGACGGTCGCTGCGACGGTCTTGAGTGAGGCACCGCTGCAGCAGCCAACGAAGCCGAATGGACCATAAGCCTCAGAAGCCGACGGGACTTGTCGCAGGGCTTCCACGGCTAGTTGCTTAGCTGCTCAGCTGCTCAGCGCAGGGCTAGCTGCGTTCCACAACAGATCGCGCCGTCTAGTGGATCGAAGTCCTCTTCAAGCAAAAACGGCGACGTCCGCTCCGGACTGTCTGCGATGCATACCTGCACGGTGCACAGGCCGTCCTTGTACTTGAGGTGCACCTTCCCAGTGTGCGTTGCCTTGGTGAAGCTTGAAGCTCTCCGGGCTCCGCAGAGAGCTTTGCTGCAAAACACAAGACGTCAAGGGCATTGTCTTCGATGCACAAATGAGACACCGGGTGACGCAGGTCATGTCGCGAGGTCTCTTTCAGGGCTGGGGTGCCCTCACATATACAACAACATGCACAGCTGGATCCAGCCAGCTCAGGACACTGTACAAACCGATATCGACCATCGAGCCAGAGTCAGAGAGCAAGCTGACGGTTTCATCTGCTCGCTCTCAGGTCTCCCGCTCCTTTGACAGAGCCTAGCCCGAATTAGGCCAGGCCTGGCAGCCTTCTAAGGCTTCCAAGCAATCTCAAAGACGCCCTTCTTCTTTCGTGACGGCTCGACGCATCGCACGGGGCTTCAGCATGATTGCATCCCCCCTGGCCCAGGCCGGATGTCCAGGAACTCCTGGACCTTCGGATCGTTCAGATCCCATTTAGCTGGAGCGGCTGGTCGTGGAGGCTCCGACTTGTAATCGTTCTTGACCTGAAATGGAAGGGCTTGGAGTCGGTGATAAATACCAGAGTCTGAGCTCCGCACGACCTCCCCTCGCTGGAAGAGGCCTCCGAATGTGCTCTTGTCTTCCATTTCCTGCAGCACCGTGTCAGTCGGCACAGCTGCTTCGCCGCCGTCAAACGCTTTGTGGCCGCTTGCACACGTGCTACATAGCGGTTTTCTCCTGCTTTTTCTTCTCTTTCCGAAGCTTGGTCAGCATATTCCGCACCTGACGGATTTCTCTGGCAAGAAAGCAATGGCGAAGGCGCGGAGTTCTAGAATGCTGGCCTCCTTGTCATTAGGGGCCAGCCGTGCAGCCGCCATCAAATCCTGCACGGATGGCCGTGCGTCCAGTGTACCCCGGTGGACATGTCGGCCGGCATCGGCACAGCTTCCTGGATGGCAGCCTCACGATCTGCATCCTTGGCCGAGATTGGTGCCAGGCGTGCCTGCGCACGCCGGTACAAGGCCTTGACCTCAGAATGCTTTGGCCAATAGCGGAGCTGGTGCCGCAGAGTATTCCAAGACAGCCACACTCCGATCTCAACCCAGGCACACTATCGGGATTAACCTTCTCCAAAACTTCGTCGCACGCACGCTTCATGTCGTCGAACTTTCGAAGTTTTTGGCAGGCCAGCGCGATGTTCCTGAGAACTGCAAAGGCACACATCTGCATTCTCACCGTGCTCAGCAGGTTCGATTGAAACGTCTGCACCCTGTTAGCTGTTAGCTGCCGAGAGGCAAGTAGCAGGACTGCACCAGCTCCGAGGCCTCTGCCGCCTCCAAGGCCGTCTCGTCCACTCGGAGGAAATCGTCCTCGATGCCCTGCAATATTGGTAGCAGCTGAGACAATTGAGAGAAGGGGAAAACGACGGGAGAGCAGAGGACATGCATGCTCTGGGAGGGTCCGACTGGAGGCTTCCAGCGCGATGCTTCGGTCGTGCTGACATCATCTGAAGTTGCTGAAACACGTTTCATGTGGCGCCAGAAGTCTCGCTGCTGCTTGTATGCAGACAGACACTCACAGCACGGACTATTGCTGGCACACCTTCAAAATCCTTCAACCCCAACTTGCAGCATGATGCTTGCTGGGGCACCTTGTAAGAGCCATCATCATTCTTCCAGTCTTGCCGAACGCACTCGACATATCCTAGGATAGCCGTTGTGGGTGCATGGGGTCACACAAGAGCAGATGGTCAATCTCTTGCAGCAAGTGGCTGAGTAATCCTGCTGCTTTCTCATACGAGCGCACAGCGGCATCCAAGCTTAGCTGCTCTTGCTCATCATCTTCTTCTTCGACTTCCTGGAACGTGATCGCGGCGACTCTGAATTCAGAATGCCATGCTTCTGGGCTTACGAAATCTGCCCGGCCAGGCTCTCAGCCTCATTTGACGCATTGCGCTCAGCGGTTGCCCTCAGTGCTGCGAGTTGCTGCCGCAAATCCTGCCATTGTCGCAGGGATACGCAGCAGTTAGCACAAACAGTCGACCACGTCACCAGGAAATCTGAAACGGCCGCTGTCCTTGAGCTCCTTTTCTTTCTCCCAGATTTGGGCTTCCAGTTGCTCCTCCTAGCGTCAGGTGCGTTTATACAGGGTTTTCAAGTTTAGCTGGTGTAAGGTGTAGTTCAGGATTCGGTTAGGAGTCAAGGGTTTGAGATGGTTCAGGTTTCGGAAGCTTGGAGTTTCTAGAATGTCAGTGTCCAGGGTTATGAGTTCAAGGCTTTCGATGCACACACATAGACCCACCGGCACCAAGACCAAAGATAGCCTCCAGGCCCGTTCCAAGCCCGTTAAGCCCCCGCGAGCTCAACACCGCAAGGCTGAATCCACAATCTCGACACCTGAAAGGTCTTTCCGTCCCGACCTGCACATGAACAGCCAATGCCTATTTTCGGGTTACTTGTTGGTTGCTTATGGCTGCTTTGCATACTCCTACTATTCCTACTGCTACTACTACTACTACTGCTACTACTGCTACTACTGCTACTACTGCTACTGCTACTGCTATACTGCTACTACTACCTACTACCTACTACCTACTACCTACTACCTACTACCTACTACCTACTACCTACTACCTACTACCTACTACCTACTACCTACTACCTACTACCTACTACCTACTACCTACTACCTACTACCTACTACCTACTACCTTCTACCTTCTACCTACTACCTACTACCTACTACCTACTACCTACTACCTACTACCTACTACCTACTACCTGCTACCTGCTACCTGCTACCTACTACCTACTACCTGCTACCTACTACTACTACTACTACTACTACTACTACTACTACTACTACTACTACTACGACTACGACTACGACTACGACTACGACTACGACTACGACTACGACTACTACTACGACTACTACTACGACTACTACTACTACTACTACTACTACTACTAGTACTACTACTACTTCTGCTACCACTACTACTGCTACTGCTACTACTACCTACTACCTACTGCTACTCTACTACTGCCAGTAGGACGACGACGCGTTGTAGAAGGTGCTTTTTGGTCATCCGACCAGTTGGGTTCGATGGTCTAGGGAATTTCGCTCACGGTGCAAACGATGCCTGTGGCGGGATTGGCATGGGACATGGTACCTCCTGTGCTGCTGAAGGCTAGAATTTCATGTCGAAAACAATCACAAACAGGCACAGATGTTGAAAAAAGTTGAAACCCGGTGTCCAGCTCTTGCTGCGCTTCCCTTTCCTTCCTGGCTTCGTCATCTGAGGTCCTGCGTGGCCCACTCCCAGAGGAATCCACAGGCCAATCACGAGCCAGACAGTCCTTCTTGTGGTGGATGACTTTAGGAGCTTGTTGCCTTCCTCCTTCAACTGCTTTGCTCGCTGCAATTTCTCGTCGAGAGATCCGGACTTGCGCAGCCGCTGGATCTCCGCATCCTGCCGAGATGCGATTGGACCTTTGACAAACGAGGCCTGGTTTGCACATCTGAGGTCCTGCTCACCATGGAAGATCGTGTTCTGGAACAGAGACGGAAAGCTGTTCCACATCTGCATCTTGTACTGGTCCTTGGGTGGCTCGGTCTGACATCAGCCCGGCTCTCCCAGTCGGGAATTCACGAAAGTAACCGGTGCCCCATCCTATCCACGGCGCCTGGGCAGTGCGCATGCCAACGGCGTGGCGCAAAGGGTCCTCCATAGTGCCAGATCCAAATTGCTTCCTTAGCTGGAAGCACATGCTCCTCTGACTGAAGAATAACACATTCCACGGATGTCCGGCGTGAAGCCTTGATGCACGACTGCTTGTGCTTCTGTGCCTCGGAGTCTCATATCCAGCTTGATAAGGCCAGGCCCGTCATCGGGATTCTCATCATCGGCCATGGCTGTCGTTTGTAGGGAGAGCTTGCCACGTGTTGGTGTCGGTGCAAAACTAACATGCTCCGTTCTGACATAACTGATGTAGCTTGCCAGGCAGGCTGAAACGGCGCTGATACCGAACACAGAGGTGCGGTCCACTCTTTCATGGAAGATGATGCAAGGCATGATGCAAAGGAATGCAAGACGATCTCGGACACAAGGGCCGCGGCTACCAGGCCGGAGGAGCACGCGGTGTTGATCGTTTGACCTCGTCAATGTTTCAGCCTTTTGAAACATCGGCAACCGGCCGACTTCCAAGCTTCTGTGGCACCGGCTGGCTCCTTTGAGGTTCAGAGCGAAGTTCACACGATTCGAGATGATGGCCTCTGCACCTCACGCAGCTCCATGGGGCTTTTCACCGGACAACTTTCGCTGTTGCTGTGAATGACGAGGCTAAGCAAGGCACTGCCGCACCCTGCTGCATCCATTTTGTGAGGCACGGTACCCCTGAGGACCAGCGACACAGAAGCCACGGCTCGGCGCACGAAAGAATAAGGCGCGTGGCCACTCCGATCCACTGACACCGACGAAAACACCTGCAGCAAGCCGGCAATGCATTAGTCAGATCTGACATCGGACCGCTGACTCAATCGAGCCGTCGGCCAATGTTCTTGGACGACTTTTGCAGGCTTGGCAAGTCGTAGCCTGGTTCGAAGGTGGAGGACCCCGGGTGATTCCGTGCCGGCTAGAATGAGCAGCAGCTGTGACTTGTGCCAGCCATATTGACGACTTCGTACGAGACTTCCAAGGTCTGCGTTGCAGTCGATTTGTGATTGCCAGGCACAGCCAACTTCGCATGCTGACGATCGAACCAGACTGACAAGCTGATTTTTTCTGCTTCCCATGGTCGATTGAGCCAGCAAGACGTATGTCAGTATGTCTGCAGTCTTTGTGAAACTGGCCATCAGCACAGGCACCTGACTAAACAGCTGAGTTGTCATTCCAACCCCAACAACAACAACAGCAGCAGCAGGCAGCAGCAGCACCACCAGCAACAACAAGAACAATAACAGCAATGATGCCAGGGTGCCCAGCACAGCATTGTAGCTCACCTCGCTGTATGGCAACCAGTGTCCCTGCCAAAATGAACCAAAAACACAGCACGAGTCTAGCAGTGTAGGGAGTTGGCAAAGGGCTCGTTCACGTTTACGCATCAGCGAGGCATATGTAATTCGGCAGTAATGCCCAGGTATCGACATAGCTCGCACTTAGAGCGCTTTCGAAAGACCACAACAGGCTGCATTCTGAGCAGGCCCTGTGCTCGGGTGCAGTGCCTGCCTTCATCAGCTCAAAAAGCAAGATCCCTTTTCGCCAGTGTGTAGCCGAGCCACACCTCAAGGACAAAAACAAGCAGCAGACACGATGCCGGCTTGCAGGCGGCAAAAATCTCGCCCAGCCGCACTGTGACAGAGCTGTGACAGCTGACACGGTCCGTCTCCAATAAACTGTCCGTCAGCATTTGCAGCGTCAAGATTGAGCCAGTCCATACAAACGAGGAACCACATGCAGTCCTCGGAGGCTGCAGCTGCCAAATAAGACTCTGTTCGGGAACAATCGCGCACACCATGCCTGCCCGCTGTTCAAATCCAAGCATCAAGCCGGCATTACAGCTCACCGTGTCCAGGCGAAGCAACATTCCCGAAATCCTGCCGTGGAGAACTCTGCATCAGAAGCGTGTGCAGCGAGTCAGCACTCTGCCTGCCTACTCAGCAACGTCACTGACTGATTCCAAGCGAGGCTATCGCAGGAGTTGATGGCCGCGGTAAAGCCTCGCATGTGGACTTTTTCACTTGCTGAGGCGTACCCATCTAATCTGTCAGCAATTTCCAGGCATTCAATGCCCCCTCTGCCAGGCAACTCACCACGTCTGGTCGAATCTGGCTGAGGATCTCTATGCACCACAGCCAGCGCGTGGTTGCCAGCAGCGCATTGTAGCCTGAGTCTGAGAGGAGCAGTGTGGCGTGATGCAGTGCGCATGCCGCAACATATGACAACACGAACAAGGGCTGAGTCTCATCCCAGAGACTGACCAAGTCTGGAACCAGATGGGCCTTCAACGCCTTGACAAGACCAATCGCAGCTTCCCATCTCTCTTCACAGGCCATGATCGCCTCGTTGTAGTCCTGCCTCAGGGTGCTAGCCAGTGCTAGCCGCTAGCCACTGGCTGCCAGCTTCAACTTCAGAAGGCTGCCCGGCCTGCTTTCAAGAGAAACCATGGCCAGCTGCCACCTGCGTCCTGCAGCAAATGAAGTGTCTACCGCCAGCCACATTGTACGTTGCTCTTGCTGGTGCCGAGCGCCTGTCCGGAGGAGTGCTTGTCTCCAGCTTCCAGTTCTGTCCAACGCTCTGCGTGCCTGATGGGCTGCTTCTTAACATGCCCTTTCCCTAGCTGCCCCGGTTGTTGTCATGTTTTGGAGGGCCGGGCCTGCGATAAGCCAGCATCATCCAGGGGTTTCCACGCGCATCGTTCCACCAGCAGAAGGGCGGCAGACCAGGAGGGATCAGTCCTGCCAGGACCAGGGGAAAGGGCAATGCTCGAAGCTTCGGCACTCCCCGGTAGCTCTCCGATCCATCCTGCACGCATGAAGAGCCGCCACGTATGTCATCGATGCGGGCCGGAGCTGTGTCTCTGCGACGAGCTCCAAGGCTGAGAAGGCCGAACTCCAGCTTGACTCGGAATAGGCTCTGATCAAAAAGTTCACCGTGAAGGCATCCGGACGGAGCGCTGACCTGTTGATCGTGGAGAGCAGCTGCACAGCAGTAGCCCAGCCTGAGCTTCTTTGTATGGCTGCCGAGGCTGCGGAGTTGTAGCTGACCCTGTCCGTTGTCGCCCCGGCTCGTGTCAGCTCCTGGAGGCTGCGACTCCACAAGCCCAGGTCTGAGAAGCTCGCGAGCAGCGTGTTTAGGCCAATCACATCCATCCTCAAGCACTCGCTGCGACTCTTCTCCATGTCGCAGATCGCACGCTGCCAGAGACCTTTGCCTTTGGCAAGAGCTCGGCAGAGCGAGTTGTAGGAGACCCGGCTGGGCTCAAGGCCATACTTTTTGAGGCTCTGCAGCAGCAGCCTGGCTTCCTTCCACTGGCTGCTGGCACCAGCCGCATCTAGCGCAGTGTTGCATGCCCTGACGTCCAGTTGCAGGAAAGTCTGGCAAAGCTCGGCAAGAAGTTGCTGCACCTGGCTCCAATGACCCGATGCCCGCCAGACTCGCATGGCCGACTTGGCACTCGCCTGGTCCTCTGATACGCTGCCGCTACCTCCGCTACCTGACGCCTCCATGAAACCCAGTGTCGCAAGGGAGGACGTCCAGACACTGACCTTCGCGCAGCCGTCGGCAACTGTCCGGAAGCAAACTGGATCGGGATCAACGCGAAGCTCTGGCATTCGTGCAAGCAAACATGCCGCAAAGCGCCAATTGCTTAGCTGGGCATAAGCCTTGAAAGAGATCGCAAACTCGCATGCGTCACGCAGTGATGGAACTTCTGGGAACTTTTTGCTTGTCACCTGGGCTGAATTCGAAGTTCTGCTTTCCGGGCCCACCTTGCGCCGCAGTGCTTCCATTTGGCCCTGGCATTGGAACCCGGCACTCCTCCTTCCTGAAGCTGCACCTCCACTGCCACATTTTGAAGTCGCAAAGTCCCCATGGCGGCCTACCACGTTCAACAAACCGAGCACAGCTGGGAAGAGGAGGAAACTGCTTTAGAGGGGCTGCAAGAACCGCGAAGGGTAAACTCTCAGGCTCAGCGATGTCTTGCAGATCACACAGTCTGTCTTGAGCAGAGATGGCAGGGTTGCAAGTTTTGCAGATACAATCGGAGGGCTTGAGCTCAAGTCCGATAAAGATCGGCTCCGGGGGCCGTGGGTGGGCCTTGCGCTGGTTCGGGTCCATCGACTCGGCCTGCCACAGAAAGAACTCAAGCCCTACACGCGCAAAGCAGTCACCCTGGTCAGGGATCCTGCCTGTCACGTGCGGATTCTTGCAAGTGCCTTGCCTCCATCGATGAGATTCCGAAAAACTTGGCATCGAAGAACTCGATTCCGTCCACGTAGCCCTGCCAGGAGGTGTCGTATACTGTATGTTGGCGCACCGTAGAAAACCCCTTCATGTCATCGATGTTGGCAGGTTGCTGACTATTTTTGAATTGCTTGCGCCTTCCCGTGAGTTCTGGCCTTTGGCTTTGGGGCTAGGAGCTTGGCTCGGATTTTACTGCAAGCCACGAGAGAAAGCTGATTTCCAGTCCCACGAATGAGAGCTGTGATGCGTGTAGCCGTGGAACGGTAGCGGAGTTACAGGTCATCTCCGTCTCCCCAAATGCCCTGACTCGCCCAGTCGATGCCGTGCAGATTCGGAGTCGATCAAGACGGCGCTTCGCTGTGGATGAGAGTCCGGCTTTTGTATAGCAGATCGGGCCGTGGGCCCTAGGTTTGATGCACTTGATGCAGGAAGTCTGCAACAGCTTCCTTGAACTTCCCGGCATCTGGCTCCACCAGGAGCCTTCCGGAAGGGAGCTGCTCGGACAAGGCGATTGCATCTTCCAGAGCATGAAGTCGATCATCCTCCAGGCCGTGGTGCAGGATCAGAGCTGGCCTTTGAAGCCTCGCGAGCTCCGGGGAGTGAAGGCCCACAAGGTTGCTTCCCCTGAAGGTTTCAAGGAAGGCTTGTGACCTGCGCATGGCCAAGATGAAGTTTTTCGGATCGGCACCGAGGAGCTCGTCACGCGCCCTTGACGAAGTCTTGGCCAAGGCCTGAAAGTGGCTGCCCTCTGCTTCGACCAGCGCCTCCATGCCACCGGCTTCTGCCGTGTCGGCGCAGTCACCATAGTAGGCACGGCCCAAAACAGAGGCGGCACCATAGAAGTCACCCGTCGGAAGAAGGGCTAGACTCAACACGCGTTGGGGGTGGCGAGCAGCGAACAAGGCAGAAAGCCTGGCACCCGAGCTGAGACCTACCAGGCTCACGGGGGCGCGGGCGCTTCCCGAAGTCTTCTCTTGCGGGGCCAGACTGTCGAGTAGACACGCCAGGTCCTGCACCTCCTGTTCCGGTAAGGACTCGTCGCAGGACGCCCAAGCACTGGAGTCCCCCGTGCAGCGGCGATCCCAAAGCAGCACGCGCTTGCCGCGGTCAGCGATGGCAGAGGCCACGGGTCTGGCAGCATCGCGGCTGAGTTGACCTCTTGGGGTCACTACTACCTGGATGGGGCCCACCTCGGGCCCCGGCCCAAGCACCTCCCACTCCAGGCGCAGAGCAAAGGACGGGATCTCGGAGACCCCAATCTGGGCTCCTCTCGATGCGGTGACCGAGTTCCGCTCCAGTCTTTGCCACCAGCGACTGCTTGTCTTTCCCAAGAGTGGCCCAAGCCGGGCCATGAAAAGCTTTGTGCTGAAGCACCGCCGCTGCATCCAGGCACTCATAGCTCCGTCTACACTGCGTGCTTCAACTCATGCTAGCTGCTGAGTGAGGATTCTCTCGCCTGGCAGCCCGGCTAACTACACGATACATGATATATTATGAATTCATCTGCGCAATTTTGGTCCAAGTGCTGGCGTTGCCTTCAGTGAGCCTGCAACTTTATCCGCTATCGGTGACCGCGCTTGCACTCCAATGTCGACCTGGTGGGGCGTGTAGGACTTGCCGGCTTGCTGAGCTTCCTGTGGCCACTGGAATCATCGGCTTTGCTGGCTTGGCATGAACTTGGCATTCATGCTAGATGCAATCAAACGAGCTCCCGGCTTGCATTGACCCATCAAAACAGTAGTCGGAGATGTCGTAGCCTGGCAGTGTGAATTTCGACTGCTTGACCGCCGAACAAAGCCCGGATCGCCCTTTTGAGGCCCTGAGGTCGCAGCGAGTAATGGGCGTCGAAACGGCAGTGTCCGTGCCAGCCTGACTCACAAGTATGTGGAAGAGAGGGGCAGCAGAAAATGGTTCGGGGCCTTGTTGAACATCAGCCAATAGCACTTGTGGTCCTTGCACTCGCTGACAGACATTGAGACAGGACTCGAACTGCGAGGCCGTCCATCACCCGGACTCCAACCAGTCCTTTGAGTCACCACCAATCTGAGTTGCCATGCCCGTAACCACCACACCTTCACCCTGCCAAGTTCGTCTAACATCTGCAGCTAGAATTGAACACACGCCTGACGAGGATTCCTACGATGGCTTGAGTGCACCTTCGGAGGATCAATCCCCTTCTCAGCGATGGGCGCCAGGACCTATAGGCACGGTCGAGATCGCCGCACTGTCTCCTTCTCGATTTGGCTGAGGCTTGTACCGAAAGGTCACCTCCAAAGCTCTGCATGTAGTACTCTGGCCGTTGGCCCAGCAACCTTCAACGGCCAATCACATCCGTGTCCTGTTGTTTGCAGCTCTTTTCACGCCGAGACGCCAGGTTTGGAGGGTCGTTGTTCTACCCTCGCACGTGTGGCTGTACCTGGCGACGCCGACGTGAAAAATGCAGGAGCCGAAGATGATCCGCAGTTTTGTTGAAGTCAAGCTGCTGGAAGCGCTCGGTCATGAAGAGGACCATCTTGCCGGGCGAGGCCTGGCAGGAAGCACTGACAGCCTGGAAGAACGCAGGGCTCATTTGGTTACGTCCTGGCCTCGATCTCAACCTCCTGACCTCCGTGCCGGGAGATCAGTTTGAGCTTGCCAGTGCGAGGCCCCAGAAAGTGCATCACACAGACTCTCCGCCGCTTGACCAGGCTCATGAACATCTCCCGCTCACTGCTGCCCGGGTGGTCCACGGGCTTACAGTTTGCCTCCTCGTCCGAGTTGGAGAAGGTCTGCCGGACCATAAGATTGGTTCTTCCGGTTATCCGGGTCCCGAGCTTCTCCCTCAAAGCCACGGAAACGCTGTCCCCGAGTCTCGTGAGTCTGGTGTCTGCATCGCTAAAGATCCGTGTTAATTCATCGGAGCACTCTTCGAAGTCTATCAAAGCATGTCTCTCCCTGCTTTCCAGGCCCATATAGTAGGGCTCGAATTCTGCTGGAATTCGAGAGAAGCTGACATGCGCCTCGGTGGCTGTCAGCATCTCCGAGATCTCCGTTCTCTTATCCAGTGTCTGGCTGACACAAAACCCATCTAAAACCAATTTGTTTGCCATGGCTTCTGCCAAGACCTCGCGATTCGAGCTTGGGCCCACCACGAAGTCAATGCCCAGGTCCTGCACCTCTAAGGGTCTTAGCTGGCTCAGGTCCGGCGTGGTGCTAACCAGCCGCCCATCGAAGGTGAGCGCCAGCCATCGCTGGGAGGCCCGGTCGAAGCGCTGCAGCTGCGCCCCGCCTTCCACGCTCACGCTGCCCAAGGCCTCCAAGGAGGGCTCACCGCTCACGTAGAGCTCCAGCACCTCCGTCGAAGGCTCGGTGTGGAAAGCTCCAAAAACAAACCTCAAGCAAACAGCAAAACAGCAAAACGGCAAGCCACCTCCTCTTGAGGCCCGGAGAGGTGGACCAAAGCTCCCTTCACGAGATGCGATGCCATGGCTTTTTTCAAAGCACGCGGCTACGTGAAGATGTATCGGGCTGCGATAATGAGCTTTCTGCTGTTGTTCTTCGGACTTGGCTCCAACTTCAACCGATTCAGGTGTCGATGCGATGGTATGGATGTCAGTATTTATCAGCTGTCTCTCGCAAGCAGTGAGACCTGGCAGACGGACAGCATGCAGGTCATACAGGATCTTATCCGTTTTTTGAAGCAATGAACTTTTGCATGTGCATGTAAACTGGCAAAATCATGAGAATCCGTCGATCGTACGAGATTATGCCCAACTCCCGGACTCGTCGGAAATGACAAACACAGGAACCGAGCTCGAAAATGATTGTTGGATCAGAATTATGCAGCCGAACTTGGGTGTGTTCACAAGTGCGCAACTGCGGCGCATTCAGTTTGGCGTTGCAAACGATCTGCTTGATTCGACAGCGAATGTCATACCAATGTGCGTTGCGACGCTAACGATGCAAAGAGATGTGGATGTAATCAAGATCCAACCACTGGAGCAAATATGACGAGGCGGTGATGGCCCATGCCCTCATGAAACATCGAAGCCCCGCTGTCACCCACTACCCTGGACGTTCACGACTACAGGTGCTGAGTGCCGTTGGCTTTTTTCATACATCATAGTCGGAATCGTCATCGTCGTCCTCCATGATGCGCTCATGGATTTGCGAGATGTTCCTGGTATGTCGATCAGAGCAAGTCGACATGAACGAGTCAAGACAACTTCAGAGAACTTCAGCTCTGCGGATGTGCTGTGCTGATGGAAGGCCTGGCAGCAACCTCGCGAAGCTCCGGCGGCATTTTGCTGGCAATGAAGGCCTGCACCCAACTCCCCCATTTCTCTGGGACGGGACCCTGAAGGCTGAAACAGGCTTGAGGCTTCCAGGCGCACGGCCGGCCCCAGGCCTCGCGCAACTCTTCGGAGAAGTGGGATCTGTTCTGAATCCCCCAGAAGGGGTGGTGCAACCTGTGCTTCACGGACAACGGCGCACGACTCTCCGAAGACTGCGACACTGGCTATAGAGATCTATAGAGCATAGATCCTGAGAAGCACGCGTGACAGACGGCTCCAGATGAACTGCGTAGTGCCACCTGAATGAACCAATTTATCAGACTCTTTGATACGCCACAGTAGCAAAAAGCTCTGACAGATCGAGGGGAGGGCCATCCGTTTGGGATGATCAACGATTCTCCAGGATGAAGGACGACGGACTTAGCAGAGGTATCAAGATGACTGCGGACTCATAAACCGTGCAACCTAATGTAGACATGGTAGGGTCACTATTGCGAGCCTGCGCAGAGGCCTTCGCAAAGGCTGCATGCCTTCGTGCTGCAAGCCGTTTTGCAGGATGCTGCACCCACATGCAACTGCAGAATACTGCAGACCTCCGTCTATTGGCACTCACACGGCTTCCTCTGCCAAGTTGCCTTTTGCCGCTTGGGTAGAAGATGTCAACAGAGCTAACGGAAGCTGCATAGCCTGCGCTGATCTTAACAACTCGACCTTTCCATGTTTCCACTCGAACCATCCTACAGCACAGCTGAGGTTCGCAGAGCCTCTGCCATTCCGGAAAAGAGCTTTGTAAGTTTGGGCTTGGAGGCTAACCATCACTCGCCAAAGCCTTCCAGATGATCAACTGCAGCGCCCTCTTCCTGGCCAATGCACACACAGGAGATGCCTCCGATTGCTCGATGCTTGCTGTTTGGTCACTAGATTCCGATTCCAACATGTACGGCCGCCTCAGCCAGGTTGGCTGTGTCCTGGGGAGGGAAGAGGAAAAAGAGGCGCCGGCCCTGTATTTGTCGGTGCCAGACATGCGCGCCGTTGTTTGATCTGTGCAGTCGGCTGATGCTTCCTGGAGCTCCCAAAGCCAGCTTGTAGAATCGGGCAAAGAAGTCCATGAAGTCCATGGTGAAGACAGTGGTGAAGATCTTAATCCACTTGGGCGACATGTCCTTCACCCCAGCCGGCGTAAGTTCACGCCAGTGCTTCGCCAGAAGAGCGCCACCCTCCGTGCTAATGAAAGGGCACCAGCCGTCCATGACGATGCGTGGGAAGGCTAGGGCATTGTCTTCCAGACAGTCAGGATCCATGGAATGAAGCAGCCGAGCGTACTCGATGTACTCTGCCGGGGATGCTTCAACGTCAACACGGTCTGCAGCCTTCCGGTCATGTTCAAAGGCCGGGGAGCGAGAGCGACACGTCCACCACATGTTATGGCCGAGTGCCTTCCAAAAGTCCATGTCCCAAGAGCTGCCACACCACCCTTTCGCTGAGACAACGACAGGCACCTTTGGGACTGCAGGTGCCTGTGCGGCAGTCTGCACAGGCGTGCAGGGCCTCTCCAGTCCTGGCAACTGCTCCAGCGTTCGCTGCCGGTGGCGGGTCCAAGAGACGTACTCCGACGAGGCCTCGCCGATTTTAAGCTCTGCGAGGCGCTGCCGAGCTCTTGAAAGCAGCGGGCAGCTCTTGGATTTCGCGGCCTCGTTCTCCTTGGGTTTCAGCTGGCCATTGCTTGCGATATAGAGCTCCAAGTCAGACTTCTTCCAGAAACGTGCCTCCTCTGGCACGGTGCCCTTGAAGTCTGGGAACAACGAGAGCAACTCGTCGATTTCTGCTTTTTCTAGCGGCGTTGCCAGCAAGTTGTCCATGGCATGCGCCTTCCGCCGCACTCCTCAATGTCTAGATTATAGCTAGATTGCTAAGTCTTCTAAGTATGGCTAGTCATGAGTCGCTTGTTGCTGCATCATCGATTCGCAGTTGGTCTTTCTTGCCTGTCCTCTTTTTAAATCGGTTGCCGCTGGTTCAGACATGGCAAACAAGTGCTGAATTCGAGATACCACCAACACCAGAGATCTGCAACTGATTCACCCTCATGCCGCGAACTTGTGCACATTTCTGATTCGTTCTCCCTACATCAAGGGTCGTGGTAACGGCTCAGCCGGAGCTTCACAGTCTCACCTAGGGTGAGCGATGGTAGCCGCCTCGGCGGTGGCCAAGTGGAGATTAGACAGTTCGCACTCCATGCAGCTGTATGCTCCGCTCATCCAGGATTGGGAATCCTGGGCTGGCCTTCTTCTTCTCGTCCCAAAAATGCGTTTAAACACTGTCTCGCACGCCCCAAGCAGGCCAAACCTCCATAACATCTGGAGGTTCCGCTCAATCAGTTCAACGCTCATCCAAGGTTTCTGCCTCTGACGCGGGACTCAAACGGCGCACTTCCGGCACCTGCGCAGACGGCTTCACAAGGCTTGACCAAAGGACATGAAAGGCTCCGTCGAGGCTTATAACTTATAGCCAACAGTAGCAGTGTGAGATAGCTGCTCCCAAAATGTGAGAAGAGTAGCTGGCCTGAAGATCGCGGTTGGATTCACACTTGATGGTACTGAAGACTGAAAACTAAGATGACCAGATCTCTGAATCTGTGAAGCCTGACGAGCAGTTGACGCTGTCGACGTAAAAGCTTCTCTTCTCTGATGCCGAGGCCGAAACCCCGTGCCGCTGAGGAGAGGCTTTCGCTGTCGAAACGAAGAAGGCTGCTCACACGACTGCCTGCAAGTTACGTCGGAATCAAAGGTGAGTTTGACGTTTGCAGTGCCAGCATCTGAGGGCCGAACTGTCTCTCCGTACGACATGGAAGGAAGCGTCGGAGGACTCTTGTTCTGACACCTCCATCGCAATCGCCCGAAGACTAGCATGTTTGCCATTTTCTGCAATAAAATGGAAGAAGTGGCTGCAAGAGCGCGACAGTCGAGAAAGGTCAATGTGAAGACCATGAAAGCCGTGAAGGAGTGAAGGCGGGAGTCTGTTGTGCTTGAATCAGTGTCAGCTAAACAGGCTCTGTCGCTGCAAACAAGAAAACTCAGGGTAATTGGGAAGTCGGCACATTCGCCTCGCGGAGCGCAGGGAGCGGGGTCCCTGGATCGGGCGCACCAGGCCTCAAACAGCAGATTCACAGATTCAGCCGAGTCCTACTACTGCTGCGCCGTTTGCGACAGACAGTTAGACAGTCCGGTCCTTTCCACTTCTCGTTAGTTTGTTGACAACATTCGTCGACTGAGAAGTTCAACAGATAGGGCCGGAGTCTGCAAGGTGTAGTTGCCGGTAAATCTGTCCGCACTTTGAGAGCTTGGCTGTTTGCATCGTATTCCGCTACGTATGACCCTTGTAACCTGTTTGAGTGCCTCAAGGCACATCCGGTCATCCTGAAATGGCCTTATGCATACTGAGGCTTATGAGATCTTATGAGCTAACAAACGAACAGAGTGGCGCTGGCCCGCCCGATCTTGCGAGCAAGACGCAGTGTCTGTCCGCTGTTGCTGCGCTGCCTTTGCGTTGGAGGCTTCATGGTACGCACCTGTGCCTGGCAAGAGACACGGCAAGGTAATGTGGCTGCTCCAGACCATATTAGTATTACCATTATCATAATATATTATCTTATCCGCCGACCCCTGCGGGCGGCGCCCGTGATATCCCGAGAGGTGTCCGCACCCACACCGCTTCCACCGCCTCCACCGCTCTGTTAAAAGAGTCTTTCACCGCTGTTATAGGTGTTTAAAGAGTATGTAAAGGCTGCCAATGTGTGCCCGGACCTCTCCGCGCCCCCAGTGCCCCCACCGCCCTCACAACCTCCACCACCGCTCTGTTTAAAGAGTCCTTCACCGCTGTATCTGTAGGTGTTTAAAGAGTATATAAGAGTATTTAAAGGCTGCCAATGTGTGCCCAGACCCCTCCGCGCCCACACCGCCCCTACCGCCACCGCCGCCCTTTTAAAAAGTATTTAAAGGCTGCCAATGTGTGCCCGGACCCCCCCGCGCCCCCACCGCCCACACCGCCCCCACCGCCCACACCGCCCTCACCGCCCTCACCACCCCCACCACCTTCATCCCCCTCCACCGCTTCTCTCACCGCCCGCTGTATTTGTAGGTGTTTAAAGAGTAAAAAAAGTATTTAAAGGCTGCCAATGTGTGCCCGGACCCCCCCGCGCCCTCACCGCCCCCACCGCCCACACCGCCCTCACCGCCCTCACCACCCCCACCACCTTCGTCCCCCTCCACCGCTTTCACCGTTCCCACCGTCTCCACCGCTCTATTTGTAGGTGTTTCAAGAGTAAAGAGCATTTCACCCCCCCCACCGCCCACACCGCCCTCACCGCCCTCACCACCCCCACCACCTTCATCCCCCTCCACCGCTTTCACCGTTCCCACCGTCTCCACCGCTCTCACCGCCCGCTGTATTTGTAGGTGTTTAAAGAGTAAAGAAAATTAAAGGCTGCCAATGTGTGCCCGGACCCCCCCACGCCCCCACCGCCCACACCGCCCACACCGCCCCCACTGCCCACACCGCCCTCACCGCCCTCACCACCCCCACCACCTTCATCCCCCTCCACCGCTTTCACCGTTCCCACCGCCCGCTGTATTTGTAGGTGTTTAAAGAGTATATAAGAGTATTTAAAGGCTGCCAATGTGTGCCCGGACCCCCCCGCGCCCTCACCGCCCACACCGCCCACACCGCCCACACCGCCCTCACCGCCCTCACCACCCCCACCACCTTCATCCCCCTCCACCGCTTTCACCGTTCCCACCGCCCGCTGTATTTGTAGGTGTTTAAAGAGTAAAATAAGTATTTAAAGGCTGCCAATGTGTGCCCGGACCCCACCGCTCCCCCACCGCCCACACCGCCCACACCGCCCTCACCGCCCTCACCACCCCCACCACCTTCATCCCCCTCCACCGCTTTCACCGTTCCCACCGCCCGCTGTATTTGTAGGTGTTTAAAGAGTAAAATAAGTATTTAAAGGCTGCCAATGTGTGCCCGGACCCCCCCGCGCCCTCACCGCCCACACCGCCCACACCGCCCACACCGCCCTCACCGCCCTCACCACCCCCACCACCTTCATCCCCCTCCACCGCTTTCACCGTTCCCACCGTCTCCACCGCTCTCACCGCCCGCTGTATTTGTAGGTGTTTAAAGAGTATATAAGAGTATTTAAAGGCTGCCAATGTGTGCCCGGACCCCCCCGCGCCCCCACCGCCCACACCGCCCACACCGCCCCCACCGCCCACACCGCCCTCACCGCCCTCACCACCCCCACCACCTTCATCCCCCTCCACCGCTTTCACCGTTCCCACCGTCTCCACCGCTCTATTTGTAGGTGTTTCAAGAGTAAAGAGCATTTCACCCCCCCCACCGCCCACACCGCCCTCACCGCCCTCACCACCCCCACCACCTTCATCCCCCTCCACCGCTTTCACCGTTCCCACCGTCTCCACCGCTCTCACCGCCCGCTGTATTTGTAGGTGTTTAAAGAGTAAAGAGTATTAAAGGCTGCCAATGTGTGCCCGGACCCCCCCGCGCCCCCACCGCCCACACCGCCCACACCGCCCCCACCGCCCACACCGCCCTCACCGCCCTCACCACCCCCACCACCTTCATCCCCCTCCACCGCTTTCACCGTTCCCACCGCCCGCTGTATTTGTAGGTGTTTAAAGAGTAAAATAAGTATTTAAAGGCTGCCAATGTGTGCCCGGACCCCCGCGCCCTCACCGCCCACACCGCCCACACCGCCCACACCGCCCTCACCGCCCTCACCACCCCCACCACCTTCATCCCCCTCCACCGCTTTCACCGTTCCCACCGCCCGCTGTCCCCAATGTGTGCCCGGACCCCACCGCGCCCACACCGCCCACACCGCCCTCACCGCCCTCACCACCCCCACCACCTTCATCCCCCTCCACCGCTTTCACCGTTCCCACCGCCCGCTGTATTTGTAGGTGTTTAAAGAGTAAAATAAGTATTTAAAGGCTGCCAATGTGTGCCCGGACCCCCCCGCGCCCTCACCGCCCACACCGCCCACACTACCTTTATTGTCCTCACTGCCCGCCCCGGCCTTGCGATGCGCCGCCGCGCGCGCGCGACTTTTTTGTCGTACCATGTCGTACCATCCCATGGCCACAACTGCACTGGCTCCGTATCTTAAGCATATCGAATACAGCCTTCCGGCTAAACTCGGTTTTGTGCGGATGCCTTTTGCCTCTGAGTCACAAGGTTGCTGAAACATGCGCACACAATGTCCGAGAGCTGAGCACTGCGTCAGTCCGAATACTTCGCCGCATCAGTCATGTGCTCATGCTACTCGTGCCAGTTACAAGACTTGCAGTTGGCTGCTTTCAACACCTGCTGCGTTCCTTGGATAGTCACCTCTCTTCTTTTGGGGTCGGCGGCAGTGGCGGCAGCCCATAAATCGGGCAGCGCTTCGCTGCCCTGTATGGACTGAGCTATGGCTCAGACGAATGAGCTTCGTCTGCGAAGCAGAAGCCACGACCGACAGTGCCGCCGACCCGCCCCGGACCCCGCATCATCGGACCCTGGTTTCTCCCTTGGGCCGCGCGGGGCCGGGCCCGGAGGCGTCTCGGAACGCGCACGCGTTTCGCAGCCATTCCCCACGGCATGGCGGGTTTCGGGGCCGCCGTGGACGACCCCAGGAGGCGAGCCGGCGAGCATCATGAGCACTCGGGCGCCCGCAACCGGCCCCGCGGCGCGAAGTGGGCGCGAAGTGATGATTTCCAAGGTTTTGCGTGGGTTGCGGAAGCCCCAAAAGGGCGCGCATCATCAGCATCAGCGGGGTCCGGCGGAGGGCGGATGCGGGCTACATGGAGGGCCGACGAGGGCTAAGAGCGTAAGATCACCCACAAGTTGTGTACTTCGGGCCTACGTTGCACTTTTGTTCCGGTAAATTCAAACTCAAGACGTTCGTCCACATGCAAATGAGAATGAAGGAAGCTTCTAAAGGCATTCCTGAATGTATAAATACACCACGTAGAAGGGCTTTCAACAATTGACCCACTGGCATCATCCCTAAACCCTAAACCCTAAACCCTTGCGGAAGCCCCCAAGAGCTTAGCGCTGCCCGCACCTGGGCGCAGCCCCTAGAATATCATATTAATTTAAATTCCATTCTGGTACCTACAAGAAAGCTCACTCCCTGCGCTGAGAAGTTCGCTCTTAAGGCCTCCTGCTGGCCGCTGCTGATCTTGGCTTCCAGAGCCTCCCGCGGCCGCGGCTCAAAACTCGCCGAGACCCGCGATCTGTCCCTTGCGACTTAGCCTGTATTTGCTCGTCGCCCAGTCCTCAGAGCTTTCCGGTTGCAGGAGGCTGCAGGGCCATGAAAAAGCCATGCCAAGCCAAGCTTCCGAAGTCTGAATCTTGCCACTCTGAGCTCGGATGTTGACCTTGAAAAAGCAAGCCAGATTCGTGTAGGAGGTTCGACGAGCGGAGAGCACGAGCCTGCAGAGAGCTTCCGCGTGACAACCCTGAGCACAGTTGTAGATGCGACGTCTCCAACTGCAAAGCCCCGAGGCCGGAGCTTGCTCGCAGCTGCCGTCGCCTCTCCCAGGGTTAAAACGCGCTGCTCCCATTTTAGCCCTTCCGACGTAGTCAGAGCCAGAGCTCCCGAGCTCGAAAGGCCTCGTTCAGCTGCCTCTCGGACACGCCGAACTCCTGGGCGACAGCACTGGGCTCGCTCAGCGTCCGTGTTGGCCGTTCTTTCTTTGTCTAGGGAAACTGATCCAGTTTGTACATTCACAAAACCACCGGACCCCGTTGTCCACAAACGCAGATACTGGTGTACTCAGCATCTCACCGAATCCGGGGCACTCAATCCAGAGCTTTCCGTCAGCCTAAGAGCGGTTGCCAATGGGTGCTTCAGCTGCATCCGCACTGCATCCTGCAGGCTGCGATGGACCCTTGGGGGAGAGCGAGCGACCTCGCCCCGGATTTGGGCCATGACCTGGCATGAGGTGCAAGACTCGCAGAAACTCTGATCGCCTTCGCCACACCTGCCTCGTTTTGAGGCCTGACTGCTCGTCGTGGGGTCCTTTCTGCCAGGACAGATCAAAATCACCCACGACCCGTGAATGACCCACGTGCCCGGATGTGCCCGATGGCCCCCGAGTCCTCTTCTTGAACGGGCCGCATCCTGGCACAGACTCGCAAGACTCCCCCCTGGATGGGCGGAGGTAGACTCGACAGAGTGCGGTGAAGCTGAGGTCTCTTCGTCTCTTTGCCATCCATGGCTTCGCAACTCGGGGGTCTTATGCGAAAATCGCAACAGCAAGCACCTTTCCGTTTGTCCTGAGCTTACGAGGCCTGCTCTGATGTCATGGCTGCAATCAGTTTGAACCACGTGTCTCGGCGCATGTGCTTGAACCAAACCTCGCGGTGGCATCCCAGTCCCAATGCACGTGGTTAACATCCAATCTGCAAGAAAAATATCTGGGCTATGTCTAAAAAAAGCCAGGTTCTTGGTAGGAAATCTCGGGGAAACCCTCAGACACGAGGACATTAGCGAACATGCCGGGAGAAGAAGCCATGCCGCATCGTCTTGTCCTGCGTTGGCAAGGATATTGGGAGCTCGCAATGCCCTCCTGGCACCAGGAACCTTTTCGAATCAGCAGATGCTACAAAGGGCGTCCTATGAACAAAGCTGGTGCCAAACGGCAACGCAGCCACAGCCAAGCTACTCATCAGACGAAGAGCTGCCGCCGTCTTGGTGCTGGGAGAACCCCAGCGCCCGGCCCAAGCAGCTCTCTGCGAAGAAAGTCTCAAGGATCCTCGACGCGGAAGGAGCACCATGTGAAGATCGGATCGCCCTGTCACCGTCCCTAAACAACATGAGGTCTCAACCAGCCCAGTGTGGCGGAGGGGATCAGGTCGGTGAAGGGCAACAGCTCCTGCTTTTCGCTGAAGGGGCCGACGTGGCTAAGTCTGCTCAGTCGTATCCATGACAGGGCCGTTCCGTCCTCTAAGAATCCCACGGTGGCGATGCCTCAATGTCCGTAGGTCCGACCGAGACTCTTCGAAGCCCAAAGCGGTCGATCCCACGTTCCGCTGAGCCGAGATGCTTCTTGAACCGAACAACATCATCAGCGCGATTCCCTCGGAACAGCAGGCGAAAAGATAAACCTGAGAGAGCAAGTCACCACCGGGCCACGGACCTGGATGGGAGCATAGGCCAGGTCCACGCCCTGGCCGTAAAAGACTTCGACAGACTGGAGAACTGGAAAAGCTGAACACGAAAGGAGCAATCACCTCGCCAATCACAGGGAAGAAGTATGTGGCATCGCCGAACAAATCTAAGCCTGATTTTGACAGAATGCACTGTGACGCTTATGCCTATCATATACAGTAAGCAGTCAGCCAACACATGCCACCAGCTTGGCGAGTTGAGTCACAGTGCAGGCCTCTGCGGACTCTGGCTGCAAGACGAAAGAACTGGCGTCAGTGAGCATCAGGCCTTGCCGCAGCCCGAGGGTGGCACCGAGGCCTGTTGAAGGCTTGCAGAGGACCAAGACGGGTGCATCAGAAAGACTCAAGGAGCTGGCTGGCCCCGGCACCACTCCTGAAGAAAAGCTGCAACAGAAAAGTGAGTCGAAGTCCGTCCAGGGTCGTCCTGGCGTTCTGCTGGCGGCCGCGGCGTGGGCCGCGTGTGCGTGTGCCTGCCATGCCGAGGATAGGATGGCTGCCGCCCTTGAGCCTCCCCTCCCCTCCCCTCCCGAGGGCCCTAACAGCCACCTTGCCCGTCACCGTGGGGATCAGCTTCATGGCCCAGTTCACCTGTTCATGTCCCACAGAGGAAAACGAGTTTCGAGATTCAAGCCGGCCTAAGGCCTAAGGCCGTGACGGGTCTATGGCTGGTGCAGCTGATGTAGCAGTACCAAACGAAGCCGTAGCAAAGGAGACACCTTCTCACGACAGACTCCCCAAGCCGTTCTGCGAGGGTAAAACCGGCTGGAGTGGCCAGAAGAAGGCGATTCCAAGCAGGGCAGCCACGGACACCCATCCTGCACAGACAGGACTTAGGCGAGCAAACCTTCGGTACACGTGATGAATTTGCCTGATGAATCCAGAATGAGTACCACGCCGACTTTTGCGTGCTCTGCTGCAAAACTTCCAGCATTGCTACTACCGTTACTACCATCGTTTTCAACCCAAACATATGGGACCTTGAGGATCGCAGGCAGCTGGAGCTTGTCGCAGCCACGAAAAGCCTGGAACCATGACGGCATCACCACACGGTCAATTGTCTCCGACACGCCATCCGTTCAAATATCTGGATCACGACATGATGCGCGATCCAGGTAGCATGAGAACAAGTGAGGGACTCAAGCAAGTCTTCTCCCTGAAGAAACCCACCGTCTTGACTTTCCACCGAATCTTGCGAATCAGGGCAAGGGCAGACGCCCTGTGCCCTGTACACTGGGCCCTGTGCCCTTTGTGCCCTCTGCCCTCCCCCGCTCCGCCCTTCCGCCCACCTGCCTGTCGGCCTACCTCAACCATGTTAAACACTGAGTGGACGGGCTATGAAGGCCATGCTGTCTGACAAGCACAACTTCTTACGTCCCAGTACGAGAAACAATTGGTTGACATATTGACAAGATTCCTGTAATATCCTGCTTGCTGTGAACCGGTTGCCCCGTTGAGCAAGGGCGACTGCGCTCTGTACAGTGCCACCAAGACGATTCGTCATCTGTCATGCAAGCCCTTGAACGACCCACTGCAAGCATGACCCGCAACGCCGCGCCACCACCATACATTCGCTCTTGGGTGCTTGCCAAAGATGCTCCAAACGAGAGAACCTATCCAAGCGAAGACCTCAGATTGTTGGTTTGCTGCAGCCAGCAATTTACTCAGTCTTGGGCGTTTCCACCCGCTGTCCTCATTGCGGTCATGGCACATAGAGGCACACGCCGATGTCGTGAAGAAAGACCTCTTGGAAGCTATCCTGCAAGACAGCAAAGCAAAGCAACTGCTGTTTCTCCCCTTTCCGGCCCCAGCCCAGGACCCCAGGTCCGAATCCTTGATGGCACGCTGGTCCATCTCTCCGACTCCTGCTTTTGCTTGAAGCCTTAGTTCCATGAGCCCTCTTGCTTCTCAAGCAGGCACCCCAAGTAGGCGCACGGCGTCTGCATCAGCTGATACTGGATATAGGGTGCAAAGATGAGGTTGAGCCAAGCGCAGCCTTAACAAGCTTCCAAGAATTGCAGGCCCGGAAAGTGTAGGGAGCGAAGCAAGTCCCAAAAGTCCATGGTATGCCCACGTTATAGGATGTTATAGGTAAGGGCGAGCGACCTTCTGCTTCCGCTTCCGGCGACCCAAACAGTCGCTGATGTCCAAAGGCAAAGCTCAGGCCCCCACCCATCTGAACACGCAGCCAACTGCCAACACCAACCTGAGAGGCACGACGATATGCACTCGAAGTGCAAGAGCGCTGCAAGAGCCCTGACACTGGATCCTCCAAGGCCGCGGGACGCTCTTGGCCATGCCGTCAGGGAAAGTGCAGCTGCCGAGGTCATCCTCTCACTCGGGAGCAGACTTGCTGACAGGAGTGCGGCGCGAAAAGCGCGACCTAACCTCGAGCCTCGAGCAGGGCCGCCAGGCAGAAGCCGATCTCTGCGAGGCTCAGGAGGATGGCCTAAGCCGAAGCGCGAGGCCGCCGCTAAGAAGCTGAGGCCGGTGGCGGCCGGTGCTAGGAAGACATCTCTCACTTCCTGTTGTGCTGGAAAACGCGATGTTGCTGGGTTGTCAGGTGCTCAAGGCTCGCAGAGGAGGTCGCGAACCGGTGGCGATGAGCGCAGGGCAAGGCAAGGCTTGGCCTCATCTTGGAGAGCCAAGCCGGAACTACGATTTTTCTTGAACTGGCCATCCATGAATATTTGATCTTCCCGTCCCTTGCCGACGGCTGGTGCGGTCGCGAGCGAAAGGCGCCACGAAAGCTGGGTCTCTGCTCTGCCGCATTGAGCGACACAGCCCGGTGCTCGGTGGTGGTCGCACTCTGCAGAGGCCCCGAGCAGGTACTTGAGTGTGGGCGTGATGAGCATGCTGGCCAAGTTCCAAGGTCGCGACACACACCACATAGGTTCCAAGTGGGCGGTGCACGCATGCCGTGCAGCTTCCACAGATCTCGGAGCAGCAGTCCTGCCATCACGTTCAGTGCTATGCTGCCCGGAATGCGAGCGGCACCAACCAGCGACAGCCAGAGACCCGCGAGAAGAGAGAGAGAGAGAGAGAGAGAGTGAGCGGGACAGACAGGAAGAAAGAGAGAGAGAGAGAGAGAGAAAAAAAAAGAAACTACCACATCCCTGGAGGCAAAGCCCACGGGACGCGAAAGGCCCCACAAGCCTCGCAGTCGCAAAGGTCCCCGCATGCGGTGCAGGCCTACCGGCACAGCCGCTAGTGTGTTGGAAGGCATACATATATGACACGTTCACGCACGTAGTTTCTGATATGCTGCTGCTTCGGCTTCTGCTTTGGCAATTGCCTTGGCCGGCAGAGAGCAGACCTCTTTGCACCCGTTGAACACCTTGCTGCAGCGGGCTCACAAGACCGCTGTGAGAAGCCCCCATGCAAGGTGCAGGCGTGGATCATCAGGGTGGCTGTCTCTGCTACGGCAAGTTTCGTCTGCTTTATCAGAAGTTTCATCAGTATGCGAAGTCGCTGATCGTACGAGTAGGTGAACTCCAACTGCAACAAGACCTGCAAACCACAACAAATTGTCCAATTCAACTAATTAATCCCTTTCAGCTTTAAGCCTGCCAGCGACGCGCACTGTATATCCACGACAGGGGAGCGCAGGAGCTTCGTTTGAATCTTGCTGCTACGCTGCGGACAACCGTTTTGCTTTCCCCGGGCGCCCGTGGGTGCGTCTTCCGTGGTCCTCACTAGCTAACTTGAGGATCGGCCGGTGACACTTCAGCAACATGTTCAATCAAGTCAAGCACCGTGATGGAGGTTGACCTGACATCATCTCGCTGTGGTGGAAGCGCATGCTGCAAAGAGTGGGTGAGACCTACTTGGCAGGGTGAGACTTAGAGCATTCCCAGTTCGAACGCTGTGCTTGCATGCCTGAAGCTCATTGGATTCCCCAGTGAAGGCCTGCACTGCCCAGCAGTAACTCAAAACCTACTGCAAGCGCGCGCTTCTTTGGATTTCCGGTTACATGGACCATGCTGTTCCCCAGCTCCGCCCGCGCCTATGGCCGATGGCTTTCCGGCTGGCCTCTCAGCTGCTGCCGCCTCTGAGATTCCACTTGCTACCCCACGTCGAAAGAGGAGAGGCATCCACACACTGGTCCAGAGGTCTTTCTCGCTGATGATCCATCCAATCCAAATCACGAAACCCTTGAACCCTCAAACCCGAAAGCCTAAGAACTCTGGAGCTAAACAAACGACGGCACCGCTTTCCTGCGCGTTCTGTCCAATGTGCGTCGTGTGGGCCGTGCTGCGAGTCGGCCCCGACCTTGGAAACTGAAGTCTTTTTGCAGGCATGTCGAGGGTGGCACTGGCACGATCAATAACGTGGCAGTACAGCATGACAGCTCTGCACCTTGCACGGTCTTTCAGCGCCAGGCACGCTGAAGCTGCAATCCGTTCCACAGGACGGTGTGAAACGTGCTAGCCTGTGCTAGCCTATGTTTGCTGGGACCTGAGAAGATTGCGCCACCTGGCTCGGCCTGCCTCTTACCCTACGAGTAGGGCCTGGCTGCGTGCTGCACGATTTCCTGCACTCCTCTGTGCAGACAAATGCTTTTTTACATTGACTTGATGCGGAAAGTGGCAAAACTCACATTGCACTCCGCGTATGCACCCGGAAGGTCTGGCGAAGAACATACATGGACAGCAGCCACTCGGATGGTTGATGCTCCCCACAGATGTGGGCTTGCCAGCATCAGTCAAAGGAACTTGCGCCGTTAGCCTTTCCACTTCTCGTCTCTGAGCTTCGGCCTGCAAGTACTCCGAGCTAGTGGCCGATGCCGCGCTGCTGTCGCTCTGAACTCTTCTTGGCTTCCAGAAGCAGGGGTCGCTGGCATCACTGTCGCTGTGGGAGCTATTCGAATTGGAGAAGTAGCCACTGCTTCCAGTCTCAGCATCTGGGCGTTCTGCTGCTCTGACGGGAGATGGCTGTATCTCCTCGGCTTTTAGATTCCGGTCGGGGCGGCGGGGCCCGGGGGCGTGTCCTTCGGAGTTTCAGCACTCGGAGTTGTAACGTCTAACACCCGGGTCGGGCTGCTGCTCGGCTCAGGAAGTCTAAGTGTCTTTTAAAGTGTTTGATGTTCAAGAAAGCCGACAAACCAAGCCCCGCTGTTGATTAACCATTCATCCTGAGAGGCTTCCTCCTCCGCATCAGCGGAATCCTCCTCTTTGCCAGGCAGAGGCTCTTCAGCGCAGACTTCCTCTGGCTGCGGCGCCTGCGGTGGGAGCACGTTGATCTGCGGCTTCTCTTCACCTGCAGAATCTCCGAGATGCACCTACGAAAGCATCCCCGGGCTGATGTAATATCAACTCCCCGTTTTTACGGCATCCTCACAAACACCAACGAAAGACTATAGGACGAGGTGGAAACCTCGAGCTTGCGCCGCTTGTGTTCTGGCATGCGCTTTGGGCGCCCGGCGGTTGCAGCAGAACCACCCGAGTCGCTCAGGCTCCGGCCCCGGGTCTACCACGGCCATGGCAGGCGAAGGCTCGCATGAAAAGTCTGAAAGCCTGATCTTATGCAGAATACGTCAGTGCTGCGCCCTTTGAGAATGTGTTTCCTGTGCACTGGGAGGAAGGTCTAATGGGACTTTGCTCTTGGCAGTGTCCCCTGTCGAGCCCGATGCAAGCAGATGCATCAAAGCCACAGATTCTCATCTTCTCTCGACAGAGCATCTGAGACTTGACTTACACAAAACAGTCGGCGAAGCTCACGGGCACAGAGCTAAGATGGTCCTTGCTGCCAGGCTGCGAATGTGCAACATCATGGAAAGTTGTCTGAGGCGGGTGTGCTAGCACCTGCTCGATGAATACAACCAGAAGACGATGTCTGAGTCACTGCATGCAGAGTGTCATAAGACATCAAAAATCAACAACATGAAAGCCTCGATGAACCGCTCCTTCTCGCAGGTCTGCCGCCATGTCTCTTCCTCTCTCGAACAACAGGGCTGCTGACAGTGTGGCGCCGTGTTCCTTGACGTTCCTTGTGCCTGAGTGTTGAAGCTCTTCTCCTTCTCACGGAAGTTGCACGAGCCGATGCGCGACATCCTTGTCAAGGGGCGTCGGGTCAAACCCCTCGGCGACATCAAAATCATTTCTGGTGCGCCTTGACTCTGATGCCCAAGATCTTCTAGGAATTCACTTGAGCGAAGAAGGGCTTCGACTCCGAAAGAAAGCAGGTGTTGAAGGCTTCAAGTTGATGCCCGGCAGGCAGCAATGAAGATATCACTAGATCCGCCTCTGTCATGTCTCACCCCACAAGCTTTTTCCGCCCTGAGAAAGGGCTGAGGGGTGCTGAAGGGGTCGAAGTCTTTCGGATTCAGCTTGCGCTCTCACCATCCTGGCTGGGCACACTTCTGGGGCCTAGCAGGCGTGTCTGCAGAGGCCGACGCAAAAAGCCGGTCAGAAGGCAAGAGGAGCTGCACATGCGCTGGATCACAACAAAATCCGCTCCCTGTCTGTGGGGCGTTCTACAGAGTGCTAGCTGCATGCACCGCAAACAGACTGGGTTCGCGTTCTTAACTGCTGACGTGCGTTAACTGCTGGCTCTCACTGCAGCATACGTGTAGGTGTTGGTGTTTGCACGCGGTGCCTGCCTAGAAATTCGAGGCTCCAACTTGCCAGAGCCTTTTAACGGCAGAGTATCTCAATCTCAAAGCTTACCGTATTGTCTGGAACGGACGGTTCTGGCAAAAAGCTTTGACGGCTACACAATCTATGAGAGGCATGCATTCCAAACGGAACGGAGGCCGAAGCATTGTGCATGGCCGAGCCTTTCAGAGACTGTACATGCAAGGCCATGGCATCAAACTTCCTGCAGGGACAGAGGCTGATCGAGGGGTGCAAGGATCTTTCGGCCAAAGCCCAATGCCGCGGCCTTTGCCTCTCCCTCTTCTTGCATACCCTCGTCCTGAAGGGAAGAGCCAGCGATGCTGGTAACGCGAAAGCTCTGAATGTCACACCCCTGCCATCCTCGTCGGCATCGAAATCGAATCGACGCTCCTGCAGAATCACAGGAGCAGAGAGAATGCGGCAGTTCCGAGCCAAGGCTTCTCAGATCTTCTCAGAGTGCGTGGCACAGCCTTGTAGGGTTCGCGTATGGGCCCCTTGCCGAGACCTGAGCACCTGCCAGGGTGCCGCTGTAGCGGCTGCAGCTGGCATGACTTGGAGGCTAATGTACAACCCCTACTGCGCTAGGGCTTCTTGCTACCTTTTCTGAGAGCTCTCGTTGCATTAGCTTAGCATTTCGCAGTGAGACAAGTGCAAGCATGAGTCTTTGGCTTCTGCTCAGATCAGAGCACGGAAGCTACACCAGCATGCTTCCACACTACTTCTTCGGAGCTGCGGCAGCTCGTCAGCTAGTCGTCGTCGTTGTCGTCTGCCCCAGGAGTGGTGATCACGCTGAACCCATCATACAGGGCATATACGGCATAAGTTGATGTCTGTGCGGCTAGTTTCACAACTGCAGGCCGAGAATTAAAGCCTTTTTTCTTGTAAATTCCTCGTGGGTGATCAGACCTCTATCCAACAGGCTCTTCACTTCCTCGATTTGTTCGGTGATGGTTCCGGTACCCTGCATCTGATCCTGCGCAGGCGCGCTCGCCGCGCTCTCGCCCACGACGCAAGCAGTTACCACCGGAATCGGCCGAAGCGGCCTAGCAAAGGCTTGGCTCTTGGCAAAAATCAGGTTGTATCCCATTGAAGCGGTTGGGTCCTCCTTGCGTGCCCTTCGCACTAGCTTCCATCCGACGAGGCCGGGCAAGCTGGCTTTGTGCCTGTCCGTGGCTTGCGTCATGGCAGCATCAAACGCTGCCTTCTTTGCACAAGCGTAGGGGCACATTATGCAGAATCCACAAGGGCATTGCAGGCATCCAGGTACAGAAATGGTCTTCTCGGCTAAGGAAAGCTGCAGGTCGGACACGAAAGCCTTCCACCGAACATCTTCCACTGAGTCCACCAGCAATGGTGGAACGTCTGCCGGAATCCGCTGATTCCCCATGGAGTTCCAGCCAATGTTGACCCAGATCTGCTCACCTTTGTCATAAGCCTGGCCCGCAAATCGCATGTGGCTGGCTGGGCGTGGGGCCATGTCTTGCACAGTGTGCTCGAGCCCAGCTGAGCGATGGCTTTGTTGGCGTCTCCGGACTCCCAACGGCCCTTCGACAAACGTGTCAGGAAGACATCTTGTTGAAGAGGCCTTTGGACTTCTTATCCTGAGAAGAGGCTCTGCTCTCGGCACTGCAAAACTGTGAAAGCCCGAAGGTCTGCAGAAAGAGGTCTGAGGTCCTCCTCCTTCTGCCCAGATGCTGCCTCCTTTGCCAATACTCTCGCCTCTCTGTTCTTGGGGTCAATCTCCAAGATGCGCTTCACCTCAGTTGTAGGTGAAACCTGCGTTCATCAACTAGAAGCGTCTACCGCAGGCCGGACATCTCGAGTGCAGTCCCCGAAGTTCTTGAGGCCAAGCTCCGCCTTCGAGGCGTAACATGCGCACGCATGTCCTATCCTGCCTATCCTTAGACGTACAGGGTCAAACAGAGCTGTCTGCGCTACCTTGCCCTCGGTCGGTCTGATCTATCGAACTACGGCATGGCCTGCGCTCGTCTGAAAAGTGCCTTCAAGTTTGTCGAGTCGTCCTGGCTGCGATCGAATACAGCCAGAGAATTACGGGCAGAGGGTGCAATAATACCGGTGGCGGCTGTGGTGGTGGCTTAGCAGGCCCCTGTCCTTTAGGACCGTGTTGCAAGAGGTCTTCGCATCCGCAAAGAGCTCACACTTCAGCTGGCACGCGGCCTTGTTCAGGGTGCAGGCCTGGCGGAATCTGCAGTAACATCTAGGCCCCGGGATCGATGATCTCGATGGCCCCGGTTGCCCTGCCTTCTTCATATCAGCTGCTTTCGCCTTGTTTTCTGCCTCGAGCAGCAGGGCGGACTTAGGGCAAGTGTGTCATTTGCTGGGCTACACTGCGAAGAGCAAGAGTTTCACACCGGCGCAACATCGGAGGTCATGATGCGCCAGGATGCTTGGTAGTTGTCGGTGTAGCTGAACATGTCGACAACCTGAGTTAGTGCCATCTGCGAGCCCCTTGAAACCTCCTGAGTCATGAGTTTGCCACCTTCTTGTACCGCTCCATTGCCAGCATGAAGCGGCCTGCCTTGAAAAGCTTCCCACCAACCTCAGTCCAAGGCTGAGGATGTCAGGATGGTACCAGGCCGAGGGGCTGCAAAGAGGTAGTGGCTCTGCCACTTGGACATATCTACTTCCCTGTTCTTGCACGAGCCGTTGGGCGTATTGAGGTCCCGATCCATGGCATGTGCCTGCAGGCCTGCATGTGCTGCGTAGTTACATGTGTACATGTGCGATCGTGTGAACTCCGCATCTAGACCTACTGCACGTACACGCCTTACTGTACCTCAGAGCTTCAACTGTGGGCCTCCTTGCGAGCTGAGGCGAACTCAACCTGCACACTTGCTCACCCGGCGGAACCCGCAACGCATGTGAGTCAGTCGCTGTGGGCCTTCTCATCCTCTGACATGTCCCAGATGTCTTTTGCTTTATCCAAGCTGGTCAGCTCCAAAGTGAAGATCACCTGTCCATGCTCCGACGTGGCTGGTGTGGCCCTTGAGCTATCTTCGGTGTGGCTCTGGCGAAAGGCCACGATAGCTGCACGTGCAGCTTTTTGGCCCTGCAAAGAGAGTCGGTCCTGTGATTCGGCGTCTTGCCGGGTCATTGCCCAAGCCACTGTGGTCTGAGAGTAGTCTGCACCGAGCTGCACGCTTACAACATACCATAATTCAAACTGCTACTTCACGCCCACTTCAACACGGTGCATTACAGCCTCACTCAATTCAGTCAGTTCTTATTGACGCGTGTGCTGTTGCGGCGTCATCTCCCATGCTTCAAAGCTTGCATGAGCTTCATTGGTTGAATTGAGCCATGCGGCTTCGAGGATCACGACGAATAGAGCACGGATCGCACAGGTCCGTGGATGATATCTGAAACTTCGTAACCACTTGGTTGAACTGCCAGGAGGACATGCAGACGCCTTGTTTGGACATCTCCACACGACTCAACACCGGCGCCTTGTCCGACGTGATTTGCCCCAGGCCGAGCTGAGGTTCCTGGCGACGCAAGTTCTCTCCCGGAGCAACCCGTTTCAATGACCTGCAAGTCGCCTGGCACATTGAGGGAGAGCTGCAGGTCAGAACTGCCCTTTCACCTTTCTTCATGTCCATTACCTCAGTAACAGCTACAAGGCTGCCGGACTTGATGCATGCAGACAGGATGCACGCGCGATGTCATTACGCCGCGACACGGCGAGCTCCAGGGCATCACAAGCATCCCCATCACCAGCAGCAAACCTGCGAACCAAGACGGGACGTGTTAATCACAGCTACCACAGAGCTCGGCCGGCGACTGGGGCTCGCACTCTAATGTTTTTGCACTAAACCCGGGCAGTGGCGCAGAGCCATCCGTAGCAGCCTGTCGGATAATAACCGAGCACTGCTCTCGCTAGCTTCGCTTTTGATGTTCCTTACAGGCGCAGTCACTGGACCTCCACTTTCAGGGAGACTTTGGCACCTGGAGCTTGAAGACTGAAGCTAAGAAACACGGGCGGTGTCTTGCCACCACTGCCGAGGTTTCGACTCTCTTTCGGCCTTTCGTAGCCCTCGCCCTCTTTGATCTGACAACGCGCTGCCCAGCCGAGTCTTTTACCCGGACATCGACAGCATGTGTAGGCACCTGCTTCTTCATCAGCGACTTGTCTTTTGCCATAGAAACATCCGTGACTTCGTAGAACTCCTCCTTAGTCAGGCACCGGCTTCGAAAACACGGCTTTAACAAGTGTAGTATGGTTTGTCTCCAAGATTCAATCGCCAAGTCGATGACAGCGCCTGGCCGAAGGACACTCGGTTGCGGGACTCGCAGGTCACAAGGCGATGCAGCGATGCAAGGCGCGTCGGGGCAGCCATCTGGATGGGAGTCTCCGAAGGCGTAGTCCTGAGGCAAAATCGCCAGGGCGGGCCCTCTCGGAGCCCGGCCACGGCCTTCGAGCACTGCAACTTGCACTGCTCGCCCTTCTTCATGCGAAATAATGCCTGAGCTAACAAGCGTCAATCTCCTTTCAGGCAGCCGCACGAGTCACGGGGGCTTTGCCTTCTCCACAGCTTTGGTCAGCGGCCCCAGACCTTCAGATCCCATCGTGTACCTCGCCGGTGATCCGCCAAAGAAGGCACATGGCTGTGAGATTCGAGCGTGGGGCACTCGAAAGATCCCTTGTCCTCGATGACAGTTCCGTCCGGCTTGCAGGCCTCAGAATCACTTTAAACGCATATGCCATGTGCGACCGGACCGCTCATCTTGATGCACGAACGAAACTCGGCCTTGAGGGAGATCTTCAGCTCGGTGTTGATCTGGGGCACCTACCGTCAGACACGCCGAGGCCAGCCCGGCAGACCACTCTTCTGCCCGGGCTAAGCTCAACAGGGCAGCGGACACTGGAAGGGCCCGCAAGGCAAGAGAGAGCTCACCGTAAAACACTGCGACTGATACGACTCGGAATGACGTAAGACCCGGAAGCCCAATCAAAGCGAAGTGGCAACAATCCACCTGCCCGCCGGCAAGCGGGCATAGCATGTTGCAGACGCAGACGCGTCGCTCGTGTCTTCTACCAATGCAAGTGTTGCCCATAACCATGTCGAACAGTGACCAAACGAGGATGCACAGTTCGCATCCGCCGGGCACCTTCCAACCGGAACCCTCCTTGACCATGACTTTCACGACACCACCATCTGAGAAAAGATCTTCCTCGTGGTCATGAAAGAACACCAGAGTCCCAACATTGTGTCTTCGGATCTCCTGGTTTACAAAATCCAGGAGTTCCACTTCGAAGATGAGGGTGGCCTGGCATGGGCTTGTGCAGACTGAAGCCAATTTGGCGAAGCATCAAGCTCAGCACAACGTGTGCCTTGGCTGGGATCTTTGGCGGAGAACCACTGTCACCTGCGTACCATGCTTATGCCATGGGCATTTCCAAGCAATGCCTCGCAGACGACCAGCGGCGCATTGACTAGGCTCTCGAAAATCCACAAGAACCCCTGGCTGTTGCTCACCGTAAGCGTGCTCCGGGGCGATCGTGAACTTGGCCACCTCTCAAGTGTCGCTGTCGCTGAAGTCTGCCTAGCTGCAAAGGGCCCTCCTTTCCCAGAGGCCTCGCCCTTCTTCATCGTTGCCACGCCGAGATCCCATCCCTCTATCACCTGTCCCTTGCCGATGATGAACGTAAACCTCCGAGTCGCACGCAAATCGAATCAATGTTGCACACTGTGTGGAACAACCGCCAGCGATGTCATCTTCTCAGCCGTGGGCGGTTTGTTGCGGGAGCGTGAAGAATCGAATTCGGTCCCGTCAGACCTGTACTGAATCTTAAAGCTGCAAACCGAACATCTCCGACAGCATGGACGCATTACGTCTGGCTTCTGCTGCAAGAAGCCGTGGACCCTTACCCTGTGCTGTGCCGTCGCACAGATGAAATAAGGCAATCGAAAACTGCAAAATGGGCGGGTCAGCTTTTGGCGTCCATTGCGTGGTGTGGCCTCGTGTCTGTGTCGCCTGTCATCGATTCTTCCTGCAACTTCAACACGTAGTGAAACGTCCGGCTCAGCGGATGCTGATGTCATCACCTGTGTAGCTGCCATTGCCACGCTCATGTTTCTGATCGACTTGCCAGTCTGCTTACAAGCGAGTATCACCCTTCCAAAGCAGGTCAAGCCGTTTCACTGGGCTTTGCCAAGGAAGGGGGTTAAGTACTTGTGCGAAAGCTCCTTTTGCAGCCGATGACTTCGTGCGCGTGCGCGCACTGTCTGGTGTTTCAGAGCATCTGGTCTGAGTAGTGACGGTAAGATCAGTGATTGTGCGATGTCTTGTTGCTCGCGGATAGCACCCCTGCCCTGGAGGTCAGAAAGCAGGGGTGTCTCTGCTGACATAATTTCGACAGACTGGACGCTACGTGAGTATGTGAGCGTGTCCAGCGCATACAGTCGCTAAGCTGTTGCTCGCGGATAGCACCCCTGCCCTGGAGGTCAGAAAGCAGGGGTGAATAGAACGAGCCGGTTGCCGCTGTGCCGACCCTTTAAAGACTCTCTGCTCATGACGCGAGCAGTTGCCGGTAAAAGTCGGAAAGCTTTTCGCATTGCATATCGACCTTCAGTGAGTAGGCCAGTGTGTCCAGTGCATACAGACGATGTTCAGTCGCTAAGCTGTTGCTCGCGGATAGCACCCCTGCCCTGGTTGTCAGAAAGCAGGGGTGAATAGGACGAGCCGGTTGCCGCTGTGCCGACCCTTTAAAGACTCTCTGCTCATGACGCGAGCAGTTGCCGGTAAAAGTCGGGAAATGTTTCTGCTGACATAATATCGACAGATTGGACGCTACGTGAGTATGTGAGCGTGTCCAGCGCATACAGACGATGCTCGGTCGCTGAGCTGTTGCTCGCGGATAGCACCCCTGCCCTGGAGGTCAGAAAGCAGGGGTGAATAGAACGAGCCGGTTGCCGCTGTGCCGACCCTTTAAAGACTCTCTGCTCATGACGTGAGCAGTTGCCGGTAAAAGTCGGGAAATGTTTCTGCTGACATAATATCGACAGATTGGACGCTCCGTGAGTATGTGAGCGTGTCCAGCGCATACAGACGATGCTGAGTCGCGAAGCTGTTGCTCGCGGATAGCACCCCTGCCCTGGTGGTGAGAAAGCAGGGGTGAATAGAACGAGCCGGTTGCCGCTGTGCCGACCCTTTAAAGACTCTCTGCTCATGACGCGAGCAGTTGCCGGTAAAAGTCGGAAAGCTTTTCGCATTGCATATCGACCTTCAGTGAGTAGGCCAGTGTGTCCAGTGCATACAGACGATGATCAGTCGCTAAGCTGTTGCTCGCGGATAGCACCCCTGCCCTGGAGGTCAGAAAGCAAGGGTGAATAGAACGAGCCGGTTGCCGTTGTGCCGACCCTTTAAAGACTCTATGCTCATGGCGCGAGCAGTTGCCGGTAAAAGTCGGGAAATGTTTCTGCTGACATGATATCGGCAGATTAGACGCTACGTGAGTATGTGAGCGTGTCCCGCGCATACAGACGATGCTAAGTCGCTACCGCAGACTGCTTCTGACGCATACACCACTGCAGTGGTTGGAAAGAGCATAGACTCGTTGCTCATGGCGTGAGCAATTGCCGGTGAAAGCCCCTGCCCATGCACAGCAGGGGAGTGAAAGCTCTGAAACTTGGGACCTGGCTCCAAGGTGCCAACATAGTGCACCGTCACCTCATCGCCTGCCTGTGGAAAGCAGCGACTTCGATGCCGGAAAGGTGGCCAAGACCGAGGCCCAGCCTTCGGCATCGAGTAGTTAGCCTCCGGTGCTTCCTTCACGATTTCTTTCTTGATGCCTGCACCACGGCTCCCAATAACACGCTTTGAAAACTAGCTGCTCCATGCCGCTGCCAGGCATGGAAGCCCCGCCTTCCGGCAGTTCCTGCTGCATACCCATGTCATCATCACTCATATCATCGCCTCAGCACCGATTTCGAGAGAATGCGCAGGGCTGAGCGTGGACCAAGGCCTGCGCCTCCCATAGGAAAGGCATTGTCTGCACCCGCATCGTCTGACATCTCCGACCTTACACATGTCACATCGAACCGTTGAATTGCGAAGGTGCACGTACACGCTGACTAAGGCTGAGGCATCCTGAATCAATGAAGAAAGGAGGCGGAGCCCAGGCGAGCCCACGGACAGTTCTAAACGTTCGACCCGAGGGACTCTAAATCTAGGAGAGGCTGCTCTTTGCAGCCAGGTTCCTGGGCATGAAACGCACCTGCAGCAACCCGTCTACCGCCTGCCTGCGAGTCGCACGACATTAGCAGTCTTTAGGGAGCAATGGCCGAAGCCAAAATCTCTGCAGTGGTTTTCCCTTCTGCCCTGCAGCTTAGCTGCGATTCTCTTCTCTGCGAACTCCGAATTGAGCGTTGCAGTGCTGGAGCGGTTTGCGAGAAGATGACCTATTGCCCCAGTGCCCCAGAATGTCTTTAGATCGTTGCTGGCTCGTCCGTCTCCTCCAGCTTAAGCAGGGGATTGCAGAGTGCAAGGCTGGTGCTCTCCTCTTCATGTCGACGTGCTGCCATGCCCCCTGCTACAGAGAATGCAGCAAATCTCGAATTATCTCAGGAGCGAACCCAAGCTACCATAAAACAAATGCTGCGTGCACTATCCACGCCAGGGTCTGGCAATTAATGTACTCTCAGGCACCTCCTCCTGCAACAGCACGACCCGATGAAGCCTTGAGCACCGATGCGCGGACTCTCAGAGCAGCTAAAGCTTCCTTGCAAGTCCCCGCAAGTCTCGCAGATCCGGCGCCTTTGGCAACTTTTCTGGTCGGCCACTCTTCTGCCTCAAAGGATTCACCATGCTGTCCCGAACGCTCACGACACCCCAGCTATTTTGGGAAAAAGCTGGGGTGACTCGCAAACTAAACTTCGTCCGCACATGCCACAGTAAGGAGGTTGCCGGCAACTGCTGTTGAAGTACCGTCTGATTTGCAGATTATGCAATTCTGCCATCTACGCCCTCGCTCCGTGCACAACAGCGATGGGAGGGAGCTATGACCAAAAAATCAGATCACAAGATTCTTGGAGAAATCGGCCTGGATTGACTGCGAAACTTCGACTGAGCTCCCGACTCGGCAATCCGCTTGCGCTTGGCCTCTTTGCCCTCCCGCACGTTGGGGACTCGGACCGCATCGCATCCGGCTTTCACTTCGGAGTTTGCGCGACGGAAGCTTCGGAGCCGGGCCAGGATTGTGCACTTGGGCAGATCGCACGAGCAAGCCCTGCAGGATCTCCGGAAACTTGATGACCTAAGCAGACATTTCAAGAACACATCGAGAGGTCAGGCCATAGGAGCCCCACCTCCTCCGCAGCTGCGATGCGCTGCAAAGCATCCCTGCTGTAGACGACCTCCTCCTCAATAGCTCCATACCTGCTCGCTTCTTGTGCAATTTGTGGCTCCGTGCCCTTGTCAATATTTCGCAGCGTGATTCTCACAAAACGGACTTACGTAACTGCAGCGGGTCACATCTCCTCAAGGCCAAACTCTTTGCACGTCTGGAGCCTGGAAACAGCCTGGACACTGCACGAACTACACTGACCTTTAAGGGTGCCCTCGAGTGGTGTAGATCCGGGATCCAAGCATTTTGGCAGGTCAAGTTCTGGCCCAAGTATCGGGTCGCTGATTCCTCTCATGCGAATCGGCGAACTAGCTCATGGCAGTAGCTAATGCCAGAATTGCCTGGAGGCAAGGGACATCCAGTTGCGTCGCCAAGCGAAGCACGTCTTGGTTGGCCTCAGGGCCCAAAATTGCGATGCCCACGTCGGGCTGGCTCAGCTGAGGCGGCGACAGCATCCGAGCTGATGTTGTACTCTGAGCCGAGGCCGTAGACCAAGTCCAAGAGAGCTCTTGCTGCCTGACGATCCGAGCACAAGACACGAGAAGCTCAGGTCGCTGTCCTTGGCTGGATGTGCCCTCTGGCCTCCGGGCTGGCGATGTCCAGGTGCATCTCAGGGCGTGTCGGAGGAGGGAGGGATGGCACCTGACCAGTGAGACCACATGCTGAACGGAGTGCGGAAGTCCTTTCGAGTCTCTGGCTGTGGGCTCCTCCAGAGTTTTCTGGGGCTCTTCAGGTGGCACGTTCTTGCCTCAGGGTCGAGGATACCAAGCCCCTCAAGTATAAAATCCTGAGGCATGTTCCGAGCCTGACGTCAGATGCTGAAAACAACATGACGCCTGCTACTCCAGCCAAGACAGACAAGACGTTCAGCTTAGCCGTTCTGCCGACTTTGGACTGGTGATTGCACCTCTTGACAGTTTGATCTTGATTCGTCTGAGTGCGATCATTCTGCCATTGGGTAGTTGTTGCACAACTCGATAAACAAACACAAGGCTGTAGAAAGGCAAGCAGTTGATATGTGGCAACAAACTGCGCTCTCCACATACCAGGAAACTCAGAACAACTGAGCGGCATAAGGAAGCAAGTGTGTCTACAGGCTCCTACGGCATCTTTTCTGCAAAGAACTCTTTCCACAGGTGCTGGTAAGTCAAACCTCACCCGTCATCCGACTCCACCAACAAATTCCCGACAAAGACAAGGCTGAAAGCTCCACGCTGTCAATCCGAAAGCTGCACAGCCGAAAATAAGCCATGGAACCTTCGGCAGGCTCCGCTTTCGCATCGATCGCAACAGGAGGCACAGGGGCAGTGGAGCTCGGCGCTTTCCACTGATTGCTATAGATTGGAGGCGATGCTGCTGGCACCTGTACAGAAACACGAATGAAGCAACAACAGGTATCCGGTATCCACAAGCAACATGATACATTTGCGGTCTACCATCACCTGTGCCAGAGACGACGTGGTGGCCACTTCCAGGTCGGCTTGAAGAGTCTTTTCTTCTGGGCCGGATGTCGGTGCCTGCACAAGACGTCGGTCTGCAAATCGCTTGATGCTTGCACCCGGCTGCAGAGATTCATGATGTCACCTTTTGACGCCACGGTACCGGCGCCTTCTCAGCTTTCTCAGCCTTCTCCAGATCAATGCTGGCACTTGAGGGCGATGGAGGCTGACCTTGTTTCTCGACTGACTGCACCACCCTGGGTCCTATACCAAACATAGTAACAGGTTATCATAACATCAAGCATAATAGTAACAACTGTGTATATATACATATACATTTACATTTACATATACATATGAACATGTGTGTATGCATATGTGTATATATATATATGTATGTATGTATGTATGTATGTATGTATGTATGTATGTATGTATGTATGTATGTGTATGTGTGTATATATATATATACCAATATCAACTGTGCATATACATACTCTACCAACCAGGCATCCGGCGCTGCTGGAAGTCTTTCACGGCCTGCTCGTACCGTCGTACACGAAAGTTTGGGCCCAGGGATTCCCGGCTCGCATCTCGACTACTGGATGTACATAAGTTACATGAATGAGGTACCCTTCTTATAAGCCAGAGATAATCAAGGGCTTCGTGGGGAACGGCCAAAGGAAGAATAGAGATGCTCCAGCCGTGAATCGAAGCAGACTTTTCCGCTAAGCAGCCATCTTCCTAGCTTTCGCTCATGAGAACTCTTCGGGGAAACTGCTTGCCAGAATGGATGCAAACACAGCTTGAAATGGGAAGCACTGGATGCAATCCCACTTCCGCATACGACAGAAGCAAACGATGTTGTCCCTAAAGCTTCCTCCTTCCGAACCATACCCATGAGCTGTTCGGTCTTTACAAAGAACTCGGGTGGCCTTTTGCACCTGCTCACAGCAGGCCCGACTCATCGATGCCAGAACCACCTCCGAGCGCAGAATGCAGCAACTGCAGACACGCGAGAATCAAGCTTGAAAGGTACTGTGAAGTTCAGGAAGTTCTGATGGCACGGTGGCGTGCACATCTACTGGGCCACCAGTCCGTACGATGGTCTGGGCACCTTGTGAGCGGGCAGACGGGTTGTCCCAACGACCAAGTTCAGGTCATACCTCGGGCACTTTCACTCTTTACGAACTCTCTCAAGTCTCGCTGGCAGCGAAGAAGAACGGCAAGACGAGTTGTGATGAATCGCAACGCTGCCCGGACATCCTAAACACGCATGCCCTGCACAGGGACTGGGAACCTGGCAGCTGGCAGGTCTGGTAAAGGATCTTAATGCCTTCAATCGTGCAGCTGCAGGACATGCAAGTCAGTGGACAAGGTCGATCTTGGAAGCGACCTTCTGCGAGGTTCCGCTCTGCGGGCAAGGAAGGCATGTCATCTACCTGCCCCAAGGCGCACGAAACCTTGTGGAATCATGATGCCTCATGCCCCATGTCTCTGATGCGCAGCATACACTTCGCCTGAATCTCCAACGGTGTCGTCCCGGCAGCTTGCAAGTTGCTGACGGAAACGACCTCTCCAAGAACAAAGCAAAGACACTGCTTAAGAGCTCTTCGAGAACTTGGCCTTGCCCCACTGTGTCATCTTCACAGCAATCCCGGAGGCACCGCTTCTCAATAATTGAGCTTGAGCAAAACAGATGCAATCCTGGTATCCTGAAGGCAAAAATTCACTGTTACAACACCGATGCGAACTGGGAGGTCGTCGACACTAATCCTCCCGCGAATTCTGTCCACTTTTTCCGTCGCCAACTGTCAGCTCGCACGCTCGAACTCATCCGGGTCGACGGACTGTGCCGTAGAACCACCTGCCGTCAATCTTGAAATTTCGTCCTGAAGCAGATTCGTCATCATCGTCACCATTGCAGTCATCACTGTCAACCTCAGTATCAGCATCAACATGATCTTCACTACAACAATCACCACCACGACCGGCAAAGCCATAGGAGGTGATGGCACTAACGGCAGGAGCAGGACCATGACCAGCGCATGCAGGAGCAGAAAGAGGCAGAGAGGAGAAGGTGGAGGAGTAGGAGTACTGCGACGATGACGAGCAGCAGCAGTGGTCGCAGCAACAGGTATGCCTGCTGCTTCTTCTGGTGGATGGGGTTGCTAATGTTGTCGATACTTTCAGTCCCTTCCTCTTCTTGCTGGTCTTCTGCTTCTTGCTGCTAGAGCCAAGTCATGCAATCCCGCACGTCGTGCCTTCCAGGATGGAGCCCAGGTTTCCCACGTCGATCGCCTGTGTGCCGCGGCAAGCGAGCTCTGCAACCAGGAGGTCGGCAGAGGTGCCCCAGCTCACAGCCACCTAAAGAGATCAAAACGGAGAGGCTTCGGGAATCTGCACACAATACAATAAGCTTAAATGTACAAGTGCCTCGCCGTCAAACCGTTAAACACAGTCAGGCAACCACGTCTGCCTGGGCCTGCGCGACAGCCGCCAAGGTTGCCTGGCGACGTGGACTAACGACACAGGAGGACCCAAGGACCTACGGCGTCCTACGGCCCGGCGGCCCGAGGCCCCAGGCCTTCACCACTCCGGACCAAGCAGACCCAAGAGGCGGCTCAAAGCCCACGAGGTCAGGGTTCAAGGCGAGCACCTGGCAGTCCCCAAAAACCGGGGAACACGCTCTTCTCTGTAGGGGGGCCACGGCCTCGCGAGATCTGGAGTAAGGTGGCACCTTCGCTCCGTGCCCGAGCCTCAGTCGCGACCCAGCCAACATCAGTCTGGAGACTTGCAAGACGAAGCTCAGGGCCTCGCAGCAAACTGGAGATTTGCCTGCAACCGCCGCATCGCCGGATGAACAGATAGTCGAGTGCAGCGACAATGAGCACCTCCAGGACATGTTGAGCAACGTGCCAGACTGTCGATGCCTCATGGTTCAAGACCAATGCTCTGTGCATGGCAAGTTGCGGTCTTGTTGGCAAAGACCTCTTCCCATTGCGCTTGAAACTCCGCGAGGGTCATGGCCTCCGGGCCCGCTTTCGGCCTGTAGTTCCTCGTCGGGACATCTTTCCGAGTCGGCCAAAACCTCCAGCCTGAACCCTCCAAAGAGCAACTCAGGGCGGGTCACCATGCCGAAGCAATAACCTGCGGGACACTCCGAAACATGCTACAGCTACAAACCCATGCTTCAACCACAGAAGCCAGCTGTCAGCAAACACACCGTCCATGCGGCTAGGCAGCTTTGGTCCGGCAGCAATCCAGATCTGAAAAGTGCTCGGGTGTTTGGCAAACCTGCCGTCTGCCACCAATCCAGATGAGTTTGGCCGAGAGCCGCGAGAGTTGAGTTGTCGTCAGGGTGGATAATGCCAACACAGAGCCCGGGGCAGCGTGCTTGCACAGAAAAGCTGAGCCGAATGAACGTATCGGTGTATCTCGCCAGAGGGCCATTTACTTCTGAGTTCAGCTGGAGCTGCTCACCATCGTTGAATCGCATCAGCGAACCTCCTGCTATGAGATGGCGCATGGTCTCGGTATGGCTTTTGGCTTCCCTGCGTATAGTGGGAACGGGCTCGGGCGCAGTACGATTCGTGCGAGAATGTGACATCGAAGCGCGAATGCCACAGAGAACCGGTGTCCATAGTTCGTAGCCACACGTCCTCTCCTGCCACGGGCAGATGCCACGTTCTGGGCAAGACAGGTAGTGGTCAACCATCCTGTCCAAGACCATCACCCTTTCGGCATCCAGATGTTTCGACAACTCACAGAGGAGGCACAGAGCAAATGCAGCAGTTGGCCAACGAGATAGGTGACCGCCTTCACTGGCGGCCCGCACCAGGGAAGGCCAACCCTGTGCTGGACAGCACGACTCCGGCAGCTCATTGGGTGAGCGTTTCTGATAGAATGAAATGAAAGTTGCCACAGCAAGGCCACACGTTGGTACGGGTGCCACGGAAGTCGCCAGGCGTGCTTCTGGCCGGCCAGAGCAGAGGGCCTCGTCTGGAATTTGGGTCTGGGTGGCTCCGTGTGAGCCAAAGGGCAACTGCAAGGGGGCAGTTGCCAGCGCTTGCAAGACTTTGGCAAGGTCCTGAGGCGAAAGGATGTGCAGGGGAGCGGCTACTTGGAGCGCGTGCAAGGCACTATACAGGTGGTGCTGCCCTGTAAGGCTAAGGACAGCGGAAATAATCATTAGCATGGGCAGAAGCCGAGGTGCACTGACACCAGCCGGTTCTTTGGCAGGCACATCCTGGCCTGCGTCCAGCACTTGAAGAAAGGTGTTGTGCACATGCAACGAATTCGTAAAAGTAAAAGCGGGACGAAGATTTGCTGTACTTTCAGTGGGAAGTTGATGCAGCAAGCGGGCCAGAAGCAATCGTTGGCTTCTCGACCAAAAGCCCCAGGGCACTTCTGCAAGCAGGCAGGCCAAACACCTGAGTCCCGACATATCTGTTTTGCAGACCTGTACCAAGCAGCATGCAGCGCCGTCATGTCCGTAGATGCTGCAATGCTTGTCATGGTGTCCCACGTCTCGAAGAGTAAACTGTGCTTGATCCGTTCGCTGAAGAGCTTTCCGGATGATCTTGCAAGATGTTTGCAGAAGTGCTGCGCCAGCTGGGCAGGCAGAGGACCGCGACAGGCGTGCGCGAAGCCAGCGACCAGAAGAACACTCGAAAGGTTTTTGCGCTCCGGGCCGACAGCAGCGTGAAGAATCAACAACGGCTTGCGCGATGGCGACTCTCCACGCCTTCTGTCGCGGAAGCTCGCAGCGTATGTGTCGTTGTACGTTAGCCAGAAGCGGCTGTGAGCCACAGCAGTTATTTGGATGATACCAAACGTAATGCTGAGGCTCCGAAGCAGACTGCTTCGTCTGCTGCACTACCCCGAAGCACTTCGGGCGGAACTCTGCACTTATGTGGCAGCAAGAGATGCGAGAAGGCAGAAGCGGGCGACGTGCTGCTGGATGCAAAGATGCTAGCGACCGCTGCGCCGATCTCCAGGTTGTCTTCCAGCAGTCAAAAGGGTCCAGAGTATAGACGAGCTCGAGTTCCACAAAGTACTGTCTGGGAAAGGTTTTGTACCAGTGCCAAGGCTGCCAAGTGGAGACCATTTCCATCCTCGTATGAAAGGCCAGCATGGCCACTTCGTAGGTCTCTTGCCTCCCGGCAAAAGCGAAGCCAAAAGTCCCGCGTCCATGGGACCAACCTCCGCCACACTTTGAGGGGAGGGTAGGCAGTAGCATGTACTAGTAAGGTACACACACAACATGGTCACAGGGACTGATTTTTCATCAAGGCAGCCCAAACAGTCCCCTGCAAGGAAAGGTAGGCTGGAGGTCAGGCTGACTTCAAAAACGCCGTCGCCCAAACGACCTGAGAAGCGGCTCGCCCCACCCTCCTCCTCGCTGCCCTAGCTTACAAAACCACACCCACACAGATCGGTCAACCGGAAGGTTCTAAAGGCGTCAGTCTGCGAAACGGCGGCAGCTCCACGGCAGCACGCACAAAGAGCTCAGCCTGACTGACTGCACGATGGAAAACAGCAAGCCTTGGCTGCAGACTCCACACGGAAGCTCATCGCGCTCGAGGGACAATAATGACAACAATATTGGTAGGGACTGGTAGTGATAGTAGAAACAACAGCAGCAGTCATCTTCGCGATAGCAATACCGACAATACTGTGTATGTATGTCTGCATGTGGGTTTGCTGACGTAGCAGAGCCGAGCCGCGTCACGTTCTTCGGCGCCAAGACCTCACCAAGACCAACTGGCAGACTAAGCCTTTACCATCAGAAGTAAGTACCATCAACCTACATGCCTGGGTCCTCGTGCAACAGAAAGTCTGCGAGAGACAGAGACAGAGGGAGGGATAGGGAGACACAGAGCGAGACAGAGAAGACAGAGCCAGAGGGAGAGCCGTTTGACTTGTGCCGTAAGCTGCCGGCCTTTTGTCCTGGCAAGGCCTCGCGCTTGGGATGCAGTGAACGAAGTCAGTAAAGGTGCATGCACGTACTCTGCCACCGTAGGCCCTAAAAGAGCGCCTAGCAGACCTCGCAGCTCAAGCAGTCCAAGCAACAAGAGTGGCAGGAAGAATCGCTCCAAACTGTGCGAGCTTTTCGGGGTGGCGGGGTGAGCGGGAGGAACATGGGTAGCGTCCGTGGGTTTCAGCAGCATTGTGTGGATGCGCGGCTGTGGCGAGAGCACAATGGCGAATGTCTAATCATACACGCGCAACACACAGAGACAATGAATAAAAGAAAACAATACCTATACACACATAGCTACATCTAACTACATGTGGTACACCCGACCCACCAGGACCTACACTTCTCCCAGATCCCAACCTCGTGAAGAGCAGACATGACATGCATCGTTAGCGGAAAACTGGGAATCTTCCACTCCGGGGCGACCTGCGCAACCCATCGCTTTGACGACAAGCAGATGTCATACGATCTACATCCTGCTTCTTCTGCGACAGACCCGGGTTGTTGATAACGGAACCCATTGTTCAGAAACAGCTCTGTCTTCATCAACTGAGCGAGGCCCTGGCGATCTTCACCTTCCGAACGCGCCCGGGCACCGGCGGACAGTGGGACAAGTCAACCTCAGTCAATGTAGGGCTGAAGCCCAGACTGCTGTTTTTTGAACGTCCCTCACTTCCGGTGCTGCCCGGAACAAGCACAACTAGGATGCTCCGCGTGAACGAAACCCCCCTGAATCACGATGTGTCCATCCCTTATAGCTCCATGTCCTGAAAGCTAGATCATCTCCTGAAGGCTAACCGAGCAACACGGGAGTGGACGGCAAACGGCTTTGTGGCTTTAGGTCTTTCAACGTGGAGTTTGAAGGAACGGACTAATCTGTTGACAAGCACCCCTGTGACCCGTTTTCCGCTTCGCAGTGCCCTGGCCGCTTTCGATCGCGATAGACACGGGCGAAGTCGCCAAAAGTCAAGAAGCACTAATTGATCGAAACGTGTCACATACATGCTAAGGAGCTCAGGGTCTACAATGTTTTACTTATGCTTTGCGTTAAATACGCAGTGCAATCATGCAGGGAGACGGCTCTCACCGGCAGTTGCGGCCACTCGTCATCGAGCTGCTCGTTCTCTCGGCCTTCGCTGCACTCATTCCTTCAATCCTCCGGAGGCAGGGCTTGAACAGTGGCTGTGGTAGGTGTAGGGCGTGGCGAAGTCTGTGAGCTTCCCAGAGCTGGAGCACTTGGCAGCCAGTTGGTCGAAGCTCGCTTCTAGCTGCATCAGTGGAGGCGCGAGCACAGCGCAGGCGGCACCATGCAACAAGCACTTCACGGTGGCAATCATAGGACATGCTAGGTCCAGATGAGAGTCGTCGAAGGCGCGGGCCATTGCGCCCTCGAAGGACTTGGCGGTGCCAGGGCATGTATCGCAAGCACAAGTCAGCATCGACTTGAACATGGACCTGTTGCCGGAGTTGCCCACGAAGCCCAAGCAAGCACTGGTTTCCAGTGCACATCTCAAGCCAGCCTGTTGTGCGCACATGTTGCCCAGTTTGGCGACCAGATTTGGCTCCTCGCGCAGACACCTTTCTTCGTCGTACCAAGCCCGAAGCGTGGGACATGCCGACAGACACTCCGACGAGGGCATGGGCGGACCGGGTACTTGCATAACATTGCTCTGTGCACCCGCATGAGTGGCAAGCAAGGCAGGAAGGGTGGCAAAGGTCTTGTTCACCTGCGTGCTTTTAGACTGTCATCTTTTATGCTGAGCTGCCATCACAGGTAGAAACACAAGCGCTTGCCCAGCCACTACGACTACGATTCAAGACTGTTCAACGCTTGAATGGAAACCAAGTCGCTTCTTTCAAGAGAGCCTTCAGCTTGGACTCGGACATCTCTGTCACTGAGGCGGATCCACTGCCAGCAAGCTGGAGAGCATTCAAAGCACACGCCTCCTGGCCGTCGCACTCATCGTCAGTCTGCAGATTTGAAGTCCCTGCGCATGCACTGGATGACCATGAAGCAAGAAGCTAGACACGATGCACCCATCACCTCAGAACAACTCGATGCAGAAAAGCGTCATTCTCCATGTCCGCTCTCGGCAAGCGCCAAAGCTGCCGAGAACGCGCAGATGAAGTTGCGCAGCATTGCACGCAAAGAAGCTTCTGACAAGCTTGAGGCCAGAAGCAGGCGAGAAGCTGCTTTTGCTGTCACACTGCCTGGGGCCTCTGTTCTGTGAACCTCCTGCAACCCTTGGTGGAGCCCCAAACAAGACTACAACACCCCAAAGTGATCGATGAGGTTCCAGCCACTGTGAGGGGCCCCCCGCCGTCCTGCTGACGGGGGAGCCCTCGAAGCTCGGGAAGCCGTTGCAAAGTCCAGGCAGAAGCCTCTAGTACAGTATAGTATGGCATAGTAATATGATTTAGTGAACATTGTAGGCTATCCTTAATAATGTAATAATTCATTTCTTATAGTCTCCTATTGTTTATGATACCACAGTACGGCACCCATATCTTCAACTCAGCTGCGGTCACGAAGACCCAGCTGGACAGCGCAATCCCGAGAGGGACATTGCAGCACATGCGCACTGCATCTACTGGTCAGAGCTGTGACCAACTTGAATGCAAATTCAGGGCATCACATTGACATGCACTTGATCTTGCTCCCCTCTTGAACCAAAGCTTGATAGATCCGGTACACCGGAGACCTCGACAGAAGCTGCCTCAAGTTTCCATCCCTGCATCAGCAGAGCAGGCCCGCGATTTTTAAGCATTTCGCCAGGCATGGGCTCGTGAGCGCAATGCTGACAACCTGCAAACAACAAGCTGCGAGTGCAAAGAGTATCTGCTCTCTGATAGCTGAGGCATGCTCTGCCGTCGTATGTCAGCGACTCCAACAGCGTTGCCAGAGCCTCGAAAGGCGCAATGCTTTGCAGGATTTTTTTGGTGCCTGCCAGCCCCAACGCACTCCGGAGCCTTGCAGCTCTTGCGCGTTCTGGCCCAGCCTGAAAACCTCGGCTCGCCAGAATTAAATTCATGCACTGCACCCGCAAAGCGCATGCGAACTTCGATAATGTCTGAAGACTTTTGGGATGATGGCCTCGGACTCCGGTCTGTAGCTCTCCTCGCCGAACAAAAAAACTATTGCGCGCGCAACGATGCACTCTCCGTAGACACGATTGCGGTCCATCAGGAGGCGACTTGTCACCGGTTCGTTGGCTTCTTCATCAGCTGCATGGCCTCTTCATTCCCGCTGCTACACAGGCGCGAGCACTAACCACAACAGCGCTGTGTGAATGCAGCGCAGATCAACTCAAGTCTCCACGACATGACATGTCCAAGCTAAACCAGTACTGAGACAGCGGCGACTGTTTTGTTGGGTCGCTTCGCGCGCCTAGCACAACCACCGCATTTGACATCACACAGGCAGGGCCAGTGAAGGGGAGAACAAAGCCTTTGCGCAGCGGTGCGAGATAAGGTCGTGCATTTGGTGGTTTTTCTGTGCCACCTGCTCCAGCCGCATGCAGGCCGAAAACGGAGGACATGTCGCGCCCGCGCGCGCGCGCGCCTCATTCAGGCAGGCTTGGAGGGCATCTCCGCCTGCAATTCCGGCAGCTCGAGACCTGATCTCAACATCGCCCAAGAAGGTCCCAACACGTGCCGCAACCGGGAGCCGAGCCCAGCTTCCTGTGCCTGCACTGCGCCGCTGCAATCCAGGAGGAAACTCTTCTCACCCTTTTAGATCCCTTATAGTAGGCCTTCTATACCCCTAAACAGGGTCCCTATTCTAATTATCAAGGCCCCTAAACCCTAAACAGCCACGTCGCAGCCCGGGAAAGCCGGCGCCTCGAGCTTCGTGGGTGCCATTTGGCGACGCAGGGCCTTGACCTCAATTTTTTCACGGAAGTTGAATCCTGGATGGGGCGCGTTCAGGAAAGGGCCTCCTCATGATACTAAGTGCTATTACTGTGCGAACCCTGATCTTCAACAACCCCTGCATGTATCCCCCCCGCTCCATACAAGAGTCAGTGCTGCATTAACTCCAGAGCTTTCCATGCCATTTGTCGTGAAAGTTGTAGTTGTTCAAGATAGGGTTGCTGCCACAAGCACCTGTCTGACTTTGTTACTATCATCACCCTCGCCTCGGGGCTTGGGGGCCGGGAAGTAAAGAGTCCCACGTACTTCAGCAGCTTAACTCTGGGCCAACTGGTCAAAATTGTCCAGATCATTGAAGCTGTTTTCTCTCTCAGTCTCAACACACCCCCAGATTATCTGAATGTCTTGAATTCTTCGACAACTTCATTCCCAGCCCTGAGGCCCCCGAATTGAAAGGGATGATTTGGCTTGTTGGCAACTTGCTCCTGCGGCTCTTTGTGTAGATAGGTAGTTAATCTACACGACACCCTCCTCGTCTCATGAGTCTGCCTGCTTTTGAAACCCAAATTCACGTTAGTACACACACACACACACCAGCCCCAGGCCCTCGGCCGACCGCTGATAGCAACAGCCCCGTGGACAAAACTACAAGTACTACTTACGATCATCATCAGGATCAGGATATCCTTCGTACAACAAAATGGATACTTTTCTACTATCATGAGATGCCCAGCTTGCTCAGCTGCTCAGTCCCGGGCACGTCGACGCCACCTCGCCAACTCGCTCTCGGCGCTGAGTCGCGAAAGGGAGGCCTTCCAAGAACACAACGACATAGTGGCCACAGCAGCAGCGGCAGCAACAGGAGCAGTGGTAACCCCTCCAACAGCCGTTTTGATGCCTGCAGCCTATGCTCGCGACCTCTGGAATCTAAGAAGTGAAACCACTCCTCCGCATACTCAGCTCTGAAAGAGCCAGCAGAGCTGCACACCGCGCCGGACTCTGCAGCGATTCCCAGGTTGAGTTCCAGAACTACGCTGCGCTCGGGAAGTCTTCAGCTGCGTGCTTCCCAGCTTGCCACAACCTGTGCTGGAAGTCTGGCACGTGCTCGGACGACGAGGAAGAAGTACGCGTTGAAAGCGTTCATGACCTGCTGAAGCGGAACGCGGAAGAACACGCCTTGACACTGTTCGGTTGATGGTATCGTCTGTGCTGAGCCCAACACGGCCATGGACCAGAAGTAGAGTTGCATCCAATCAGTCCTGTGGCAGGCTGTCTTGAAAGTGTGTTTCAGGAACACAGCCGCCAAGGAATTCTTTATCCGGACGGATGCCTGCCTCGAAAAGGGATTGGTGTTTGCTGTTTGCAGCTGCCTCAGTTCGAGCGAAATTGTGAACGTCATCAAGGTCAGCCACCTGGTGCACCTTGCACTGCCTTGCACAGTTGAGCTTCATTCTGGAGAAGAAGCCTCCCTTGACCGACAGCTCGCGCCACACGATGATCACGGTGTCCTTGGGCGGAGCATGCCACAAGTGACAACAAACCCTGGGCTGAACGGCTCAGTCGACGGCAATTACTGGCAGGATGACTCTGAGGACCAGGTACACCAATGTGAGACGCCTCGGCAAAGGCTGGCGAGGTACGGCATTGCCCTGCCAGGTCTCTGTCCTTTGCAGACACGCTTCTTGTAGATGTTGGACGCCGAGAGGTGCGAGAAGCGCAGCAGGAATTTGCACATCCCCAATATGGCGCCCGATGCGTCGATGCAGATGCAAAGCTGGCACAAAACCTGTGTGCTTGTTGAAGGATTTCATCTAAGTTACTATAAAAAAGGCAACCATGTTCTTTACAAAAGATCCCAATATTATGGGAACTTATGCTAAATTCCTAAACCCTAAACCCTAAATTCCACCAACAAGAACCCAGAAACGCGGAAGTCCACGTCCGTCTGTGTCGAGCACAAGACGCAGATCGGGCTCACCAGGTGATGGATCAGCGTCTCCGGCTCCATCCTGGCCACACTACAACTATATCAACAATAGCCATAAGCTTTCTAATTTATCCATCTAACAAAAATAACAATCTAGTAGTTTAATAGTTTAAGAGTTTTAACAGATGCAAGAACAATAATAATTCTAAGAATATTAATAAGAATACTTTACTAAGAATAGTACAAATTTAACATAGTGATAACATTGTTGGTGTTCGCTACCGCTATCGCGGTCCTCTGGAAGCCAAGGCTAAAGCTGTCGAAGATCTCGTAAGACACTTCCAGACAGAATGCGTGCAGAGCGAGCGATGGGGCACCAAAGACCCATGCGAGGAGTGCCAAAGTGGCGACCACTCCATTGTGGACAACCTCGAGGAAAGACCATTGAAGACAGGGACTCACAACAGATTTTCAGATAGAAGTGAGAGAAATGTGTGATGTGTGCAGAAAAACAGAAGTCCCGGCGGGCAACAATGAAGAGAAGCTCCGGCCCGGTTCTCTTTCGAAGGAGCTTCCGCTTCTCCGTGGAGGAACCCTCTTCGGCGGCTTCGTGCCCAAGCGAGATTTCCTTCCAAGGAGGGCTTGGCGAAGACATCAAAAGATGAGAGTCGCAACCGTCTCTACGCGCCTTGCCGGGAAGAGGCTCCTTAGCGGTCAGGTCCCCTCTCTGTTGCAGGCAAGAGGGCGGATGCTGCAAAGGAACCTCCCAAACTTCGTCCCGGAGCTCTAGCCTTGGGGCTAATCTGTGGAGGAGCCTCACCAGTAGAAGTGGTGAAGACCTCGCAGGGAGCTCAGCTTGAGATTGGACCGGAGATCCTCTGTCACCTGTCCTCGTGAGGAAGTAACCCGCAGAGGAGCAGATCAAGGTCGCCACGAACAGCGAGAACGCGATGTCCTCACAGGCTGTTTTTTCGATGGGTCTGTACGCCCCAAGATAGAAACATGCAACGTAACGCAACCCTCACGACTCTGTCCTCCACCGCAAGGGGTCCGAACGGCTGCCTCTCCGGAAAGATCGGCACCAGAATCCGTAGTGGGGACCTGGTTGTGAGAAACTCAAACCTCCCGAGTACATGAGCCACGAGGCCACAAGGGTCTGGCAAGACGATCTCCATTGCAGCTGGGAGTTGCAGCTGCAGCGAACTAGTTTGGCTTTTGCCAGGTTGGCGTAGTTCCTGCTGACTGCAATGGCATGATGCTGTGGTGCTGTAAGGGCTCATAATCAAAGCGATAGTCCATCAAGCCTACATGGGTCAGGAGTGCTGTGGAACAGGTGCTGCCGCAAAACCTACGGCTCTGTTCTGGCAGCCATGGTCTCTGCTGCTACCACATCTCTTGGGCGTGATTTCATCAGGCATGCAGCAACAAAGTGTCTCAAAGCAACGATGGGAGCATGACGCTCAGTTCTACAGCCCTCCTTTTGCATTTCACATTCGGGACGTAGCACCCCTGTCTTGATGCAGCCGCGATTTGGCTTCTGCTTCACCAAAAGCGGAATTGGGCTCAGCATGAATTGGGTGAAAGCATCCAGGCGGCGTTGCCCATGTCCTGGCCTGCCTTGCGATACAAGTACTCCGAGACACGCCTTACACTTACACTTGCACCTGCATCGGGAGTTCACTAATGGCACGGGAAATGGGAGCCGGACTGCAGTGGACATTCGCTATGCTAAACATCCCCCCCACGGTGCTAGTGGGGGCTTCGGTTCAGGAGTTCAGGCTCCTCAGAAGCCGATCCTGTGACGTGGTGCCTTCTGTGTAGCTTCCGGCTCGTCCTCGTTGCAGCGCACGAGCTCGATCTTCGCCTTCCCGCTCTCGGCCTGCCCATGCGAGGAGAAACTGATACCGCTCGAAGCGTTCTTCTTCATCGGGGACATCTCCGCACGCGTCGGGTAGGGATAGTCCCAAGGCTTCTGGAGAAAGCTCCGCAGCTCCTCATAGTCCCCATCACTATGAGCCCCTATGCCACCCATCTGATCCAGTAGACCACAGTCGCGGTAAGTCTCGTCGTACCGGGCCACCTTGCAGTACCGCAGTACCATGGCCGCCTGAAGGCTCGCCTCACTGCGGAAGTTGGCACGCTCGTCATCCACCAAGACGATGTTCTCAAGATGGAGATTGCTGAGGATAAGAGAGGTGACGCTCTCAGCCCCTCCTAGTTGTGGGAACCAGCGCAGTGGGTGCTCTGCGACGTGAGTCAACACATCTGCCTTGTGCCTGTGGCATTCTGAGCACGGCGTCTGGAAGAGGTGCCATCGCCCGCTCTCCCAGAAGGCGCCATCACACTCGCCAGACTGTGCCGGCGACATGGACCAGATGGCACTGAAATGCTCGGCCAAACCAGCGAGCTTCAACAAGTTCAGCACCGCCACAACCCCACTTGCATTTTGGGTGAGAATGGTCAAGACACGCTGCTCCTGCACGATATCCTCAAACATCGACTTCAGCTTCTGCACCCTTCCTTCACACCACGGGGAATCAAAGTTATACTTCACAAGATCTTCTTGGCTCCAGTCTTTGAAAGCTGCCTCTGCCGGAGTCCAGCCGACCTTGGTTGCAATGGCCTTACTCTGGGGCATGAAGGTGGCCAACGTCAGCGTCTCATCGAAGTCAAAAACGACGAGCTTCACTGGCGGTTGGGTCTCCCAACCCCGAAAATCTCGCTCCTGGCAGCGGATTTGGAGGGTCTCCTTGCACATCCAGGGGTCCTCCACAAAGCGCTTCAGCGTGTCATAGTCCGCATCATGGTGGGCACCAATTCCCCCCATGTTCTTGACCATGCGCATGTCGTAGTAGAGATCTGCATCATACCGCGCAACCTTGCAGTAGCGCAGTATGCTGGCACCAAACTGACTTTGAAAGTTGGCACGCTGGTCGTCAACGAGCACGATGTTTCCCATCTGCAGGTTTTCGATGGCCGCGAAGCTGCTGTCCTGGCCAACCTGCGGAAACCAAGCATCGGGATACTTCGTCACATGTGTCAACACATCCGCCTTGTGGTTTCGCACCTTGTCCGATGGAGGGTCAAAAAGCTTCCACTCACCCTTCTGGTCCTTGTAGGCCCCATTAGGCATGTACTGTCGCCAAGGCATCGTCCACACGGCGCTGAAGTAGGAGTCCAAGCCAGCAATCTTCAGCATGTTGATCACTGCCTGCACACCCTTGCCATTGTTGGTAAGGACGGTCAGGAATCGACGGCGTCCGTCGGCACCTTCCTTGATTGCCTGGAGCATCTTCTGAAGCTTGACGATTCGGGAGCCCTCGACCCAAGGTGTTTCAAAGTTGATCACTCTGGCGATGTCCTTCTCCTGACACATGCATCCAGCTCTCGGCACAGGTGCCACAGAGAGGATCTCACTGCAAGGCTAGGTGCTACTTACTGCTAGTTTCTCTCACTGCAGCAAAGCACAGGGAAGTGTCAAGTAGGAAACATGCAGATGCAAGGCCACATGGTCAAGGAAGACTGCGGAGGCCTCGTCATCTGCATACTCACAGTTGCCGGTCATGAAGGTCGCCAGGGTCAGGGTCTCATCGAAGTCAAAAACGACCAACTTTACAGGGCAGTCCTGCCGATTCTCGGGTTCAGGAATGGGCTGATGGGCTCTCACATGACATGTCTGCCCACACCTTGCTGAGCTCGCTCGGAGTGATGCGCTCCGCACAGCGCAGCCGGAATGTTGCTCGAAGACTTGCCCGTTCCATTGGCCGGGAACGGCTCGCAGACGCAGCCACCACGCGGCGACCGCCAGACCTCAGCACCGCACCACGCAAAGAAGCTCTGAGTGCATGTGGGGATCTGCGACAGGTGGAAGACTGCAACTCGTACGCCAAGGTGCCCTTCTTCGATACCACTGCCACAAATCCACCCGTGAAACGTTTCTTTGACGCTGCCAGCCTGGCCCATCGCTCTCAGCTAGCAGCTCCAGCTGCCTACCATGGCTGCAGAGACAGAGATAGAGCCAAAAGCCACCGTGCCAAACATCCTTCGCAACCAGGGGAGAGCAGTGGCCGGCAGAAACCAGCAGCCACTATCCGGTGGTGTTGGAGGTTAGACTCACAGAAGCTCAGAATCACAAGCAAGCAACGAGCCTGCTGATCTGCAATTCGAAGCAGCTCTTCATGTTCCCGACTGAGCTCCCAAACCTCGAAACCGACCGGCAGAGATGCAGCTGCAGCTCATGCACAGGAAGAGAAAAGAAAAGGTTCACACTGGGCATGCAGACAGCACGGTCCAGGACGGCCCTGGGAATGTATGGCTTTCCGATCTCCAAGGGTTTCACCTGCGCCACCAAAGCTTTCAAGCGCACGAGGGATCGCGTTGAAGGACCATGTGCTGCTTACTGCGGAGGGGCATGAAAATATATTACAACTACCACATAATTTGATCTACTATATATATGTAATATAATGATAAGGTATCGTGTGATATACTATAGTAGAGTTTAGATAGTAAAGCAGTCAAGAGCTCTCGGAGCCTCGCCTGCGCCAGCACTGCCAGCAAAGGGTCAAGGCTCTTGTCCGCGAGCCAAAGGCAAGGATCCCTGACAGAGAGAGAGAGAGAGAGAGAGGCAGAGTAGAGTGAGAGAGTGAGAGACAGAGAGAGATCTCCTACTCTGACCTCAAAGGCTAGTCATGGACTCGGCAGGTGAATCATGAGACGGTCCATGTAGGATTTCAGTCTCTCTGTTGAGGACCCGGCTCCATGGTCGCATCGGCCACCAAGCTGGACCCCCCTTCCGTGCTGTCGTCCGAGAAGAACCTGCCGACGGAATCTTTCAGCTGCTCGACGTTCGGCTTCGGCTGCTGTGTGTCTTGAACATCTCCTCCAGAAGAGTCGCGAACAAGATCTCGCACCTCGCTGAAACCGTCCTCTGCTCTGTCGCAGGTGCCGGGAACGTCTGGCATTCGTCCATCTCCCAGATCGGAATGCTGCTTGGTATCTGTGTCCCCCGCCATCTCAGTCAGTATGGCATTCAGATGCCTCAGCGATCTCTGGCTTGTGACCTCCTCTGCCGCGGTGACGCTGGATGCAATGGAGACATCTCTCTGGGTCTCTGCACAAACCTGCATCAAGTCAAGTGCAGACGAATGAGAGTGACCCTCTTGCCTATGGCTGCGTAACGTCCAAGCAATCCGACAGTATTGGGAGGTTCATGGGTTTTTCTAAGTGGGGTTATTGGTCCCCTAATATGGATTATAAGTAGAGTTACCCTACTTATAAATCCACTTATGACTACCCATGAACCTTCAAGTAGGGCGAATGAGTGCGGCTCGGTTGCCTCCGGCTGAGGAGCTGGATCGGGCTCTGGATGGTCTGCCTCGTGCTCCGCCGTGTCTGCCGGCTCATTCTCGGAGTCGGAGAGGCCAAGAGCTTCCAGAATGATCTTCTGCCTGGAGGGTTCGGATGCCTCTGAGGTTGATGTTGAGCTGGACCTTAAGGGCTTCACAAGACTTGGTCTAAGCGCTTTGCCACCTTTGCCGTCGATGCACCTGGATGGCATCCTCAATCCTCAGAAAATGGGGATGTAATCCCTACAATTCTGTCTGACTGCCTAATGGCTGCAGCAGCGGTGACACCTGTATCGACGCATCGCTTAATGTTCCACCAGTGCATTGCAAACACTACTCTCAGCTCTTTACCGTCAGCATTCGTGGCTTCAGCCAGTGGATGCTCTCGTGAGACACTCCAGACCAGGATGGACTGGAGCCCCATGGCCCATGACATTCGCCATGGACTCGGAAGTCGCTTCGCGTCTTCCGTAAGATGCCGCTGTTATCCTGCGCGCTTGCTGCGACTGAAAATTCCCATCAGCCGGCGCACTGCCGAGCTGATGAGATGCATTGGATGCGGCGAAAGAGCTGTAAAGGCTCTGCGTTAACCAAAGCAGAGCCAGTAGCTGCTTCACAAGGGTACTCAGGGCCCTCGCAGCCTGGATGCTTTTGCATGAAGCCAACCCCGAAGGGCAAAACGATGATATGAAAAACCTGCATGCTGTGAGCTGGGCTTTGCTGTTCGCTCAGTTCTCGTGCAGCTGCAATGCAGGTACCTCCACATCCCCCCAGCAGCAAAAAAAAACTCGTTCGCGGTCCTGTTGTAGCGATCAGCCGGGCGGCACGTCATTTTCCAGCAGACGAAGCAAATGGACTGCAGCCGTTCATGTTGTAAAACCTGAGCTCAACCCCGGGCCCCGGCCATCAGAAGGCTCTTTTGCCGGTCTCTGAGGCCGGTCTCTGAGGCCGAAGCGCCTCCGCGTAGCGTGTGACATCTGAGCTGCTCTTCGGCCTGGCACGGGAGCTTCGAAGTGGGCTCAAAAGGCTCCGGCTGGGTCTCTCAGAGCGCTCACCGTCGCCATCTGGGATTGTTGATCTTCCGGAGCGCGGGAAGGGGCTCCTGGCATTCGGAGGCTTTGAGACGCGAAGCTCTGACTCGAGGGTCTGAGGAGCCAGCTCCCTTCGGAAGTATTGGGGCTGATAAGGTTCGCTCCAGGACCAGCGACTTGGCAGGAATCAAGCTGGGACCCTGATTCACTGGCGGAGGCTCGTGGATACGGAAAGGCCGCCACGTTTGCGGGGGTGGTCACCTGAACAAGGGAAGCTTGGACAACCATGCCTTCTTGTAAGCGCCCTGTGGACAAAGGTACAAGAACAGAAAGTGGGGCAGTGACGGAGAGCTGCGAGTACGGCTGCGTCCTTCCAGGTCTGGTCAACTAGCACCGTACACCAACTTCCTTGGGTGATGAAGCTTCTCTCAGATGCTCCTTGGCTGCAGGGTACACACCAATGTGCCAGGCATGTGACCTCAGCACGGAGAGGACGCTACGATGGACTACAACACAGGGGGAAGAACGCCTTTCTCCATGAAGCCTCATAGATGTCATTGGTAGAATATGGCAGAGATGTATAGAGATGTGCAAGCTTTTGATTCTCGCTGCGCTCTCTGCTAAACAAGTCAGCTCCCGTTCCAAACGCGAGCCTCCTAACAAGGCGTTACTTGCACTGTACGTCGCCTGCACTGCTCTCAGCATGCCGGAAAAGATGGCGACTTCAGGTCATCTCATCATCTCCTCCACCGTTCCACGAACAGACGAGACTGCTCGTAAAACACCTAGGTTCTCCCACAATGGCTTTCTGACGTTGCCGGTACTCGCGGTTAGGCAGACTATGACTATATCGCCGTCCAAGTCTCGAAGATGAAGAGAGTTTGCGGGCCAATGCGGACGTAGTTGGCCAGCCACCCCTGGCTTCCAGTCTCCAAGGTACATCGAGGAACATGGAGCATGGACCGTCGCAGTCTTCAGAACGAGGCTCAATGACAGAAGTACCGGATGCCTTAAAGAAAACGAAGGGACCCTGCTTCTTGACCAGTCCCGGGATGTCGAGAGGAGCTCCGTCCTGCGAGCTCATGACCTGCAACTCTCAGGGCTCAGGGAGGCGCAGAAGGCAGGGACTTCCGGAGCCTTGGTCTTCAAGACATCAACCGGTGCGGTCACCTCAGTGGCCATGTCGTACTGTATTTGATTCAGAAGTTCCCAACTTTGGGTGTGACACCGTTGTTGAAACGACTCCGGCTGCCAGGCTGGCCAGGATGTGCAGCACACCTCCTGCAGTGGAGTTGCTGGCCGTCCGACACAGGCTTCAAATCCCGCAGAACCTTACAAGCATACGGACGCTTCCACCGGCACTCCTTCGGAGACGCCGGCGTTTTGCAAGGCAGACTTGGCCGAGCCCTGAGCAAGTTCATCGCTATCTGTTGTCTATGCCTATGCGTTCGGAGGTCGCAAACCGTTTTCTGCATGCCATTGGCAACACAACAAGGCTTTCTGAGGTACATCTCTCTGGCTTTCGTATTGTCTGTCATGCATCTGCTGGATAGCGCGCTGAACTGCAGCGGCAGCGGGTTCTACTCTACTGCACAACCTGTAAGGTTTGAGTCGAACCGATTCTCATCAGCTACTGAGGATGTGCACACCCTGGCACAACCATAGGGGGTATGCTCGGAGAACTGTCCGACATTTCAGCTGATTTTGCAAGTGCAAACCCGTGTTAAGCGAATAAGCTGACAGAACGGAAGTTGTGATCTGAGGCACATCATCCATCAAAGGACTTCTATGGATAAATGGATGGATGGATGAGTGGGTGGGTGGGTGGATGGATGGATGCATGGATGGATGGACATTGGTCCGAAAGAGGCATTACACCTCTCTGAGGTTCCCAGCGCCGAGAAAAAGGCAGAAAGACTGCTCGAGAGCACCCTCATCATGACCGGCGAAATCTCTCCGAAGACCTTGACATTCACCCTTACAGGACAGTGACAACATCACTTCGTCATCGGCCGGAAGGATTGGCCCGAGTGAAAAGAGTTGCCGAGCTGGAACGAGAAACCATACCAAGCTCTTACTGCGGCAACAATCGATTGAAGCGCACCCCTATGGGCACATGGGCAAGCTAGCGGCACGGTTGCTGGCAAGCTTCGTACGGCACGACTTGGCTTGCCGTTAACAGCGCAGATCGTGCTGCCGCCCAGCCGAAGCCTCTCCCGAAGGCTGCGACGCCTTCCTGCAGTCTGCTGCTCGCATTTCTAAGGCATCTAATGCAATTCTTCTCAGGTATGTAAGGCTTTAGGCGATGTGTAACAGGCACAAGAAGGTCACAAGGTCCTCCTGCAGCATGCTTCGAAGAAGCTGCAGCTCTCCAACTGCACCCGGCCGCGCTTGGAGGCGCACTTTTAAGACTTCGAAAGGGTTCCCGACCACCGTAGCCAGTACGCCAGCAGCCAAGGCGCCCTGGGTCTTGTTGCCCACTGCCTGCTGCATCGGCTCACAGAGGCCGATCCGGACAGAGCCGTAGGTGGCCGCCCGGAGGCCCGCGGCTTGGACGCCCGAGAAGAGGCCTCTCAGGCCCACCCTGGACTGGAACTTCGCCCAGAAGCTCACAAAACGCCGGATGCTGAAGGAGTCCGCCTGTCTCAAGACATCTAGGGATTCCCTGCTTGCTCCTGCTACTCTTAAGGCAAAACCTCTCCAACTCACAGGGTCTCAAAAGCTGCCTAAATCTCTTCGTCGCCCTAACCCCTAAACCCTAAACCCCGAACCTTAAACCGCCTGGGCATCTTTGGCCGAGAGCTGGAGCTGCACCTTCACAACGTCGATGGGATGCGTGACAACCGTGGCACCAACCACGGCAATCCCGCTGGCCACCAAGTTCTCGCCTATCGTCAGCTTCCTGCGACAAGCCGCGAAGTCGCGACATGACAGGACGAGAGTGCCAATTGGAACCTATGCGTGCAAAAAGTCCAGGCCCCATGAAAAACTGCGACAAGCAGGAAATAGCCAGATCAGATCGTCTGCAACGCGACTTTGCTTGGCTAGTCAAGTCTCTGGCACGTGCCGCTAAAGGCGGAGTAGAGCTGCGACAACACGTGTGTCACAACTCAACCTGCGGGCGATGGCGCAAGGCCATGCAATGCGAGGAAAGTTTGTGCATGAACATCGTTCCTCTCTGAATCCTTTGTTCCAGCTTGCCCGGCAACCTGGAGCCCCGAAGTGTTGTTGCTACTATTCTGCGTACAGGAGAAAGGTTCTGGTGATGAGCTCATCTGTAACGGATCAGGCGAACAGAGAATCACATATCAGATCACGGGGCCTATAAACCCTAAACCCTAAAACCAGCACCATCCTAAACCCCAAGCCCTAAACCCGAAATTTTCTGATCTGCTTCGGCACGCGAACAGAGATCTGAAAGGGGAATCCGTCGCACGACGCCGTTTCGCAACCCCGCGAACCCGCGAAGCTGATACCTGCCGCTACCGTTGAAATAAAGAAACAGTGGGTCCTTTCAGATGCCATGGGCGAAGCTGCGATTGCTCGCAAGGACTGGGTTGCATTTCAGCCGTGGAATTTGGATCCCACGCTTGACGGTCTCGCTGTAAAGCAAGCAATGCTGCTCTCACAATTTGATCTTGTTCCGCATGTTCCGTGGTTATGAAATTTATGAAACCATCTCGATATCCTGAAGACCGGTTTGATGCTCAGCTATTGGCTAGGCTGCCGCGTTTTTCTTGTAAACTCTAATTCGCTCAAGCGCTTGGGCCGGAAGAAGGCAGAACAGGTGAGCCCGTTAGCCCAGGAGCTCTGCATGAAAGGGTAACTTCTCAAACAGCTCCAGGGGTCGCACTGATCTGCCCAGTGCTCCCACTCTTCCCTGTCAGTACGGCACATGTCGGAGTATGCACCAATTGCATCTCGCATTGTCTACGCCGACCTAGATCTGGATGCACTGAGGGCAAGTCGCATAGTTTCCTTCGGAGGCGGCAAGAGCCTAAGTTCTTGAACAGAAGTCTTCTGCTTGCCGCTCCAGGTTTGTGCGGTGTACAGAGAAGCCCACGTCTTCGACTGCACTGGGCTTTCCAAGAGCCAGCCTTCAACCAGAGCAGCTGAGAGTCCAGCTGACAGCATGGCAATGCCAACGCACATGCACGTTTGCATCCGGCTGCCAGGAAGCGCCAAAGCACTTGGGTATCGTCTGTTGCAAGAGCCTATCCTACATGCTTCGCAGTCTGCGAAGTCTGCAAAATTCAGCGAGCCATCAAGCTCAGCTCGTAGCTGGCAAAACGACGCATGCAGTCTGCGAATTCAGGCGCCGACATTCGGGCTGGTCAGTAAACGACTCGATCACCAGCTTGATGCGAACGGCGTACGGGCACGATGGCCATATATATAAGACATCGAGCTGCTATAGCTGCTACAAAAATAGACCATGATAAGAACAGGTGCCCACGCAGTGGTGCACAAGGACATGCCCGTGCACAACAACTGGAGGAGTTCTCTTGGGATGGGAGCCCGCAAAGAAATACTGTAAACGGCGTAAATCTCAAATGGATCAGCGCTGCTCTTAACAGATCGAACAGGTATGCTCTTCCTGACAAGACACGGAAAGTTCAACAAGCGCTGACCAATACCACGCCTTCGAGGTGGATTCCAGCCAGTTTCAAGCTGTTGTTACACTTGCAGGGTACGGAGTTGCAACCGAGGTCTGCAAGCGAGCTAGCAGTAGCCGTGCAAATTCGTCATTGTTTGACTCATGCAAAACGAGCTTTCAGGCCAGAACATCGGCCCACCGCGTCCCCAACCCCGCTTTGCATAGCGGGTGTCGGCGGATATTGCCCTTAACCACTCGAATCTGACCACATGCACAAGTTAAAAACATGGACCGTGAATATAAGCGTGCCACTTCAGCTTCTTGCCCCGCCCGGTCGTCCTTCCTGGATCCATGTGGAAGCCTTCGGTCACGAATCTGGCTGTGCGTGGAATTGATACACGAATTCGCTTTCGCTAAGCCTCCTGTTTGCCCAAGCTGGGGAAGGCGGTGGAAATCGCCAGTGCTGGATGCATTCTGTCGACCTCCATGCCGGACGGTCTCGGGCTGCCTGGCCACTTTATGAAACTGAAACGTTCCACTGTCACAGCGGCGACTCGCAAATCTTCACACCAAATCGAACATGAACTAAAGTCGATAAAGCGCAGCTCAGCGACTGCGATTCATCTGCTGGAGGCAGGCGCAAGCGCTTTTTCTGCGCTGGTGAGGGTCCTGCTTTGGGAGACTTCTGTTGTGGCGAAAGATCCGGCAGAGGCTTGTGCCGGCTGCCAGGCTCATCCGCCAATCCTGCAGAGCACTTTTTCGAGATGCAACTGGCAGAGCACTGGCTTCGACAGCGAGCCTGGGTTTGCGCCCCGATTGCATGCGACGGTGAACTTGGTTCTTTCAAGAACGTGTCTGGGCAGCTCGTGCGACCTCAGCAAAGAGAGCAACAGTAAGCAGGACCTGCAGCTCCGTCTCAGCAATCGCTCAGAGGAGCGGCGTGGTCGTGTCTAGGAAGTGCCCTCCGAAGGAGTTACCATTGAGCTCCAGGTCCGCCTTCGTCTTTAAGAACCACCTGAGTTCCAAGACTCTCCGAGCTCTCGGACAGAAGTTTAAGCTTTACGCGAAAAAAAGCGTGTCAGCCAAGTAAGGAGCTTGTCCACTGGGCGCACGGGGTATCCCTCCGGCGGCTGGGCCATCCCGGTGCAGAGCTCGTGAGCTCTGGCCATGGCAACGACCAAAACGCCCTTCCCGGGAAGCGATGACTGCGATGTGTTGATGTGCGGTGCCTTGATAAAACGGAATCTGTTGCGGAGGCTGCTTCTATGTAGGGGACGATGCAGCAGCTGCATATGGGCCAAAAAGTGATTGGCAACCGTGAAAGCGCGATGCTGTCACAGCGGAATGGACTGCCGGACGTACTCAGAGGTGCCTAGCTCATGTGTGGTTGTCATAGGTGTGTCAAACCTGGCCAGAGCAGCGAAGAGCGATGTGAAGCTCTGGTTCGCAGTCTCGTGACCAAGGCATCTGAGACTGCGACTTCTCCGGCGGCCTTCTCGCCATGTGCTTGATGGCGAGGACCTGTAAGCCGAACCGAGTGCGGTGCAGGCTTCCCATGCACCACTGAACGGCCTCCATGCTGTTGGGGTCCATCCCTTCTGCAGACATTCGCTGCTGCGGAGATTGCTTGATCTCCTGCAGGTGAGCAAGGCAGCGAGCACCAAGCCAAGCAAGGCCAAGCAAGCCTTGCATCGCCGGTCCTTCTCCACAACTGTCTCTAATCGGTTGTGGGCGTGCCTGCTGCAAGTATGCATTGCTCTTTCGCCAAGCGCATCTAGTCTAACGAGTGAGCATCATTGCGAGGGAGGCACATCCTTCAGACCGATATCAAACAACCCTTCCTCATCCTCTGGATAAACTCAGAGAGGCCCCTCAAAGAGGTCCCGGCTTGAGGTGGAGGAAGCCACCGCTGGCGCTCAGCTGCGCCATGTTCATCTGGAAGCCCGACCGGGGACCTGCCAGCTGCTGCTGTTGAGAGGAGCGAGAGACAAGGAGAGAGAGAGATAGAGAGAGAAAGAAAGAAAGAGAGAGAGAGAGAGAGAAAAAAAGAAAAAAAAAAAACAGCGAGCGAGAGTGAGAGAGCGAGCAGGGGCGGGAGGGAAGGAAGCAAAGCGTCGGCTCAGCACCGCGGCCTGATAGTCGTGCTTCAGTCTCTTTACGGATGCGGTCCTTCCATGTGTACTCCACCTTGTAACATTGTAGCGGTAGCGCACACCCCACGCCGCATCTGAAATGAAAGGGTCACAACGCTGCATTGAGGTCCTGACCCTAACGCGGTCGAACCTGAATAGTGTGGCAGAGCAACTTTAGCTTCAACTTCAACACCGGGAAAATTACACAGCAAGGCTGGGGTCAGGAAGACTTGATGCTGAAGTCAGCTTGGCTTCAAACTGATTGTACATGATGCCACCCGATGGATCTTGCCGCTCTCCTAATTCGCCCATGGTGTCCTGGAAAGGTCGAGTTTGAAGCGGATGCGCTTTGCTTTGCCGGTAACTTCCCATGGCCTGAAGACAGCACCACGGAGGCGCGACAGGTGATCTGTACAAACGGAGGCTGCTGAGCCAAAGACGAGAGGAGAAGAACGTCTGGAGGACGCACACGACACACACTGCTCCGTCCGGCCGTTGGTGAGGCGAAGCTCACTTTCAGAACATTTTGCACTGCTACTAGCTGAGCTGGCTTTCGTTGCAGGAACATGTAACATGTCGGACTGGTGGAAACAGTTTAGCCGCTCAGCTGCAACGAACGAGGTGACTGCACTGTTCCTGCAAAAAAGCTGGGGTTAGTTATCGGGATCTGCACGGAAGTGCAGCTGCAAGGAGCAGACGTGCTCAGCTCAGGGGGGGCCTGAACGAAGCGAATCACATCTCTTTGATGGAAACCCAAGGACCTGCATAGCGCGCCTAGCAGTCACGTCCGTCCTGGCCTCATCACCAGAGCCACAGCAAGAACACAAGACACGCGCTTTTGCGCGTGCTCCCGGGTCACAGGCGGTGGACGCGGGGGTGGCTGCTCGTGTAGCATTGGCAGCTGTTGCGAGCGGGGGCTCGGCACCTTTGCAAACTTCTACATTACCAGACAGCACCCTTCAGATCTCAGAACACCCACCAGGCCTGTGATACGGGTACCTGCGTCTGCGCAGGGGAAGCTTCCGGGCTCCGCCTGACCGTTGCACTGGGCTATACAGGGGTGCGGCATGTGCGGCCTTGCTGGCAATAGCCACATGCCTCCATGAATCTTCTCGGTTCAAACCTTGCTGCAGGTGCACTGCATGTCATCAACTCAACCGGAGGCGCTTGCTGTGCCTTGCTCTGAATCTGGTCTCATTGCGCTGCGGGCTGCCCTTGGGCTTGCTGCCGCTGGCCCTCCCTCGGGAGAGGCGGGCCTTGGCAGGAGGCTCAAGCAGGGAAGTCCACTGACCCCTCGTCGATCTGCGCCGAGCTCTCAGCCAAGCTTCGCTGGGAGCCGTGGGCTCAGCACGAGCTGGGCGCGACGCACGCCAGTGCTTCACCTAGCAACAGCACGGAAATCAGACATAAATTGCTCTTTGCTAGAAGAATGGCTGCACAACTGCCCTGCATGCAAGTGGACTGCAGGTAGTTACACTCGCACGGCATCTGCAGTGGTTCCCAAGTGGCCGCATTTCTTTTAATTCCTTCCAAACAAAGAGGACCTCCTTCTCCCACCTCCTTCCGCAATTGCTCGGCCTCCTTTCGCAGGCTGGCGGCCTGCGGCCGAAGAATGCAGCACCCACGACATGAAGCGTTCTGACTCTTGGTGACGACATTGGAGCCTGCCTACACCATTCCCGAAACCCGTTCCGGAACCTCACTGGCTGCTGCACTCAGCAGAGAGGGCTGGGAGATCATCGAGGGCTCCTGAACTAAAAAAACAACGCATCAACAGCCTCAGCGCGCGGATTCGCTGGGCCCAGCACCATCCATGATTTCACGTCTCCGGGCGACATCAGATCATGCTTCAGGTCCTCCAGCTCAAGCGAGCTGAAACCGGTTCATACCCTTCGGATTTTATCTCCTCCCGGTTCGAGAGCTTCGTAGCGAAGAGCTGCGAAGCTCTCGGGGCAGAAGGCTGGGCTCCGCGGCCTCACAGCGCCAACTGCACGCAACGAGTTGCTGCAATCCTGCACTTGGTCTTGGAGCCTCCAGGAGACGTGCCAGGAGCCTCGCCAGGTCTCTGTGCGACCTCAAGATGGTTTAGGGGTTTTAGATGCCTTCAGCAAAACGCTTTTTGCTAGGGCCAAAGGCCGGCTTGGAGCCCGCGGGTTCTGACGCCCTGGACTCGACAAGAGCGTTTCAGGTGGTCAGGCGCGGAACTGAGAGGCACTGCCATGCCTCTCCGGGATCGGATGGGCGGGCTGAGAGCGGGCCGCAGCGTGCAGAGCCTGCAGGCGAACGCACCAAAACCTGCCGCACCCCGCCAAAACAAAGTGCATATGCCGCGCCTCCTGGGCCATCTCCTGCTCCACCTGCCGATCAAAGTCGAGTCGAACTGGTGCTTCTCCTCGTTCCTTCCCCGAAAGCTTTCGCCGGGTTGGCCGAATTCATCAGAGCTCTTCGAAGGCCATCACAGACGGCACTCTCACGGAAAGCTGCCTGAGCCGCACAGGATAGACATGACCTCAAAGTCTGAACGGCTTGCCTGAGACTGCTCGTAGATTTCGTGGCGAAGTCGCTGCTCCGTGCCTCGAGCCTTCTCCAGGGGTACCAAGCAAAGCTGACACGTGAGCATCTGACATGTCTCTCCGACCCTTACAGCCTTACAGCCTACAACCATTGCTGGGATCCTTTCCTTACCTCGCTGCTCGGCTGGCTTGTGCCGGCTGTGACTGCTGCGCATGGCTGCACAAACATCCCTGTACTTCCAAAATCTTCTAGACTTCGTGGCCTGGTCCAGCATTGCTTCAGCCTGTCCCCAGAGCTTCGCGCAACTTGTGGCGGACTGAAGGCTCGAGTCTGTGCCTCGCAGGCAGCTTTGATGGCATCGTGCTTCAGCACCACCTGCGATGTCATCTCGAAGGCGTCTGAGCGCTTTTCCAGACTTGACATGTCGTGTGAACTACAGCGATGTACCAACGTCCACATGCAGCAACGCACCAACGCCGCCACCTCTTTCTCGGCGGCAGTTTCGGCCATGTGGAGAGATACTCTCCCTCTTCGATCCATGGCCTGCTCTCCAGGCAAACTCAACAAGATAATGTCTGCAGATGCTTCCACCTGCCACCGCAGTGGCGCCTGCCTCAATCTGCAAGATTCGCGCCTCGGCGGCCTCGCAAAAATGGTCGACCGACATGCAGCAACAGCAGCCCGTGCGCTTCGCTAAACATGTCCAGACAGGTGCAGCGAAGGTGCAGGCAAGACAACAGGCTACAACTAGCTGTTACTCTAAGTAACGGCTTTCAACTTGTGGCGTTTCAACCGAGTCTGCGCAGGTGGACCTCTGCTGTCGCCACTGCAGCTGTCTCAACCTGCGGAGGCTCATGGCTTGAAGCTTGGAACAGTCCTCGCAGCTCGAGTCTCTTTCAGTGCCTCTCGCAGCTCGAGGCGCAGGTTCTGGGCCACTTCCTGCTCGTGGCCTCACTGTGCAGACCCTTTACTCGTCCTTGCTGAGCCTAGCCGCCTAGCCCTAGCCTTCTGACGAAGAGTAAAAGCAAGGGGGGGGGGCGAGCATCGGTGCAGAGGTCTTCTTGTGTTCCAAGTCTGAGCTGGACATCTGAGACTGGTGCGAAAAGCTTGTCGAACCGCGGAATCCTCATTCTGGATCACCTGGATGCAATGGCTTAACATACACCCTGCTCCCTGGCAATGCACTCCCAGGCAAACACGCCTCCACTGTCGGAGCCGGATCCAAATCGGCTTGCACGGATGGCAGCGCCTGCAGTTTCGAGACTGGCCCACGCTGTTGACGGTCGAGGAAGACCCTTGCCTGCGTTTCCGATGGCTTTGGCGAAGCCTGCGTTTCGGCCGCCTTTGGCGGAACCGGCACCTGCCCGCTGCCACTATCGGACCCGCGGGAGGTTCGATGGTTCGGGATTCTGGCAGCGCCTCTGGCTGCCAGCCCATGGACTTCGCGGCGGTCAGCTCATCTCGAGCCTGCGAAAGTACGGGAAGTGCGCATTGTGCTGAGCAGGGCTAGGGCTCAGGGCTCCCACCTCCCAGAGACGTCTCCTCAGTTCTGTGCTCAACTCCTCCTGCATGTTCAGGGAGCACCTCATACCAAGGATCTGTCAGGGCGGAGGCCACAAAGGCCGCAATTGGAAATTTGAGGCCCGAGGGCCGAACTGCAGCTGGCGATTCTCTGCAGCCTCGCAAAACCACGGGCCCCCTGCAACTGATGCTTCTTGGCTTCGCAGTCTGGCGCACCTGTTCCTGCAGCTCTGGGGAGGAGTACGAGGTCTCCTCAATGACCCAAACAGGTTGAAGGCTCAGCCCGGCGGTTGCGTCGGTCATCGTTGATCCATGGAGTTGTCCCCGAAGAGTCTTCCCAGCCCAAAACGAGCGAGCATGATCCCTAAGCTGGCCACGCAGCGTACGTGGCGTCTTGACGCGGATCAGACGCTTTTTGCTCCTTCACCCCGACCCTGTTCCACATGCTTCCAGGGGCCGCATGACCGGCTTGCGCAAACAAGCGTATGGGCGCCACTCTATGTCGAGAAGCTCAACTTGCAAACCTACAGCCGATGATGCCCCTGCCAGCCGAAGTCATGAAATCCTTGCATGCTACTCGGCCCTGTCCCGACTTAGTGATATTGGTTTTATGCCTCCCAAAGGGACGGGATCAGATCCTTTGCTGCTTGCAAACACAAAAATCCGCAAAGCTCGGGCCCGGACATTGATCTCAGGGATCATCTCACGCTGGCGCTCCTGGCGCTGGCGCGAACCCTCCGACGGCAGAGGCAGAGGCTCAGTCTGATGGTTCCCTCGAGCCCGGACTCCACAGTCTGGCTGCGACAAGTGTGTACTTGTGATGCGAGATGAGAGAATGTCTTAGCACAGCATACGCTGCAAGCACCTAGCACAGCGGCTTTGAGCCCCGTCGCTTGCAGCATTCGAGCCTGGCCTGCAAGCCACGAGCCCCAACCCTAGAGCATCGCTGGGTCAGTTGATGCGCCAAGTCGTAATTGGTAATACAGCACTCCATGCTGGTTGTGATTCAATCATTACCTGCAGCGTACCCGCAGCATTTGGTCCTTCTCAGCATCAGCCTTCTCATCTTGAAGTGCACGGATCTCCTGCACCCACTGGTCGCTCCGGCTGCTTTTGATGCAGGAGCCTGGCCGGCCACCATCGGTCACCTCCTGCGCCTTCTCCAGCATCGACTCCTTGCTACAAAGAATTTGGGAGGCTCGGCTCTTTTTCCGGCCGTGCCTGGCCTTTGCTGAGATTTCGCTGAGGTAGATCGCCTTGCAAAGAAGTCTGGACCCAGTGAATTCCCGGCCCTGGCTACGCTGGTGCCTTGTCAGTCTTCTCCCTCTCCGTTCGCACGCTGGAATCTCTTTTGCGGTTGGAATCTCTTCGGCGCAGGGTCTCCTACAAGGCCACCGCAGGCAATGATCCCACGAAGTGTGAACGGAAGGAGGGGACCGTGCGCACACGTCTGCAGGACTCACAAGCATTCCCTTGGAGTCTTTTTGCGCTGGCGAAAGCGGCATGCTTCGTGATGGACGCGGGCGTGCCTCAGTGCAGACTCGCAGTGCCCCGACTTCCACCAGTGGCTCTTTGGCCCCTAGCTTCACAAAACCAGCTTAGCGCATGGCTTCTGCAAGAACGTGGCTTAGACTTTCGGTCGAGCCGCTGTGGCGATAAGCCGCCATGGGCACTGCCGGAAAGGTCGCCTTCGCTTTCGATTTGGGCTGCGGCCCTTCGGGCATTCGTGCCCTCCCCAAGCGCTCGGACAAGGCTTTGAGCGCTGATCCTCACAAAGTGTTTCAAAGAGCGGGGGGGCTGGGCTGCTTGCATGCTAGAAAGCTGAAAAGCTCTCTCGAGGCCTTGAGTCGCCAATCGTGTTCCCGCGTTGCTCGCGGCAGGCGGCTCAGGCTGTGAATGCATCACGTCGGCCGTGCTCGTCTTGGCCGTTCCGGACAACTTCTGTTTGAGCTGCTGAAGGTAGGACTCTGGCTGACCTTGCAGAAGATTCGAACGTGTTCCTGCACGAAACGAGGAGAGCACAGAAGACATGTCTTTCATCCAGGTGGCCCCGTCCGCCCCCTGCATTGGGAGTCCAATCTCCTCCGCTCGCTGTCGGCCCCTTGGACCCAGCCTCGAGCCTTGCAGCCACTGCCTGCACGCTTGCGGACCTCAGCTTTCTCCTGATGCTGGCAAAGGTGTAGGCGCAGATCTTCAAGTACGGCTGAAGGTGTGTATGCATGTGCAGAGAGAAACAGAATGCAGACACGTGCTCTGCCCATGGTAGATAAGGAGATAGATGCAAGAGGGAGAGACGGATAGATGTACAGATGACAGATGGACAGACGGACAGTGGCTGGATAGAGAGCTGGATGGCCAGATGCCTAACTGGCTCGACAGCAGGATAGCTAGACAACAGACTGAAAGAAAGACAGATAGATAGATAGACAGGTCGGCAGATAGGCGGACACAGATATGTAGGCACGTATAGTAGCATAGGATGTAGATGCATATCTGAAGTGAGTATACTGGGTAAACAGGGTCGTGACTCGTGCTCCACTCTCCCGTCAAACCCTTCACGACCAAATTCTTCGAAGATGAAGCTCTTTGCCCTGTCAAGATGCAGTCCGCTCCGAGCTGGACCATATCCTCCCTTCCGGCCTCGCGGCTCTCGCAAAGACTGCAGGCTTCTGCAAACTTCGGTGATTTCTCGTGGCCTGAATTTGGAGACTCGACGACCTGAGTCGTCACGGGAGCACTCTGGCGGCCCCACCTTAGTTTCAACAGGGCTCCTCAACAGCAGCCTTAACAAGATCGGACATCGGTATCCCTGATTTTTGTCAGGAGGACTCTTGCTCCTGAAGGTTCAGGCTCAGGCGAGGTCTGCTGTTGTTGCTGCGGTCTCCATGTAGTCGTCGATGGATACGGGGCTGCTCGGCCTTGACTAAGACCCGTTCCAGCTCATCGAAACTCCTCGACACTCGGACCGACTTCAGCACCTTGTGACGCTGGCTGCGCTGGCTGGCTGAAGACGCTGTTGATGCCGTAGGGCGGCATGTTAAAGGACGCCTCAGGAGCAAACGTCTGAGGTTTGAAATGATTTGAACGTTCGATTGAAAATTGTGCAGAGTCGCAGAAAGACTCTTGGAAGGTCCGAGGACGTCAAGGCCCCATCACATCGAAGGGTTCATACAGGGCAACTACCACTCTAAGCCCCAGCTGGACTGCTCGAGCCGGCAGATGAAGAGAAAAATAACACCTTAGCTTGATTTATGCCACAACGATGTAGCACTGAAGCCACTAGGGTCACTAGAAACGACAGCACAAAGCTTTCTGCTGACGCGTGAGTGAAGCCGGTCCTGGGCCAAGACCTGCGCCTGCCAACGCGAAGGAAAGACAGTGCTGCAGGAAGAAAAGGAGCTGCCAAAGTGACATTATGAACGTTGCTAGTGCCTTCGACTCATCCAGCTCCTGCTTCATCTTCACCTCTCGAAAGAGCAGTTACAGGCTTTGCATCCTTTGCTACTTCAGAGAGCACCTGTTCCTTGCGCATCTGCTCCTTAGCTGTGCTTGACACTGAGCTGCAGTGCTTGAGTCAGGCCCCGGGCTGCTAGGCTCAGCCAAGGGACCATCTGCTTCGCAAAGTTCGCTGCCTCCTCAGACGGAGGCCCCTTGGGCCCTTGAAACATGCGAGCTGTAGGCAGAGAGAGGATGAGAGGGGGTCCTCTTGAAAGATCTGCGCTCTGTCCTCACCAAAAGCTACAGTAATTAAAGTCTGCAGTCACGAAAACTGAAGGAAGCTCGGCTCTGCCTCAGACTGCTTCACCTTCGCATCTTCCTCAACAAAAAGCAGAGCAACTTGATTGGCGGAGTGAAGGACTTCTTCCTTCTTCCCCGCTTCCCGGGCTGGACCGGCCTGCTGGACTCCCGAAGCGGAAGCGGGCGGCAAAGCTCCCTGGCTCCGGGGCTTTAGATTTTAGCTAATGCTTTGTGGCTCAGGAGTCCATGGCACGCGGTGCAAGTCTACCGGTACCGCAGCGAAGTACCACAGGCTGCCAATTTGGCAGCTGCAGCCTGCGGAGACGTCCCCTCGTCGTCCATGGCGAAACGGACCTACCAGCGTGTCGAGCACCAGTGAGAGGAGGAAGGTGACTGCTTCAGTCCAAGCAGCAGAACTTGGCGACTGCTGAAGCTTCTTCTTCGCAGGTGTCCTGAACGGCTCTTGCAGGCCACAAGATGCTGACTCAAACCGAGGAGCAGTGCACTGTCAGCACATCTTGCACTTCGCAAGACGAACCACATGAAAACTACACAGAGACAGCAAGAGCAAACAGCTCTCGTTCAAAATAACAGATGATCGCTAAAACAGAGACGCGTGCGGCAGATTTATCCTTGCCTTGTGCCACACTCTCCTTTGGGCCTTTGGGGTGGGCGGCGGTGAGGTCTTAGGATTTGAAGCCGTTTAGGGATTCGGGTGTGAGGCTCGTCTAGGTCAGCTCCTCCGCGAGATGGGTGTCGACGGTGGTGTAACCGCCCTGGAGGCCTTGGTACGAGAAGGCATGTTCTGGGCCCCGAAAGCAGCAAATATTCTCCCCTGCCTCCGAGAGTGAGAGCTTGTTTCTCAGGGCAGCCACCTCCTGCGAAGCGGAGGTTGCAGTAAGCACCCATCACCTGTGCAGCCAGCAGTGTCTACGCCACGGCACCTTTCGAAGCGTCTGCACGGCGCGAGAGGGTTGTCCGTAAACCTGACAGGTGCAAGTGTGACGCGCCAAGTCGCTCTCCAGCATCGCATCAGCTTCCCGGGATCATGGAACGCCTGCCTTCTCCAACCCCTCCGCGAGAGCACCGTTCTGAGCCGACTCCGTCAACGCTGTCGTCAGCTTGGTACGAAGCTCGAGGGTTGCGGAGTCAAGGGCCTTTTGCACCACTGCTGGCGACGGCAGAGATTCTTGCGGTTGGTACTTGAATGGTTGGCCTTCTGGTCCTTCTCTTGCTTCTTGCCCTCTTGAGGTGTGGAGCTAAGAGGACCTGGGTGTAAGCGCGTCGATTGCTGGCTGTACCAACAAAGCCCTCACGTCCCCTGGCCTGTCGTGGCGCCAGGTTTCGTGTCTTCGGCAGATTCGGTCGATTGAATCTCTGCCTGCTGTGCCGAGCCAACCGAGGGCGACTGCATCAAGTCTGCTGTAGCGTGCCTTCCTGCTTGCCTTCATGGTCGCCACCTGCTTGCGTGCCTGGTTCCCGCCTTTGCAGGCGCAATGTTCATCTCCTCCAGACTTGAAGAACTCTGAGGGGCGGGCGGGTCCTGGCCTGCATCTTTACCGCTGCCGCCTCTTCGGACATCACCTGCCAGCCAGCTTCGAAGAAGGGTCCCGTGGGACCCTGGGATCCCCTCAGGTCCCGCAGCCCCAGCCCCGGCCCCAGCCCTCCTTCTGGAGCTCACGCTGCTGCCTCCCAAACCTGCAACGGCTTATGGGTTGCGGAAAGCAGAGCATCTGAATGTGAAAACCGCAAAGGGCTTCTTCAGCCCAGCAGCTCCCAGCTCAGCTGCTCCAAGTTCGCCTTCGCAGCGCAACGCCAGACAGAAACGGAAACAGCTTCTGTGCTTTGCATTTTGCAGTGTGGGACCTTGGCCGTCGCATCCGCTGCTGCCTTGAACCAGAGACGGCTCTGACCACCATCAGCCGCGAGTGAGCCCCGGCCGCAGTGCACCTGGATTTGCGTGGCGACCTCCGCCGTGAGCTTCCGCTGCGCTTGAGCCTGGTGGGTCGTCTAAGCAGAAACATGAACAGAGCAGAGTCGCCCGCTCAAAGGCCCCTGCATGAATGAGAGCCGTCTTCATCTGCAACACACAGGCCTGACAGACGCTTGCTTGATGATTATGTAAACACCCGACTTTGATGTTTCCATCCAAATTTGAAATGTTTGCAGCATCATCTGGACAAAGCTTGGTGATGTTTCCGACACATGCACCTGTTGCCTATGCTGCCAAAGCTTGTATGAGCACATCTTCCCCACAGCCAGTCCTCCTCATGATTGAGGGCGTCCTGCACCGCGAGAATGTTGCTGTGCACAGGCGAAGGTGACGAAGGCTGCTCAGGCTATGAGCTGCAGCATCAGCCTGAAGGGCTTCCATCTCTTCAAGCAGCCGAGCAGCGTCCTGTGCCAGATGCCAAAACAACAAAACAACAGAACCCAGGGAACATCGAGGCCGAGCTTGCCTGAGCTTCGGCCAGTCTCCTGACTCTGCGCCGGCTCAACTAAGGAATCATGTCTCGGGTGGGAAGGGCTGAGGCCTCTCTGCACGAGCGGCTCTTGACTGCTCCATGGACAACTCTTCCTTGATGTCGAGGATCTCCTGGAGAACATCCAACATAAACCAGCTGACAGGGAAAACAACAGGCAGACCACAAGAGGGAGCCTTGTGTTGAGGGGAACGCTTGGAGAGTGAGGCCCACCACTCTGCTTTTGCCAAATCTTTTCGAAGTTCCTTCAGCCTTTCGTCTCGGGCTGCCACCTCTGCTTGCCACTGTAGGTCAATCGCTCCTGGCGAGTGCTCTCGGCTGCTCGGCTTGGGGCCGCGTGGTGGGTGCCTCTCTGCTCTCTGCTCTGCTCTCGGGCCGAGCTACGCTGGTCTGACCAGCTCTTCACGAGCTTCCGCTCCGCCTGCGAGACCTTCGAGGACAACACTGATCAGAGCCTCAGAGCCTCAGCGCCCGCATGCAGCAGCTTCACAACTTGCGCCCTGCCTTGGCCTGCTCCTCTGCCAGCCTTTCTTTCAACTCCTTCATCTCCTTTGCTGTTGCTCCAACCCAAACTTCGAAAGCCAGAAAAGGCATGCTTTCATGCTTCAAGAGCTAGCAGAGCTGCACTCGGCCCAGCGGAACCAGAAGCAAGCCGCCCGGCGCTCATCTCCCGCAGGTCCGAGTCAGAAAGACGAAGCTCCTGGCAAACGGCGCGAGGAACGTGTGAAAGCTGCAGCCAATCAACTTCTTCAGATTTGAGAAACATGTGAAAGCTGCATATTCGCAGCTTGTGATTCCGTCTGACTCGGGACGAACTTTACTTAACGAAGGTGTGCCATTGCTGCTCATGTCTGGAAAATCTGAGGAGACTCCGAAGCAAGACTCGCCGTCCCAGGACATGCTCACTTAAGCCCCAAGTACCAAAGAACCACCCATTGAGTTCTTGTCAAAAGTAGTGCCTTCTAGGCGTGTCGGCTTCCTTCGCAGACACTTTCTGCTTCTTGCTTCTTATCTTCCAACCTCGCCTGCTGCTTCTCCGTCAAAAAGTCCGTGATTTCGCTCATCTGCTCTTGATGGATCACTTCCTCAGCAGACAAGACTTGACTTCCTTGCCGCTTTGCCAGAAACCCACATGAAGGTCCCCAGCCAGGGAAGACGGGTGTGTGCGTGCGCGGTCTCCTCGTCTTCCTGTCCCTAACCCGGCAGCCGCGAGTCCGAAAAGCTGGCAAAAACCGGAGAAAGGGTCGGGGCCGTGCCCTAAGTTTTCAGAGTCTACAGTAGGGGCCGAGTACTAAAAAAAGCCGAGGGGCTGCCTGGACGAGGCGCGTCTCCAGGGCTTCGCTTTTGCGCTGCTCCACTTGGAGCTTCGCCGAAAGGTTCGTGGTTTTGGCCGCAGTGTCGCTTTGGCATTTCGCAGCCTTGGACTGCTCCACAACAAGCTGTGCTTTCAAGGAGGCCAGCTCCACCGCAGAGTTCGAGGAATCGGTCGAGATGTCTCTGAGGCTCGTCTGGAACATGGTCTCGGCTTTCGAAAACTCCTTTGCCGGCTTCGGGGTTCAACAAGGCCCTCATGTTATTTTTGTTTAGAGTCTTTAGAGTCTAGAGCTATGTGCGCACGCTATCAAGTCTCCTGGCGGAGGATCTTCAGCTCGCGCTCCCTTTCTGCCAGCTGCCTCTTGAGCTCAGACGCGGTAGCTCCCTCGGTGCTCTCGCTGATCATGGCAAAGACCCGCTCTTGTGCAGGTGCAGCTGGCGTGTGGCCTGCTGCATTGGCAGCGGGTGCACTGCCCTCCTCCACACGTCGTTGTCGCCAGCCTGCCTGAATTTTGCTTGATGCAATCCTTTGCACGTCTTCCTTCGTGCCGCGGCAGAAAGTGATCTCCAGTGGACGCTCCTTGTCGACAAGCTTCTGGAACTTCCCGCGGTCAAGGTCCTGGAGGGAATGGCCCTGCACCGTCAGCAGCTCGTCGCCTGGCTTCATCCCAACTCCTCCGGCCCATCCACCTCTTCGGACGGAGCGGACCAACACTCGCGGGGCTGGTGGCCAGCGCTCCAGCTTGAAGCCGAGCTCAACACGTCCCTCCGCCTCCGCCTCCGCCGTCGCCGTCATGATTTCGCCGTCCCCCACACGAAGCCGAGCCTCGATCTGCGGAAGTTTCCGCGCTTTCTTGCCCTTCCAGTTCGCTTGGATCTTCGTCGACGCCACTTCTTCTGCTTGCCTACGTCCGCCACGTTGAAACTTCAGCTGCAGAGGTCGCTCAGACTTCACCTCAGCTCTCAGCTCGGTCGAAAGGCGAGCCCCGGAGTGCCGGTCGTTCCGAAGGCACGGAGCCGCATTTAGCCGCTCTGGCCGAGCATGACGCAGCCGCGGAGCTCGGTCGAACTCCCCCCTGCTGTAGTCTGCAGCCGCCCGGCCCTGCATCGTCAACAAACGATCGCCTCAACTTAGGCTGCGAGTTCTTTTGCCCCTTACTTTCCACCGGCACTGAGCGAAGCACCCAGCCTGAGGCAAGCACCCAGTCTCAGGCTCACGGCCTCAGCCCAGCCTCCCTTCTTCACCTGCACATTCAGAAAGCCCCCAACGCCTGCTTTTGGCCCCTTGCAGGGCTGGGCCTCGTAGACCAGTCCGCGCTGAAGCCGAAAGCCCCAGTGGTCCACGGACTTGGGCACCGTGGCCTTCAGCTTCTCCTCCTCGCCCTCCTGTCACAAGCCCTGCCCCCTTCCCCCCTTCATTCCACTACTAAGTTACTACTAGCATCTGCTGACAGCCAACTCTTGTCCCAGGTGCGCTTGCCTTGAGTTTTGGAATCTTCGTCTCGGCATCAGCGAGGCTGGTTCGAAGGCGCTGCACCTGCGAATCACATGGGTTGTATCGACTTCGTCGAGTTGTCCATTGTCCACGCTTCAGAGTGGAACATCGGTTTGGGCCCCCCGTTCTTACTAGCATCCCTGTCTGGCCGCCACATTCCATATTATGTCATTGAACTTGGGTATGGAAAGCCAATGAGGGCCCGTAACATGGGCACTCCCTGCAGATCTGCAGCTACTTGGGCTTGGCTTGAAAGGAAATTCGGGTCTTGCGACTCGGATCTGCGTGAACATGATGTGTGATCATGTCCCTCTTGCTGTCCTGCCGATCCATATGTGGACTGAGCTGGCTTTTGCAGCTTGGAACTAGCTCTGCCACAAGAAAGGGAGCTGGAAACGTTGCCTCGGCATCTCTTTGCTGGAGCTCCTGCAGAGACATGGCACTGCTTGGAGCACGGTTTCCGAGGAGCGGCCGAGGCTCTCCTCTTTCAAGGCCTGCAGCTCCACGGTCTCCTGACTCCCACAGCTCCCAGACAGTTGCTCTCGCTGCACTTTGCTCTCTCGGTCTGAAGAACGGCGAGGCGAGGCGCCCAGTAGCTTGGCGAGATCTGGAACGAAGCTCGGGAGCTTGGACTGTCGAGCTTCTCGTCTTTGGCAGCAAGCGAGATGTTTGCATCTTCAAGGTCTGCCATCAGGCGCTGAAGCTCCTGAGACACCATCTGAACTCTAGGATCGTCAGGTCTGTGGGTGTGTCATTTCCTGGACCGGAAAGACCCTCCATGCTTTGGTCGGCAGAACCAGTCCAAGACTCGCTTTCTTGCCGTGACAGTTGTTCTTGAAGTTGCCGAACTTGCTTGCCGTCATCCGACTCTCCCGAGATTCCTTGAAGATTGGCTTCTGCTTCTTTTGCCTGCGTATCCTCGAGAGGCGTCTTGGCCAGCTTCGCGTCCGCCAGCTCCTCAGCTGGCAGTCGCGCCGAGGAGCATGCAGTCCGCACGAAGGCAGCTGAGAGCGGCGCGCGGTCCCTTGCTGCCAGCTCTGCCACAAGCTTCAACTTCGCTTCTGAAGCGGCCTCTGCGCTAGCTTCCAGCTCCTGCCGCAGAGCTCACGAAACCAAGCTGCACAAACCATCTTCATCCCACCTGGCACTTCTCTCGGAGGTCCCGGTGGGATTGCTCCTGAGGAAGCGAGGCGGATAAACGCGCGGGAGTTCCGGCTACCGCAATCTGCCAAAACAAGTCCGAGATGCGCTCTCTTTCAGCTGAGGCCGCTGGTCTTGCTCATCACCATGCAGTTCTTCTGGCTTCTGGGAGCTTCTTTGGACGTCTGCTGTCGCTTTTGCAAGCTCATCTTGCAGCCGAGCGATCTCCTGAATGCAGTGCAGGCATACACGACCGAGTGCTTCGTGCCGTCCTTTTCTCCTGCCTTTGCTTTGGTTTGGTCGTAGAGTTCAACACGACGTCACCAGCAGCCACTAGCGCTCACGCTTCAGGAACTACTGTCTCGCGGACGAGCGAGTACTCAGACTCCTGGGTTGTTGCTTTATGCAGGTTCGGATACCCGTCGAGTCAAACGGCAGCACCGCGTCATCATGACTGCTCCGCCACCGCCAACACACCGGTGCACCGCCACAATAGCTCCGGCGCAATACCGATATCAACCAACACAACACCTTTCCTTCAGCCAAGGCACATGATCTTTTGCTTGCGTATCCTCGAGAGGCGTCTTGGCCAGCTTCGCGTCCGCCAGCTCCTCAGCTGGCAGTCGCGCCGAGGAGCATGCAGTCCGCACGAAGGCAGCTGAGAGCGGCGCGCGGTCCCTTTCTGCCAGCTCTGCCACAAGCTTCAACTTCGCTTCTGAGGCGGCCTCTGCGCTAGCTTCCAGCTCCTGCCGCAGAGCTCACGAAAGCAAGCTGCACAAACCATCTTCATCCCACCTGGCACTTCTCTCGGAGGTCCCGGTGGGATTGCTCCTGAGAAAACGACGCGGAGAAAGGAATCAAAACAGTGGCTGCCTCTTCTTCAGGTGAGCGGCAAGGTGGTTCTTCAGATTGGTGAGTTCCTCCTCCTTGGCTCGGAGCTCTGATCGTAGATTTGCATCATCGTGCGCCTGCGCAGCGCATCATTGACTCAACAGGAAGTGCTCTGCCTCTACCTAGCATCCTCGAAATGCAAATCCCTACTGAGCACCACCTGAAGCTCGTGCTCGCTGGCTGGGGTGGTGCTTGAGACGGTCGGCTGATTGCCTTCCAGAAAAGGCGGCAAAGTAGGGGATGAGACAACATGTGAGTACTCATGTGGCCTGGGTTGTCCAAGCGATCCTCTCGGGGCACCTTGCCTTGCAGCGCACCTGACAGCCGCGCTGCCGTCCGCTCTTCCGATGTAACGAAAGTACTGAGCCAGAGAAGGCGGCCTTCGCTTACACGGACAGAGAGCTTCATTGGGCGGAGCTGCAGCTGTGCCTGCGCAGCTGACCATGCATTATAGATACCATTTCCACCATGGACACGGGCCTTGAAGTTTTGGGAATCCATGCTTGAAACAGAGATCGCGTTGATGAATCGAATCTCTGCATTCACAGGCACAGCTGCACCTTGGGGCCGACGTATGTGAATCCCTGCCCCAATAAAAATCTGAGGAGGTCTGAAGCTGTGAGCTGGGCTGTGTCCCCAACTTCCCTCCAACACCTGGTCGCGAGCGACAGGACAAAGACCCTCAGTCCACGTATACATACGTGTATACGTACAAACATTTATGCAGGCATGCATGCATCTGTGTATACACACATATATATATATATACATACATATATATATATATATACATACATACGTACATACATACATACATACATATATACATATATACATATATACAATATCTACATATATACATATATACATATATACATATATACATATATACATATATACATATATACATATATACATATATACATATATACATATATACATCTATACATCTATACATCTATACATATATACATATATACATATATACATATATACATATATACATATATACATATATACATATATGCATATATGCATATATGCATATATACATATATACATATATACATATATACATATATACATATATGCATATATGCATATATGCATATATCCATATATCCATATATACATATATACATATATACATATATACATATATACATATATACATATATACATAAAAACATATATACATATATACATATATACATACATACATACATACATACATATATACATATATACATATATACTATATATACATATATACATATATACATATATACATATATACACATATATATACATTATACAAATACTATATATATACATATATACATACACATCTATACTATATACATATATACATATATACAATATATAACATATATACATACATATATCATATATATGCATATATGCATATATCCATATACATATATCATATATACATATTATATTATATATAATATATATACATATATATATATATATAATATATACATATACATATATACATATATATATATACATATATACATATATACATATACATATATACATATATACATATATACATATATACATATATACATATACATATATACATATATACATATATATATATACATATATACATATATACAATACATATATACATATATACATATACATATACTATATACATACATACATATATACATATACATATATACATATATATACATATATACATATATATACATATACATATACATATACATATATATATACATATATGTGCCCGATACCTTTAGGGTCTATATAACCGCGGTTTGTTGTCTTCAGCACATAATGGAAAGCAAAATATAAGGTATAAGCACAGCCCACATTACAAAGCCACGACCTGAAAAGTTTCGGATCGACTAGGCTATATTTTTCTATCAAGTAATTATAGCAAATTACTCGCATTCAGGGAGACGAGTATTATATAAACAGAACATTGAGTGTTGATCCCAACACTGTCGATGAATAAACATTCGTTGTGATGACATATTTCAGTGTATAGAGTCCATACATCTTGCAGGAATGATGTATCGTCGTGGAGATATGCATAGCACTGTCAGCAGTATATCGGCAACATGGACAAATTGTCCTGTCCAAATATTTCACCATTCGACTTATTGTTGACTTGCCAGCGCTTGAGTAATTGCATACGACATATCCATCCAAGAATCACGTAATAAGCATGCACGCTGTAATATGGCATAAATTTGTTTGTAATTTCCGCACAGGCCGGAATGCAAAACCTGACAGGTTCGGTACTCATGAATCGGATGTGTTCATATGACAAATTATGGGAATACATACGGCATGACACATCCATATCACATGATGCTGTCGCAACACTTACTACAACTCGTTGCCTGTTATATTCTGTTGTTACATATGCTACATATATCTAATGAGGCAAGCCAGGTCTGAACAAACTAGTTCCTTGTCAATAGGGTTTCAGTAGGAGGAGTGCATGTAATGTATTGGTTCGCCCTGTCCAGGAAGTGAAGAGACACATTATAGCCCCTGCAATGTGCCAGTTTCTTCTGTCCGTAAGAAGGGCTTTCCGATGTATCAGCTTCATATCAAGAGGGCTTCAGTAGGATGAGTGGGCGTGACAGGTGAAAGGCTTGTAATGTGTCCGTTTGTTCTGTCTGGGGGCTTTCGAATGTATAAGTTCCTCGCCAAAAGAGTTTCGATAGGCGGGAGTGGAGTGACACATTAGAGAGTCTATATTGTGTCAGTTTGTTCTGTCCAGGGGCCTTCCAATATACAGGGTCGCTTCAGTCTATAAGTTCCTTGTCAATAGGTTTCCATGGGGAATGGAGTAACACATTAGAGGGTCTGTAATGTGTCAGGTCGCTGTGTCCAGGAGCCTTCCAAAGTAGGATTTTCCTTGTCAATATACTTTCAAAAGAAGGGATGAAGTGACACATTAGAGGGCTTGTAATGTGTTAATTCGTTATGCCCAGGTCAATAGAGTTTGAACAGGGAGAGTGGAGTAACACTTTACAGGGCATGTAATGTGCCAATCTGTTATGTCCTGGACTTTCCAGTGTATAAGTTCCTTGTCAGTAGAGGGTCAATCGGAGTGGGTGGAGTGACACATTAGGGTGCCTGTAATATGTCAGTTTGATATGCCCAGGTACAGGGGCCTGACAGTGTATAAGTTCCTTGTTAGTAGGGTTTCAGTAGGAGAAATGGAGTGACACATTAGAGGGCATGTAATATGTCAATTTGCCCAGTCCAGGACCCGGGAAGTGAAGATAAACATTATAGTGGGTTTAATGTGCCAGTTTGTTATGTCCATAAAAAGTGCTTTCCGATGTATCAATTTCTTATCAGTAGGGTTTCAATAGGATAGGTGGAGCGACACATTATAGGGCCTGCAGTGTGTCAGTTTATTATGTCCAGGGGTTTTCCAGTGGAAAAGTTCCATTGCAATAGAGGTTCCATAGGAGGGAGGGGAGTGACACATTAGAGGGCCTGTAATGCGTCAATTTATACTACCCAGAGGCCTTCCAATATACAGATGCCCTACAGTGTATAAGTTCCTTGCCTTTAGGGGTTCAATAGGAATAATGACACATTAGAAGGCCTGTAATGTGTCAGTTTGTTTTCCCATGTGCCTTCCAATGTATCTCTATATATATCAGATCTGATGTGGTCACAGCATTAGCCAAGAAGGATATCACGTAGTTAATAGTCTTCACGATCTTAACAAAGGCGCAATTATCCGTATCGAAGGTATACATTCCCATGAAGAAGCCCTATAGATCCTTTCACAGATCCCTTGTATGGAGCCCTCATAGACAGCCTTTATAGATTCGTATAGAAACTTTATAGATCCCCTATATAGAGAACTTATAGAAACCCCGTATAGATCAACAAATGGAGTTCTTTGTATAAAACTTTGCAAGATCCCTTGCATGGAGCTTTCATAGACAACTGCTATATATTCCTTACCCAAACCACATGGAAGCCCTGTATAGATCCCTCGTATGGAGCCCTTCTGGAAAACCCTTACAGATCGCTTATAGAAATCTTATAGATCCTCTATGTACAGACCTTATAGAAATCCATTATATAAAAAACTTTAGATCCCTTACAGAGAGACTTTCTAGAAACCCATTATGGATCCAGAGCCTCTGAAGATGGTGGGTTTAGGGTTTAGGGCTTAGGGGTTTAGGGGCTTTTTCCGGTTTAGGGTTTAGGACTTATAGGGCCTCTAATGATGAGGATGGTTTCGGTTGCCGGGTTTCGCGTTAGGTTTAGGGTTTAGGGGTTTAGGGGCTTTGCCCGGGTTTGGAGTTTAGGGTTCAGGGCTTGGGGGTTTAGGGGCCTAGCCCGGTTTAGGGTTTAGGACTTAGGGTTTGGAGTTTAGGGCTTAGGGTTTAAGGGTTTAAGTGCCGGTACTTCCGCCAGATTTTGCCAGCAGATGTGCGAAATCCCTGGCCCTTTGTTTAATGCGGTATTTACAGGCGTTTTGCTCGGTGGCGGATCACTTCCGCCAGATTTTGCCCGCAGATGTGTGGGATCCCTAGCCCTTGAAGTGGTGGGTGAGAGGGTGGTGGGAGGGTGTTTGGGAGGTAGGGTGAGGAGGTGGAGGGAGTGTGAAGAAAGGTGATAAACCGATGATAAATGATAATAGGATGGTGATAACGATGATGGGGAGGAGTAGGTGGTGGGTAGTGGGTAGTGGTGGCTGGCGGGTGCTGGGTAGTGGTGGGTGGTGGGTGGTGGGTGATGGGTGGTGTGGTGGGTGGTGTGTGGTGGGTGGTGTGTGGTGGTTGGTGGGGAGGGTGTGGGTGGTGGGCGTGGCGGGTGAGGGGTGCCGGGTGGTGGATAATAGGTGGTGGGTGGTGGGTGGTGATGGGGTACAAGGCAAGGGGCTGAGATAGGGGGGTGGGTTGTGAGGTATGAAGGGGGCGGGAGGGTGGAGTGGGGGCAAGGGTGTATAATCCCTGCGAGCCGCGACCGAGCAGAAAGCCTGTAAATGCCGCGTTCAAAAAACGGCCAGGGATCCCACACATCTGCAGGCAAAATCTGGCGGAAGTGATCCGCCGCCGAGCAAAAAGCTTGTAAATACCGCATTAAACAAAGGGCCAGGGATTTCACACATCTGGTGGCAAAATCTGGCGGAAGTGAGCAGTCGGTACTTCTGTCAGATTTTGCCAACAGATGTGCGAAATCCCTGACCCTTTGTTTAATGCGGTATTTACAGGCTTTATCAGGCTTTTTGCTCGGTGGCGGATCACTTCCGCCAGATTTTGCCCGCAGATGTGTGGGATCCCTAGCCCTTGAAGTGGTGGGTGAGACACGGCGGTTTGGAGTTCTCGCAGCGAACGCCAGCCTATGCCAGCCTGCTGTCCCTTCCCATTTCCAACACCGATCTTGACGGCGAGGCTGTTCTGTCGAATGACATCTTCGCTAACTCTTTGGTAGGGTGGAGGTGGATTCGGGGGTTGAGGGGCGGTGGGTTTAGGGAGGGGGGGGGGGCTGGATTAGGAGATAGGTGGTGGGGCAGGGGGCAGGGGGCAGGGCGCGGGGACAGGGGCAGGGCAGGTGGGGGGTGGGGGGGTGACCCGTGGGCCCCATCCACGGAACCCCAGGATTTCAATTATTTAAATAATTGAAAAAATTGAAATAATTGAAATAATTGAAATGGAGCCGATTTCAATTATTTCAATTATTTGGGCCCTTTGGCGGATTTAAATAATTGAAATAATTGAAATCCGAAGGTTCTGTGGGCCCAAGCCACCAAATCCAGGGATTTCAATAATTGAAATAATTGAAATAATTGAAATAATTGAAATGGGGGGGATTTCAATTATTTCAATTATTTGGGGCCTTTGGCGGATTTAAATAATTGAAATAATTGAAATCCCCCCATTTCAATTATTTCAATTATTTTGAATAATTCAAATCGGTGGGATTCGTGGCTTGGCCCAGAACAGCCATCGATTTCAATTATTTCAATTATTTGGGCCCTTTGGCGGATTTAAATAATTGAAATAATTGAAATCCGAAGGTTCAGTGGGCCCAAGCCACCAAATCCAGGGATTTCAATAATTGAAATAATTGAAATGGGGGGGATTTCAATTATTTCAGTTATTTCAATTATTTGGGGCCTTTGGCGGATTTAAATAATTGAAATAATTGAAATCCCCCCATTTCAATTATTTCAATTATTTCAATTATTTAAATAATTCAAACCGGTGGGATTCGTGGCTTGGCACAGAATAGCCATCGATTTCAATTATTTCAATTATTTCAATTATTTGTGCCCTTTGGCGGATTTAAATAATTGAAATAATTGAAATCCGAAGGTTCAGTGGGCCCAAGCCACCAAATCCAGGGATTTCAATACTTGAAATAATTGAAAAAATTGAAATAATTGAAATGGGGGGATTTCAATTATTTCAATTATTTCAATTATTTGGGGCCTTTGGCGGATTTAAATAATTCAAATAATTGAAATCCCCCCATTTCAATTATTTCAAATATTTCTATTATTTCAATTATTTCAATTATGTCAATTATTGAAATCCCTGGATTTGGTGGCTTGGGCCCACTGAACAGCCTTCGGATTTCAATTATTTCAATTATTTCAATTATTTGGGCCCCTTTGCGGATTTAAATAATTGAAATAATTGAAATCAACTCTGCTGATTTCAATTGTTTCAATTATTTTAAATAATAGTAGTCATGCAGAAAAGAATAGAGCGTAAAATAGACCCTAGAGGCGCCTCTCTCATATATGTATGTATGTATATATATATATATGTATATGTATACAAACGCTTTTTCTTCGGCCGCACGCGTTACAGGTCGCTGGCCTACCTCGAGGAAAAAGCTGTCACTTTCAAAGAACCTGTCGCTGTTGTCTTGAGACATGAAGACTCCTTGCTGGCCTGCGCTGGAATGCGCTCACGATGGCTGTACTTCTCACTTCCTCATGGCATCCACCTCAGACTTCACCTGCAGGCAAGGCAATGCAAGGCACCTCGTCTCTGACTCTGAAGTAAACGGTCTCTGCTCACTGCTCGAAGCCTCCTGACGACGCTTCGTCAAAGGGTTCGCCACGGCCGCCACGAGCGCGGCGCCGTAGATCAACACCAAAGCAATGCCACCCACCTTACAGAAGCCGCTGTCGGCAGAAGCGGGGTGCTCACGTGCCTGTGGTTGACTGCAGGCAAGCTACCAGCCAGCCTCAGCTTTTGTCAAAGGCTTCTGTACAGAGTGCCCGGGTAAATATTTCGTCATGCAGGACCTACCCTCCCCTCCCAGCGTGGTGAAACCCTCGCTCGCACTTGGCAGGCACACGCTGTCAATCTCGATTTGGCCAATTCCGTCCAGCCCATCCGACTGTAAAGCTAGAGTGCCGCATGGCTTACATGGTCATGCACCTTCTGGTCCCTGTTCCTGCAGCACCGAGATTCTCAAATTTCGCTCAGCACAATCAGCGAATCCACACCAGCGGTGTCGGTGTCGCTACGTAATTTCAGCCGAATCGCTCTGGAGCATGGCCACGACGGAGTCGTAGGCGCCAGCAGGCTGCTCGAGTGCCAAAGGGCTGAGACCGGCAAAGGTGGCCGCCACGACGCGCTCGTCCACCTGCGAAGTGTCCCCGGCATGGCCCGCATCAAGCCCGTCGAGCGTCCAGCGCCTGGGGAGTGGAGCCCTGGCGAGGTGCCACGAAGGCCTCGGCACGTGTGAACACCGGGAAGCTGGACTTGTTGAGACGCAGAGTCGTCGAGCACCGAACAGGTGCTGCCACCAGGTAGAGGGCCGAGAAGGCGGCAATGACAAGGGCAATGGTGCCAGATCGTCCACCTGCATTGGCAAACTCAGCAGGCGTTAGAGTTGGAGGACGGAGCTGCGAGAGCACAGCAACAACAGACTGAGTCACTCACGAGCCATGATTTGGTTTGGAAGCTGCGACAGCGGACAAGCCGTGGCAGTCTTGGGCAAAAACTCTGCAAGCATAAGCCGCGGATCACGCACAAGTCACGTCAACTCACAAGCCGATGTGATAACCGTCACAACTCTTCCTGTTCAGCGTGCCGTGCCTTGGAGATGATGACAGGCGAGGGTGGCATGTCGGAAAAAGCGAGGCCAAGGGAACTCACTCCATCCTTATGCAAGGACCAAAACCGGGCACAGCGTCCTATACAGTGCCTGACACCATGCACAAGACGATGCCTCCGCAACGAAATGCATGACAGCTCCATCTTGGACTTCAGATGCCTGCGGAGCTTGCCGTAGCCGTAGAACTTACGTTGGCTTACCCCAACGTGCTGACCACACCCTTCGCCTCTTTGACCGTACTGGCCTGAGCCTGGGCCATACACCGACATGTGGTCAAAGCCTCCCTCCAGTCCTGTAACTAGATCCGAATACCTCGGCCTTAAGGAAACAAGCTCGCCAGCAACTCGCATTGACACTCTCAACGTCACGAGTTCTCGGGCCCATGCTGGATCACCAGAATCTGTGAGCCCGGTGGCCTTTCGAGCAGCACGGCCACCTCAACCCACCATCCGAGGCGAAGAAGCATCGACTAACTATACTATGATATACTATACTTAGTTCTACTAGACTATACTATACTAATACTATACGAAGCATCGACTGCAAGGATTGTTTGAAAGCTTCTGCAAGGGCAAGGTCGGCACGCGCCAGGGCTTGGATGGCGGTTGCCGCGTTCTCCTGCGTCTCGACTTTGTCGATGGCCTTGGCCTTCTCCTCGCAAACCAGGCACATCGTCCTAAACTTAAAAAGAACATGTCCCTGCAGGCAAGTCATCTGACGCAAGCCTCTGCCTGTGGAATCTCAAGACGGAGACCTCGACAGAGAAGCGCAGCCCGCGATGTGTTGCTGTAGCATGTGCTTCGAGTTCTCGTGAGACTGCTGAGAGCGGAACTGACGGGCCTGGCTTTCAAGCTCTGCCTCAGTACGGTCCGTATCCAAGCACGTGACAGCGCAAATGCCTATCCGTGCACACAGTCTGCCTGTTGCTTCATGACACTATGAGAATCTGGCTTGAAAGTCTCAGGAGTCAGATCCTTTGTTTCTACGCCGTTCAGCGCCACCAGCAAGTGCCCAGTCTGGATCTTGTGCCTTGGCACGTCCAGCAGTTCATAGCTCAGCAGCCTTCCCCCTTCTCGGTACCCTGCGTGGCAGCAAAGCTGCCCTCCGAGACCTTTGCCACCTGGCCGTGTTTACGTGCTCCACCGACTGGGTCGCTTCGCTCTGAATTTCCCACAATGTAAGTCCTCATGCCGAGTGACGAGGACAGGTTCGGGAGGAAGTCCTGCAAAGCCACAACCTAAGTGCAGACGCCACAGATGCCTCGCATCCCTGCCAGCATGGGTCAACCGAGCCAGTAGCCCAGTTTGGTTTCAGCATCTGACAGCGTGACCTCGAACCTGGTGCAGATCTCTGCAAAGCTTAGCAGGTACAAGCTCAGCCTCATCAAACCATGCCTGCGAGCACTTTCCGATGCTGCCTGTCGCCGTGGAGCACAAGGTAGCAGCTTCGAAAAAGGCTGGTACTTCGTCGATGCGCAATCCGGCGTGCCTCCAGGCCGGTGCCTTTGCGAGCAGCACGACCACCTTGCTCGGATGCGCGTGCCCCCCCGCATCTACACAGATCATCAGACGGGACGCCATGAATGGAAGCTTGAGAGCCCGGCGTGCCAGGGCTTGGATGGCGGTTGCCGCATTCTCCTGCGTCTCGACTTTGTCGATGGCCTTGGCCTTCTCCTCGCAAACCAGGCATATCGTCCTAAACTTAAAAAGAACATGTCCCTGCAGGCAAGTCATCTGACGCAAGCCTCTGCCTGTGGAATCTCAAGACGGAGACCTCAGCGGAGAAGCGCAGCCCGCGATGTGTTGCTGTAGCATGTGCTTCGAGTTCTCGTGAGACTGCTGAGAGCGGAACTGACGGGCCTGGCTTTCAAGCTCTGCCTCAGTACGGTCCGTATCCAAGCACGTGACAGCGCAAATGCCTATCTGTGCACACAGTCTGCCTGTTGCTTCATGACATTATGAGAATCGGGCTTGAAAGTCTCAGGAGTCAGATCCTTTGTTTCTACGCCGTTCAGCGCCACCAGCAAGTGCCCAGTCTGGATCTTGTGCCTTGGCACGTCCAGCAGTTCATAGCTCAGCAGCCTTCCCCCTTCTCGGTACCCTGCGTGGCAGCAAAGCTGCCCTCCGAGACCTTTGCCACCTGGCCGTGTTTACGTGCTCCACCGACTGGGTCGCTTCGCTCTGATTTCCCACAATGTAAGTCCTCATGCCGAGTGACGAGGACAGGTTCGGGAGGAAGTCCTGCAAAGCCACAACCTAAGTGCAGACGCCACAGATGCCTCGCATCCCTGCCAGCATGGGTCAACCGAGCCAGTAGCCCAGTTTGGTTTCAGCATCCGACAGCGTGACCTCGAGCCTGGTGCAGATCTCTGCAAAGCTTAGCAGGTACAAGCTCAGCCTCAACAAACCATGCCTGCGAGCACTTTCCGATGCTGCCTGTCGCCGTGGAGCACAAGGTAGCAGCTTCGAAAAAGGCTGGTACTTCGTCGATGCGCAATCCGGCGTGCCTCCAGGCCGGTGCCTTTGCGAGCAGCACGACCACCTTGCTCGGATGCGCGTGCCCCCCCGCATCTACACAGATCATCAGACGGGACGCCATGAATGGAAGCTTGAGAGCCCGGCGTGCCAGGGCTTGGATGGCGGTTGCCGCATTCTCCTGCGTCTCGACTTTGTCGATGGCCTTGGCCTTCTCCTCGCAAACCAGGCATATCGTCCTAAACTTAAAAAGAACATGTCCCTGCAGGCAAGTCATCTGACGCAAGCCTCTGCCTGTGGAATCTCAAGACGGAGACCTCAGCGGAGAAGCGCAGCCCGCGATGTGTTGCTGTAGCATGTGCTTCGAGTTCTCGTGAGACTGCTGAGAGCGGAACTGACGGGCCTGGCTTTCAAGCTCTGCCTCAGTACGGTCCGTATCCAAGCACGTGACAGTGCAAATGCCTATCCGTGCACACAGTCTGCCTGTTGCTTCATGACATTATGAGAATCGGGCTTGAAAGTCTCAGGAGTCAGATCCTTTGTTTCTACGCCGTTCAGCGCCACCAGCAAGTGCCCAGTCTGGATCTTGTGCCTTGGCACGTCCAGCAGTTCATAGCTCAGCAGCCTTCCCCCTTCTCGGTACCCTGCGTGGCAGCAAAGCTGCCCTCCGAGACCTTTGCCACCTGGCCGTGTTTACGTGCTCCACCGACTGGGTCGCTTCGCTCTGATTTCCCACAATGTAAGTCCTCATGCCGAGTGACGAGGACAGGTTCGGGAGGAAGTCCTGCAAAGCCACAACCTAAGTGCAGACGCCACAGATGCCTCGCATCCCTGCCAGCATGGGTCAACCGAGCCAGTAGCCCAGTTTGGTTTCAGCATCTGACAGCGTGACCTCGAACCTGGTGCAGATCTCTGCAAAGCTTAGCAGGTACAAGCTCAGCCTCATCAAACCATGCCTGCGAGCACTTTCCGATGCTGCCTGTCGCCGTGGAGCACAAGGTAGCAGCTTCGAAAAAGGCTGGTACTTCGTCGATGCGCAATCCGGCGTGCCTCCAGGCCGGTGCCTTTGCGAGCAGCACGACCACCTTGCTCGGATGCGCGTGCCCCCCCGCATCCACACAGCAGATCATCAGACGGGACGCCATGAATGGAAGCTTGAGAGCCCGGCGTGCCAGGGCTTGGATGGCGGTTGCCGCATTCTCCTGCGTCTCGACTTTGTCGATGGCCTTGGCCTTCTCCTCGCAAACCAGGCATATCGTCCTAAACTTAAAAAGAACATGTCCCTGCAGGCAAGTCATCTGACGCAAGCCTCTGCCTGTGGAATCTCAAGACGGAGACCTCAGCGGAGAAGCGCAGCCCGCGATGTGTTGCTGTAGCATGTGCTTCGAGTTCTCGTGAGACTGCTGAGAGCGGAACTGACGGGCCTGGCTTTCAAGCTCTGCCTCAGTACGGTCCGTATCCAAGCACGTGACAGCGCAAATGCCTATCCGTGCACACAGTCTGCCTGTTGCTTCATGACATTATGAGAATCGGGCTTGAAAGTCTCAGGAGTCAGATCCTTTGTTTCTACGCCGTTCAGCGCCACCAGCAAGTGCCCAGTCTGGATCTTGTGCCTTCGCACGTCCAGCAGTTCATAGCTCAGCAGCCTTCCCCCTTCTCGGTACCCTGCGTGGCAGCAAAGCTGCCCTCCGAGACCTTTGCCACCTGGCCGTGTTTACGTGCTCCACCGACTGGGTCGCTTCGCTCTGATTTCCCACAATGTAAGTCCTCATGCCGAGTGACGAGGACAGGTTCGGGAGGAAGTCCTGCAAAGCCACAACCTAAGTGCAGACGCCACAGATGCCTCGCATCCCTGCCAGCATGGGTCAACCGAGCCAGTAGCCCAGTTTGGTTTCAGCATCTGACAGCGTGACCTCGAACCTGGTGCAGATCTCTGCAAAGCTTACGTGTAGCAGGTACAAGCTCAGCCTCATCAAACCATGCCTGCGAGCACTTTCCGATGCTGCCTGTCGCCGTGGAGCACAAGGTCACAGCTTCGAAAAAGGCTGGAACTTAGCCGCCTGGAACCTGTAGGCGAGCAAAAGTCATGTGAGATACGGGCCATCGAAATCCGAATTGATTGTCTTGGAAGACAATGAAAGCATAAACATCACCAGATTTGCAACGGCACCGCACATGCAGCAGGTCCGAATTCCTGACCGCTCAACATCAGCCTCTGCAGGAAGTGTCATCCAAGACTTCCATCACCCCACTGTTTGGTGTGAGCACGAGGGCAGCACCTCGAGCTGCTGTTCTTCGTCAAGGCCTTCCCCCAAGCGCGCCTCCAGTCCAGTGTCTTTTCGAGCCGCATGACCACCTCGGTGGGCTTTCACTGCAGATACTGATGCCGGACGTGACGATACCGAGAGCCCTGCGTGCCAGGGCTTGGATGGCTGTGGCTGCGCTCTCCTGCGTCTCGACTTTGTCGATGACCTGAGCCTTCTCCTGATGAGGCGTGCAAAAACAAGATTTCCTTCCTTGCATCCATGAAGTGTCGCACCTCCGCGAGGGGAATCTCGAAGCTGAGTCCTCGGTTCATTGCACGACATCCTTCGGAAGTCCTGCTAAAACGGCCAAAGGCCGGGACGGACCGGCCGACCTTTCAATGCTTGCCTCCCACAGGGTCCCAGAGTCTCAAAGATGCAAGGACAGCTTCGCTGTCGAAGTTTAAGGCGGAGCCAAGCAGCTTGAAAGTCTCGGCGTTCAGCTCTTTCATCTGCGTGCCATTCAAAGCCACCAGAAGCTGTCCGGTCTGAATCTTGCTCCTGAGTCAAGTCTCAGCTGGGCATTGAAGCTGGAAGACCGAAGAAGCTCTATAGAGTCCTCTCGGCAAAGCTTCCAGGTGATACTTTCCCCACCTTGCAAGATCTTGCAAGTTGCAGGGCAACCAGACCATGGGGCTGAACCCCCACGCAGCCACACCCAAAGCTTTGTCCCGCGGAAACAAAATCCTGGCATGCAAACAGACAGAGGAGGACGGTGCAAAACATCATCTCAAAGAGAATGAGCTTGCAGACTCTTGACTTCGATGTGGAGACGGGATTCAAACGAAAGCAGCAGCTGTGAGGCTGCGCAGCGTGCCCACAGAGCGTCACCTACAGTTCAAACCTCGATGCTGCATGAGCATCAAGCGCATCGAGTTCGTCAGGTCCCCATTTTTCCCCCAGAACCGGTTCCAGCCGGGGTTCCGGACCCCAAAGAAAAAAAGAACAAGCACAGCCTCAAATCACCATGCGGAATGAGCAAAACTCTGGCCCAGGAGCCCCCTGGACAAACGTTCCAGCCTCAAAAATGTTGGAGCAATGAACGAGGTTGTTGCCCGACAAGCTTTTCATCCCACCCATGCGCACAACCATGGATGACAGAACAGTCTAAGGCAGTGCACCATCACAGGTTCCGGAGGAATCCCAGCGAAGCCACAACCTAGAAGGATGTGGGTCTCAGCTCCGCTCCAGAATAAGAGAATTGACTCAGCGGCTGTCCAAGTTTGACCTCGGCGTCCTCCAGTACGATTTCGAACCTGGCGGAACGCCACCGACGTTAAAGCACGTCGTGATTCGTGGCTCCCGGTGCTGGGCACTACACTTGTTGGCAGAAGCAGCCTGAGACTAAAAACGCATCGCGCGTGCGAAGCCAAGGACGACTAGAAAAAGACATTCCTTCTTCGGCCTTCGTCGCAGTGCTCTTTCTCGCCTGGTGGCCCCCTGGTGAACATCAACCGGTACTCTGAACCAGTTGGCATCGGAATACAACTGAGAGAGGGACGTGCATGAGCCTGAATGGTGGTGGCCGCATTTGCTTGTGCCTGGACCTGTTGCGCTGCAGCTGCATCCTGCATCTGTGGACTCGACCAGCACACCCTGTCAAAGCAACCCTGCGTCCTCAGGAACTTGGTACCGGAGCCCTCAGGGAGAGACTCTAGGCTGACTCTCTTGGCAACAACTGAGCAGCCAGGATCCTGACGGACAGGTCTCGCCTTCAGGCGGTCCCTTCAAACAGCGAAAGCAGCCCTCCCTCCATGTCTTGTAAAGCAAGAGCCGATCGGCCTGAACGTGGCATCGGTCAAATCTTTCAAAGCATCTCCGTTCACGGCCACTAGCTCGTAGCCAACTTGTATCAAACTCCTGTTGCACCGGACACGTGCTACTGCCATCAACAATGTCCATTGAATTGGCTTCCCGTCTTCAGCAAGATGCGACAAGTCCTCTCTGCAAATGAGCCCGGTGAAACTTTGGCCACCTTGTGAGACACAGAACTGATATACTTGTGCTCGTCAGTAAATGGAGCTACAGTGTTAGGTCTGGGATCCCGGCCACCGCATTGGCAGGAGGGGCCCCGGAAAAACTGCAGCCTTTGCACATTGAACCACGAAACGAAAGAAATGTCTCTGGTCGAAGCGTGCCCTGACGCGCCTAACTTCTCTGCAGGATCCTCGAGAACCACCTCTAACCTCAGCTTCAGCTGGGGCAGTCGCAGGGCTTTGCACCACGGAAGGCTGTCAGATGCCGTCGGCTCGGGTCGGGGACACTTTTTGCTCGTAGCGGATCTGCAGCGGGCGCTGCTTCAGCGCTGCCTCCGGGCGCCGGGCGGCCGCGGAAGTGATGGCGTTTGTGGCATTAAGGGGAGAGCACCTTGAAGTCGGCATCTGCCATGCCGGGGACAGCGACCCCATTGAGTTGAAGGAGCCTGCAGTGACTCAGGCTGTTGGAAGGTGCGGAGATTCTGCACCTCTTCTGGCCTTGCTCCAGCTCGGATGCCCGCAGTCTCGGCCCACCCGCCCTTGCTCACATCCTCGGCATCGTGTCGGAAATGATCTGGGCAGCATTTCTTTGTCCTGATCCATTCCGCCTTCACCAGGACCTCTCCTCCGGCAAACTGGGGAACAAGACCAAGCTTCGCATCCTGGCCAAACCGAGAGCCAATGACAAAAAGAGCGTCTCCATCAAAGGCACCGTCCTCTGCACCAGCAACCTAGGCTCGGCTCTCTCTAACAGTCGCATCAGGCGTGAGGAATTCCGAGGAGGCCACTACCTCTCGCATGCTGCCGACCTTGCTTGCACGCGTGCGGCAGCGCCAGGAACGTTCCCATGTAAAAAGCTCTTCCGAGGCTCCGACCGCTGGGGCACTCCGAGGCACGGGGCACCTCCCAGAGCCACTGTGGCCTCGGCACATCGGCTGGTGTGGTGGCACAAGGACCTCGCATCACAGCTTCCGGAGAGCCCCACCAAGCCATTGTCCTGCCTGGGAAGGAGCCAAAGAAACAAGTTCGACTCAGATCTCCGAAGATCACGAAACGTGACGAAACCCATGGCCTTGCGCAGATCCGATGCCCATGAGAACACATGGGCAGAGTTGGGAAGACTGACGCTTAGGTCCCACAGTTGCCCAATGACTGAGTGAGCTGGTTTAAGAAGATCCTTTCCGCTTCTGGTCGAAAACCATACGAGCTGCAAATAGGGTTTGTGCTTCGGCGCGAATTCAGATGCTTGACAGAAGCTGTGCGCCGTGATTCTGCACCAGTCACGACTGCGCTGATCGGTGTCATGCGATTTTGCTGCCAGGCAACACACTTTGGTTGAGAAGCAGTGATCGCAGTGGTACGGCGCATTGCGGCACCCTAATGCGATGGCAGGCAGCACAGCCCCGCACTGTGCTGCACCTTGTGGCGTGCACTGGCATGGGGCGGCTGAATTCGACAAGCAGATTTGTCGCTGCATCGTTAGATGCTAGACCTCTTCTCAATATTCGGAGCATGCTCGAGGAGAGTCGACCCCAAGTCAACTGCCAGGGAGAACATCCAGACTTTTGCGGGATTCTGCTGGCAGGCACACGGCATCGAAGCCCTTTGCCGGGGCTGTGACGTCGGTCGGCGCCCTTCGTGCCCGAGCGTATGGGCCGATCTGAGACGGACGGTGTCCGAGCGTGGCAACATTTGCAGTCCCTGAACACGGCACCTTCGTCAGGCTGAGATCCACGCTCAATACATGGATTTGAGTCTCCTTTTGCTCCTGACCGAGTATCTTGAAAAGCCCAACCCCAAGCTTGGAGGAGGCCCTCCGTCCTCCTCTGGCTGCATGTACTCCTTGCTTTGGGTGTCGAAGAAGACGAAATTAATTTGCAGCTCCTCTCGTTTCCGATTTGTCCAAGAAATGTGCTCTGAAGTGGAGTGTTTCTTCGCGGCCTCCGGGTCACTGCCTTTGGGAAGTGCGTTTGCATCCTCAGAACAGGAGGGGCTCGGGCCAAGCCCTAAGCTCGATGTCCGAGTCGGTCTGAGCTCCCTCAGCTCCTTGCCCCCTCACGGGTCAGGAAGGAGCATCGCTGTACCTCGCGCAGCACGCTGCACTACCAGGAAGACACACCACAAACTTCTGGCCAGGTACACTGTAGAGTTTCGCGTGCTGCAGCGTTCGTCGAAGCTGGCAGGCACCACTCGCCTTGCAAAGCAGAAGACAGAAGAAGAGCGTCACCTTTCAGGCAAGACTTCAGCGATGTGCTGGGGATGCGGCATGCAAGGAAAAAAGCGCCATCTCCTCAGGGAAGACTTTGTTGACCTGCGTGCTTCCGTGCTTCTGATAACAGGCATCTCAGAGCTTTTCCAGACTGCCTTCTTGCCCCGCCACTGTCCCTTTGCGTGCTGAATCCTTGCACAAAGCAGAAGGCTGAGCAAAAGGGAGGAGCCTCCTTGCACCCGAGCAGTGGCAGTCTTGGTACATGGCCACAAGGACAGGTCGGAATAGGCACTGCCGCAAGTAAACCACATGCTCGGCAGTCCAAACCTCAGAAGTAAGGACACTGCAAACCCATTTCTACTTCCTCACACAGCCGACACGGCGGAGATGCAAGCTTAGCCGCGTGCCATCGGAACCTGCGCCTGTAAAAGCCGTCTTCTACACTCCTCTCTCTGCTCGGGATTCCGAGCTGCACACGGAATGCCATGACGAGCTGGATCCCACGGCCTCAGGGCCACAAGGGAGCTGAGCATGAGCAGGATCTGGCCGCAACTGGGGTTTCTGCTCCTTCAGCTGCCGGTTCCACCAGGGCATGACACACTGCCTCAATCAAAACCAAGTATCAGCAGCCACGGTGCCGCCGTGCACGACTTCGGCACAGGAGAGCAGCCCATGTGACTCAGGAACCAGCGTCTCTCGCCAATACAGCCATTCAAAAACTGTATGAAAGAGCAGCATCAGCGTGCCAACCTGTACAGAAAAAGCGTTCGCCCCTCACTTCCAGTGCTACCCGTGGTAAAGCATTCAGTATATCCACGCAATTCGAGAAACCGGGTAGCTGACGAGGAGCAATGTGGCATAGAACTCATCTCCGATTGACCAGACCCTGCCCGCACAAATTCTCTGGCGATTTCGGCCAGGAAAAGATGCAATCCGCCGAGCGATGGGCCAAGGCCCCGGCCCTTCGGTAAGCTCCATTGTCCATGAGTACGCCACCATAGACCTTGCAGAATCCCGGCACGGGCAAAACGGACATAAGTTGAAATTGAGAGGCAGAGCACAGGCCGCCATCATGCAGGCGTCAGAAGGCAACTGGGACGCGAACCACATTCCGGAACATAGCAGCCCAAAGAGCAAGATGATCAGCACGGCCCTTCGACAAAGTCACTCTCAACCCCAGAAGAAGTCACTATAAACCTCTTACGGGGTATACCGAGACCGAACCTAGGCCCTAAAGAATGACCATTCTCGGTGGTGTCGCGATGCCTCCTGCGTCGGCCGGTGCGCGCGAGGGTGAGGGCCTCTCGGAGAGGAAACTTCTCAGGGCCGTAAGCACTGGACGTAGCAAGGTTGTCAGAGTGATCTGTGCAATTAAGTGTAATAAACGGGATGACTCGGGATGACATTAGATACTGGGAAGACAGCAAACCCGGGATGGTCTATAAGAACGGCAGGCTGAGGGCAACGATGTCGAAAACTATGACAGCTTTTACGGAGCTCGTCCAGCGATGACTATTCTCCTCATCATCGTGAGACAGTCATCGATTTTCGAGGTGATGCGATGCATCCTGCCAATGAACAGCCAACTATCGGCCAAGCTCCGACAGGCCTTCAGTAGCCTGTTGGGATTGTCGATGCTCCTTTCGCTTCGATGCCGCTGCAAGCACAAGCCATACGGCTCAGATTCGCGTGTGCCAGGCCTGCCGCCGCAAACACCATGGTCGTCCTCGAGCAGGTCCACCAGATGGTGGTAGTCGCCTGGGCGTTCGGGGAAGATAAGTCGATATACATCTCCAAGCTTGTCCACTCAGGCAGCATCTGATGTCCATAGTGTCGTAGTGAGCAGCATGGAAACCATACATTACGAAAAGGATGGCCACGAAGAGGACCTTGAAAGGTAAAAGACTGCGAGAACCTCTGCAGGTTTCGACAACAACTTCCAGGAGCCCGGCAGAGTAGCCGAGCTGCCAAACATTTCCAGCTAGAACCAAAGTTAACGCCTCAGGAAACGTGAACGAGTCTTTTCTGTAGCGGCGCAAAGCACTGAGCACCCAGGCCGCGATGGCCGTGGATTTGATAAGCTCATGGATGATGGCAAAGACCTTCTGCAGCCTTGGCAACACCGCTCTCCCCGTGCTATCCTGTCTTTCTTTTTAAGAGGGTTTCCACGCCCCGCACCCCATTTTGGAGAAGGTAATCTAAGTTTAAACGAAAAAGGGAGACTGCAACAGCATAAAGGATAACAGTAAAGACATCATGCTCAGCGGGGGCCCAACAGGTCTGGGCCTAGCAGAATCCTATTTCTGCGACACCCCAACAGCCAACCTGGACACAAGTGCCTCCCCTCTCCGTCTCTCTCCCCGTCCAGGTGGGCTGGGCCCCGCCCCTTTGGTTTGCCGAGGCGCTCCATGAGCCGTCGGAAGTTCACCACGAAGCAGCGGCCTCCAAGGGAGGCCACGGGAGGCTGTAAGAGGCTCTCCGCTTTCTGCTCTGCTCTTTGCTCCATCTCCGTCGAGGCTCGCAGGTACGGCTCCTTGCCGGACGTCTCCTTGCTGACTCTGCGTAACCTGCAAGTTCGTTGGTCTGGTCTGAAACTGACTGAGGCTACAAGAGTCTCGGTAACGACGTCACTGGGCCTCGAAGTGGTGGGCCTGTCATCCTCTGTCAGCGCCGACAAGCTGCGCCTTGTCACCAGGGGACCTGGACGCATCGGCAGCCAACAACCAACTTACTCTGCGAACAGGCCCCAGAAGTCTGTGTTGCCTTTGATGCCGGGCGTTCTCGTTGGATACTCGCTGCACAGCCATGTTTGACCGTTTCATAATACAGTGCACCATGGACATCTTATGTACAGGTGCAAGCAGCATTCAGCACCGACCATGCCACTGTATTGCATCCTCATGTCCAACATTGTTTGTTGGAGGAGTCGGTGATATGGTGAAACAGGGCGATCATGCACTTTCCGAATTCCCTATCTATCTGCGACGACGCAGCAGAACGTCGGTGACCCGGTCCTCCAGGTTAGATAGCACTGAAGCCCATGCCGCGCATCTGTCGACCCCATACTCACACTCGCGCAGACCCTTGGTCATCTGCTGTTGCTCCACTGTGAGGTGCTGCAATTCCTCCCACAAGCCACCCGGGGGACCCTGTGACTCTGACCTGTCCTTGCGGAACTTCCTGGTATCCACGGCACTTCTGCTCCGCTTGAGACTCTTCAAGGTTCCCGCCCCTGCGCCTGGCGTCCCTGGGGCCGACGAAGGCCTTGCAGCGACGTTGGCCGTTGTCACGTTTCGGCAGGCCTCGAGGACCTGCAGGTCCTTCTTGCACTGGCGAGAAAGGCAGCGCAAATTCTTCTGAGTCGTGGAAAGCTCATGGAGAAGGACGTTGGAGCGCTGCACTTGGGTGGCCTCGCTCTGACTGCGTGCCTTGGACCTGTTTTCCGGTTTGTTGAGGGTCCATTCCGCACAGGACATAGCAAACTCCACGTCTTTCAACTGCGTGTCAAATCTTCTCCGCAGCTCGCGTTGGTCGCTACTGCACTGCGCCAGGCAGTCTTGAGTGGACCGCTGTGCTTTGGCACACTCCAAGTCAGTGTACTGGATGGTTGAGGAAGCCTTCTTGCACAGATGCTGCGCATCCACCTGCGCAGCCTTGACCCTCTTCGCCCAAAACTTCCAGCTGTCCCCGACGGACATGTAGCCAGGGGCCGAAGTCACGTCGCCGGAGCCCCGCTTCGCAGCGGAGTCTTGCCTTAGCGCTGCACGGCGCTGGGCCATTTCCTTCTTCAGGCAACCGTGGAGCTCCTGCAGTTGCTCTGCAGCTTGGCTGAGATCCTCCTCCTGCAGGTCTAGCTCCCGGCGCATGAGAAGCAGTGCCTCCTGCTCCACCTCCAGTGCCTCCATTAAGTTCTTCTGAGAAGTCTCTGGTGCTGGCGTCTCTGAGCTCCTCGCACTCGTCACGGTCGCAGCTTCCTTGTCGGCGGAGGCCGCAGCTCCGACCCAATCGAGGTCCTGCAGCAGCTCCAGGCGCCGTCGGCACACGGAGATGTCTGCTGAGCGAATGTTTCGAGCATGCCGGACTCGGCTCTTGGCATCTTCAACGTCAACATGCTGGGCCTCTAAAACCCTGCATGCCCCTGAGATCTTTGCCACTGACGAGACATTCGCCTGAATGCGGGTATTTGCTGCCTGACATTCTTCGCGCAGCTTCTGGACGTAGGAGGCATCAACCCGGGCTTCTGCCGGTCTCGACAAATCTTCCATCGCCATCTGCGAGAGGGCACGCGCTCGTGCGAGTGTGACGCCCCCAGCTGGCAGGCTGCCGGACTTGCACTTTTGCCCTGGAGCTCTTGCTGGTGCTACATGTGCCACTGGGGGTGCAGGTTCCACGAGGTCTGGCCTTGAGGCTTCGAGGTCAGCTTGATCCACCGCATCCTCGTCCGTGGATCCGACGGCTGTGCTGGAGGTCGCGGCAGACGGAGACAGGGGCCACCAAAAGAGATCGGCTTCACGTAGCCTGTCAGGGACGGAGCTTGGTGTCTCCACGCCACCTTTCCCTGGATCCATTCCGCCGGTTCCACTCTCGCCACTCTCCATCTACGGGGTCAGAGCTTGGACTTGGGCCTACAGCTTTTCCGAATGGCTGAGGTAACATCCACTGAAGGCCGAAGCTGCGCTGGTCTCAGAAGCCCCGACACTGCCTGAGCCCGAGTGGGGGAAGAGCATGCTCCCACTGCTGTCCTGTGGCAGTAAGCAGGCCGACAAACTCTTGCAGCTCCACTTTGTCGAAAGGCGATTGCAGCTCCTTCATGTCCAGCGTCGGCAGGGGTCGGAGCCCTGCAAGCAGGGGGGCCAGCGCAGCCACCTCTGCCATCTGCTCCTCCAAGGTTTGGAGCCTGCAGAGAAATCTATGCTCTGCAAGGAGGACGCGGCCTTGCAAACAGTAGCTGGAGCCTGTTGCCTAAAGCCATCGCCACGCCATCGGACACGCGGTCAACCGCCTGTGCAAGCAGCAAGGACGCAGAAGACGTGTCCCTTTCTCTTACCAGAACCTCCAAAGGAATCATCGCCCTCGGTTCCGACTTCGGTCGAAGAGCCTGGTCTGGTGCTCACCCTGCGTGGCCCACCAAGGACACCACTTCTCTGCGAAGGCCTCCATTTGGCTCTTCAGAGCCGGCATGAGCGACTTCGCCACCTGCTCTGCGACTTTTTCCGCCAGCTCTGTGGTGTCCTTGCAAGCTCAAAAGCAAGACGTAAGGACAGCGACGACCATCAAAAGACTCTCCTGAACCGTCTGCTCCGTCTCCGGGCTTGACCTGTCGGAGCTCTTTCCGCGTTCGCGTCTCCGTCTCTTCTCTCTTGCCTACGCTACTCAGACTAGGCAGGAGCTCACAAAATCCTCTGAGCCGTAGACCCTGGGCTGGGACGCCTTCGGTGTCTTGCACTGTCCTGCGCTGTCGACCCAGAGTTGACATGATGCTGTCAGATCCATGCTCCTCGGACACGCCCGTTTGCGGAGACCGCGGCTGTGGAGACCTGGCTTGATCTGCGGAAGCAAGAGACTTGGCCGCCGGGTGTGCGGATGCAACAGTGGCAAGAGCCGCAACCCCGACGGCCGGGGAGCGGGCACTGGCCGGAGACCACTGGGAGCAGCAAAGCCCTGCATGTCGAGCACCGCTTGGCCATGTGCCTGGACTCATCGGACAAGAGCCATCTTATGCCATCTTCTAGAAGAATGGAGCTACTGGACTACCCCGAACCCTATGAGGCTTCCACGGCTGCAGGGCCTCTCCTGGCACAGCATCACACGTCCGGTCTCACTCTGCCAGGCTCAGCGCTGGACACCGGGAAGCATGCCGAAGGCACGGGCTGGGCATCAGGCCACGTCTCGGAGGCCCAAATTGATCAGCTTGAGCCAGTCGCGTAGGTGATTTGGTCATTTCCCGAACACCCGAGGCAAGGCTTAAGATCTTTTGTGCGGGGAAGTTCACGAGCTTTTCTGCGAGCTGGCGCTTGGTCGGTCGATGATTCTTGGCTGTAGCACTGCCCGGCCCGCACACCCCATATCTCAAGGAGCTACGGTGATCGGCGACCAGGCTGCGCTTGAAAAAGACCTTTGAGGGCACGGGCGACATGGGCTGAATTATGAATTTGAGCGTGAATTTGAGAGGTGAAACCGCTGTCATTGTCTTTAGGAGTCAAACTCTCGAGTACGAAAGTGCTCTTTTTGTGCGAGGCTTTGGAATGCCTCAAACACGTGGAGGCGTGTGTTCAGGAACCACCAGCGGAGGCGACGCGGTCCTCGACAGAGTCTCAAAACAGCACCATGCCTTCAAGTTACGGCAATTCCTGGAGCTCCTTGACGTGTCGATCAACGATCTTTTGAAGCCGTTCCGCTTCCGCTTGAGCACCCCTGAAGACAGTTCGCTGTAGGCCGTTCGTTGTAGGAGGCCATTGTAGGAGCCAGATGCAGTCGACTGGAGTAGGGGATTGGCTTCAAGATGCGCTCTCGCTGCTTCTCACCAATCCTGCAATGTCCAGAGGGCAAATGTCTGGCGACAACCGATGCCTCCTGGAGAAGGGGGAGGAGGCCTTCTGATGAGATCTTCCAGGGTGGCCGTCTCACCTCCGAGAGAGACGCGACATTTAGACTTCTCGGAAGGCGCACGAGGCCCGGGCTCATCTCTGACAGGAGGTGTTCGAGGTATTCCTTTCAGGCAGGCAGAGGACACTGACTTTCTCGTTGGCGGCTTCAGAGGCCACTTCTGCTCGGATCCTGAGTGCACTTCTCCAGGTTTTCCATCTCCTGCTCAGCTCAAACAGACCTGCGAAGTCCAACCCCTTCCTTCACGTGCCACTCCCCATCCTGTGCGCTCCGCTCTCCCAGTAGAGGGGCTCCCAGCAGGCCCACGGCTCACAAGAACTCAAACGCTGAAAAGGCAGAAAAAGAGGAAAAGACAAGCAAGGCTCGGTTTTCTCTTCTCCTTTGCTTCCGAAGTGTGCAGGGCACGCGCATGCACCCGCAGTGCTTTTTTGGGTCACACAGGCTCAGGCTCAGGACAGTTTTCCTTTTGGAAGCTGCGGTCTGCGAGCTGCCCCAGCAGAAGCAAAATCCTAGTCCTAATTCCGCGCGAGGCAGCTGACTGCGAAAATCGTCGGTGTCTGCTAGATGGAAGCCTTGATGCAGTGCCGAGGATGCCGCGACTACAACTGGAATTCCGCTAAAATCGCGAGGCAAGCAGCGGCACACATCAGGGCCAGCGCGGTGACCAGAAAGATTACGCAAAAGGCGCACAGCATCTGCTGCCTGGTGCTTTTCCCCTTGAGCTCCTCCAAACGGGGTGCACCAGGGCCCATGACCATCCAACCGGCGGTATGACGGACAAACCTGGGTTCTGCGATGGCGTGCAGGGCAGAGGCTCCTTGAAGACCAGAACTCCCATGACGACCGACAGCAGCAAGCTGGAGCTCCCGAAGATCCAGCCAACGGCCTTGGAAACCACAGGCGTACCTGAAGCGCGCTTGGGTGCCTAGTTGACCCCTGATCTCTGACACAATCCAGCGCCTCGCCTGTCATGAACATGAAGTAACCTAAGCCCACGCAGATGCCGGCAAGGGCATCCCACATCAGCGCCTGTGCACATCGGAGGGGCAAGGACAACATACCTGAAGGATCACGGAAGTGGCTCGCACTCGCGAGCCTTTCGATACTGCTTGAAGTAACCTTGCTGACTGCGACTCGCAAGGCAATTCCAGGGAATCTCCAGAGTCAAAGCAGCACCACAACTGCCGCCGAGAAGCCTTTCCAGATTGCGCATGGTATCTGCCCTGGTGATCGACCTCTGCGCCCTTCGCTTCCAAGAGCTATCCAGTAGAAGGCAGACACCTGACTCATGGGGAAAGAGCTCTGCCTGGCGACTTGGAGTCTGGAGGCCCTCGCCAGCGGGAAAATCGCAAGCAGCTGTCCCAGCCTCGTCTCAGACTCAGGTCAAAGCTGCAAGGTCCACGAAATCTTGCCGAGCGTCATGAAGGAAAACAGTTGGCTGAAGGGATGCAGCTGCCCTTCTGTTGCAGCGGCGGTAGTGATTGGCGACATGCTGCCCTTAGAAGCCGAACAGGAGCAGCACCACCCAGCACCCACTGTCTTCCCTCCACCAAACGGAGCGAATTCTTCGGCCGAGGCTCGCAACCCAAACCTCGGTTGCATCGTCAGAAACGCTGAACCCAAGAAGCCGCAAAAAGAGCTTTGGAGCTTTCGCGCTTTCTCCCAGAGAGTCCTTTTGCAGCGAAGGAACCACCTGCAATGGGCAGGAGGAACACGTACCAACCGTGGCCCTGGCCGCCACGGCCCTGCGATGGTTGAGATGCCACAATCTTCACCTCCAGCCCCATCGGGGGCAGACACGTTCTCCAACTTGCACTCTCCGGACACGGACACTGCGACAATTCACCTCTTCCACAGCCACTGATGTCTTGTCCGAGGACTGCGAGCATGAATCATGGCATCTGATCATCATGGCATCTGATCACGCTACGGCAGCCAAAGTTGGGGTGACTTTCGTTAGCATTTCGGTCCGTCCTCCAGGCCCTCTACGCTCCACTACCTGCAGCAAATGCTCCTAACCTCGGCTTTGGATTTGTGGACGTCATCCTCGGGTGCTCCTGGCAAACGAAGGTTAGAATGTACAACTCCCAGAGAAGGCGCTCTGCAGCATAGAAAGCCTTGGCCTGCAGATCTCCTTGGCTCAGCCTGAGAGGCGGCATTACCTGGTGGGGCGCTAGACATCGAGCCCCCGAGTTGTTCAGACCTCCTGGAAGTCCAAGTTGCAAAGCATTCCAAGCAAGCAAGCGCCCAGCCCGGGGAAGAGTAGGTGGGCATCCTTGACAGCTCACTTCACTTTAGAATATGACCGTTGTAGCTCTGCAGCTTCAATTACAGAGAAATTGAACAGTCAGTCCCGTCTGATTTGAAGACTCCGGAGCTGTTGTGTCTTCATCGATTTTTGCTGAATATGGGCTCCAACGTCGACGTCAAAACAGATGCTACCTGGGCACGGCCTTGGGCTCGATCGCATAAGTCAAGGCTGTTCCATAAGTCAGTGCCAAGCCAAAGCCTCAGGGTGCTTTGGAAAAGACTCACCTTTCCCCAGGAAGCGGCGCCGTTCGGAGCTCACAGCGCTTCCTGTGCTTCAGCCAAAGGCACCGATGGGACACGCCACGGCCAGACCCAGCCTCAGCCCAGCTCAGCTCAGCGCTGAGGGAGAAAGATTTCTGTGTCCTTCGGGTTTCTGCCCTTACATAACTCCGGGGCGGGATGCAATGCTGAAAGGCATGCTTCAACACAGGGGCGTGTCCGTGTCCGCTGGAAAGGATTCAAAACTCGCAAGAACCCGGTGCCAGTCCCAGCGGCACGTCTATGGCCTTGGCCATAATAAAATCTCCACTGCAAAGCGAAACGCCAGCAATCATGGCAGTGAGAACGGCAAAGGACTTCCTCGGTGCAAAGCGCCCTTCCAGTCTATGCCTGCCTACCTGCTGCTCGATGCCGCTCGGCAAGCGGGTGGTAAGGTAGCTATGCATGTCATCACGGCAGCTAGGCCTTTCCATGGTTAAGCGGGTACTTTAGGTAGGTAGATAACCGGCCTGGAGATGCATGTTCTGATCTTGCAAACCCCATGTTTTGCAGTATTGGCCTCGAAACTTTCCACATGGCTACATGCTACTTCGTGATAAGAGCAAGCATCTGGCAAACCTGGTGGCACTGCCATGCAACAATCAGTTGTTCACACGAAGACGTGGTCGATAGCTCGGACAAACAGGGGCAAGTTGTGTCGCACTACACGTGAAACATTAACATAGATGTCATTCGCCAAAATACCTGTTTGCGAAACCCAGGCCCGTTGAATCTCTAATGCAAGCGAGTTTCTCCGAGATGTCCTTCTGTAGCGTTTGCGTAAACTGCTCGGTGTCCTGTCAAGCTTGCCCGCAACGGCCCTCCTCTCACATCCCCAGCCTGCCAGGCTTGTTTACAACGACAGCATCGTGTAGAAAACCATGACAAGCAAGTTCAAGCAATACCAGATTAAAACTCGAAGGTGCGCTAATCCAGCGCTGTCACCGTAGCATGAATGCTGATTGGTGTCAGGTGAGCTGAGGGAGGCACAAAGTGTTTGGCATCCGCCGGATTGGCCATGCCAAACGTAAAGCAAATGCAAAGAGTTATCAGGACTTGGGCAAAGACATACCTTGGTTTCAACGGCTCGTCTTCACTTGGGCTAGTAACAGATCGCTTGTAGCAAGATGGACAGCACCACAACGTGGATGCTCTTGGCTTGCGAGGCAACTCTGATGTTCAAAATCTCGCAGCTGTGACAAGGCGCGTCAAGCCAAAGTTCACCGTATCGGACCCTCCCTTTTTCCGGAGGGACGGCCAGATGCCAAAACAGAACCTGAAGCAAGCGCTGGCGGTGGGCAAGGCGAGCATAGACAGAAAGCGCCGGTCCGTGCTGGATCAGGGGTCACTTCGTCGCAGGGAGGAAGAGATGGACTTCTTGACCATCAAAACCAAGAGCTGTTGACCGGCCCATGCCACAAGCCACCCGACCCAACAAAGCCTCCTTCCCCGCGCCGATGCTAACACGACAACCCCCTGCCTTCACCCCATCCCACCCCCTGACAAAGACGACTAGGAGCATGTGTTGTGGATATACAAAGCAAACAGGATCTCTTATGATCTCTTGGTGCTGCTCCTATACTGTTCCTTGCTTCTGTCGGCTTGCCTCCCGTCGGCACGGCTCTCTCTGCTCAGGTAGGCAGCAGAAAAAGGGCGACTCCTGGCGAGCCAAGCGGCCACATGACCAACATCATCGGAAGAGCCACATCGCTGCTCTCCGGGGCAAACATGTCCAAGTAGCCAGCGAGCTCTGCCTGGAATAAAGCACAGAGAGGCTTCAACCAGAAAGCTGTTTGTCACTGAGCATCTCAATTCGGATAAGTTGCAGGAAAACCAGATGTTGCAGCGAGCTGACCAAATCCATCAGCATGAAGTTGTTAACGACATTGACATTGACATCCAATAGTCAGAGTGGGGTTTGGGGGGCTATGTAAAGAAAAAGTGGGCTTGGGATTGGGATGATGTGACGCAAGTTCGTGTGTCATTGACCCTAACGGCTGCAGGCTTCGGTGTGGCAACCACCCATCCTGAACACTGCACGCACAAAGTCGCCCTTTTCGATTGCGAGCTCCGCAGTAGGGGTGACCTGGTCTTTGATTCGCTTAGAAACTGGCGCAGCAGAGGTGCAAAGACTGAGAACGCGCCGATGCAGAGCATGGGGCCCTCTCAGATCCTCTCAGTCCTTCTTCCATCTGCGGCAACAACGGCGCAGGTTGAACTTCAGTCGGGCTGATGCCACCGCCGGTTCGGTCCATGACCCCTGACACCAAGCGGTTGCAGAAACAATGAGTCGCTGGGCTTCAAGCTCGACTGTATATAACCAATGAAAGCATGCTTAATGCGCCTGACAGGCCTTCTCTTCCTGTGACAAGAGCCTGAGCTGTGCGGCAAAGCCTCATGTGACCCTCGTCACGAATATCTTGCAGCAGCAACCACAGTCAAAAAAACAAGACGCGACAACACAACACACACACAGAGCATCTCTGTCGACACTGATGTCGATCGACCTTTACAAGAGAGAACTGATTGAAGCCTTCATTTTGACAGAAGTCCTGTTTAGTGCACGTATCTAGTTGAGACTCCAGGATCTGTCAGAAACTCCGCATGTTCGGAGATCGCATGAGGAAAGCCTAGCTCGGACATTGCTGGTCCTGCACCGCAAGCCGCAAGCCGCGAGAGGATTGCAGCCGCTGCCAACTCCGGCGGGCCGAGCTGTTCTGGCTGCTTCGTTCCATGTCACTGCGTGTTGCGCTGTTCTGCAGTCCGGCAGCTTGCTTTTCCACACATCCTTCGCCTTTTGTCTATCCTCAGCAGGCCACCCGAAAGGGAATGTTACACGCCTTTGTCGCCGCAAAGGTCTTCTCAGAGACGGGCTGTCTTCTGGAGCTCCGACGCTTCTTTCAGCGCCGAGCGCAGTTGCCGGTCTCCGGGGATCAAAGCGTCTGCCTCAGGGCGAAACAGCAAGGCAGCGAGCGGCTCGAGCGGCTCGGGCTCGGCTCGGGCTCAGGAAGTCCGGGCCTGCTTCAAGGCTTCAACGGCATCCTCAGCGAATCCGCGCTGAAGGTTTGCAAAGCCTGCCGCATGTATGGGCCAGGACCAAGAAGAGAGGAACTGCTCTCCAGATTCAACCCCGCCTTTTCGGTACAAGAACTTCCCTTTGGAATCATTGTCCGTGAGTGCGGCCTTCTCCATGTGCCGCAGACCGATATCAGCGGCCTTTTTGGTATTCACCCAATCCTTCTCTTTGAGATACGCTCCGCAGATGTTGCTGATGACTTTCAGCTTCCTGCGGATCTCGAGCTAGCCACACTTCACAGCATGAGAAATTATCACACTAAGTCCTTGTGTTCAGGTCAAGCTGATGATGATCCATCAAGTTCCACTGCTGCCCAATGTCGAAGTCCAGGTGCCATATGGCTCCATAATACCGCTGCCGCGCGGTGGCAAAATCTCCAGTCTTGAAAAGCTGGTTGCCCTCTTCTCGAAGCTTGTCCGCTTCTTCGAGCCCTTGTAGCAACGGGCATCAATTCTGGCACTGAAGCGAAGTGACAGCAGCTAGGGCTAAGGGTTGCCGCCGCGGAGCTGAACTCGAAGACATCGGATCGAGCATGCTCGTTCTCCTTGTTCCAGGCTATGATGTCCCGCTCCTCCTCTTCGGAGCAGAAGCATTTCAGCAGCGACTCGTTGTCGAAATCCATCGGGGGCCCGAATACGAATATCTACGGCTGGATGTAAGCAGAAAGCTTAGTTTTGAGGCCAAGGTCGGGCATCTGCTCACACGCTACGGGGCATCAATGCCATGATCGGCTCGGCTCGACGACTACTCGTGTACTCCGTTTCCTGCAGAGAATTGAAGCTGTGGAAAGGTTGGCAGTCCCGTCTGTGGCACATATCTGCAGCACCCCTCCGCTCTGGCACACAGCTCACAAGTCACAACATCGCAGCCGGACGTTTTAAGACTTCACTGTGTGAAACAAGAAGATGCTCGATGTTCTTTGCATGAAGCATGACCTTTGACCTTTGCCAGCCAATCCGGCAGGCTCACCACATGAGACATCATCCTGGTCTGCTTTCGACCCTGACCCAACCTGGGATGTGCCAGCTTCACCCTGCTTTTGACATGAATCCGAGAAGCCAAGAATGCAAGCCTGACACGGCACAAAGGTCCGAAACAGGCCCCGAAGTCATGTGACTCGTGTGGCCGAGTAGCGGCTAAGCCCAAAGGCAGACGGATCTTGATCCCCCAGCATGTCCTGGTTCTGCGCAACCATGGAGTTGCGTGCTGCACCACACAAAAGCGCACCGTGACAGAAGCACCATTGCTTTGCACGACGTGACACGGATCAGGAAGAGCATAAACTTCGATACTCAGTTCATCCGCCGTCCTCAATAGCTTTGCGACGCTCGAGATCGAAGAGATCAGGATCCCAACCTGCAGAGTCAGAGGCATGTTTTTCAATGCGGTCGTCAACGGGAAACAAGCCGGGTCTTCGCTGCACTTCTTGCTGCATCCAGACTGGGTCATGGTCCAAACCTGCGCTCCCGTGAGAAAGAAGCGAGAAGACAAGGAGCAAGATGCTACGTGGCCTGTGGCAGAATCGTAATCAGGATGGTATCGCCTGCGACGAGATCCGCGGTCAAGAGTCAAGAGCGACCCAGCAAAACAAAGCGCACAAAAACACCGCCCACCTTAGTCGTGGATGTTGCGAGAGCGGCATCTCCGACCTCTCAGGAACACCGAAGACGAAGTCCTCGGGCGCCTTGGTGGCCTGAGTCTCCAGAGATGATTCCCTCGCGGCCGAAGTGAGTGCGGAGTGCGGGCCTCCTCGACTTCCTTCTCCAAAACATCCATCATTTGCTCTCCAAACCTCCAAGCCAAGGGACGGAGGCACCAGGCCGACAGACACAGCTGCAGGCTGCCTGAAGGTCGTTCCCTTGCACAAGGCATGGAGTCCCCAGATGGTGTCCTCACCCAGTGAAAGGGACATACTCTCGGAGAGCCAAGAAAACAGAAAGCGAGAGGAGAAGGGCTCGAAAGGCTCCTGCCGAGCCAGCAGCTGCGTCTGGGCCCAAAGCTCATGCCTGGGGCGGAGAAGGGGACTTCCCCTGTCGAGGCTCTGGACGCCAACTCGGGGAACCGCCTCAGCGCCTCCAGCAGCACCGTAGGATGAAGCCTGGGCCGTATATCAGCTTGACAAGGTCCGTGTTCGTTCAAAGTCCGCACAGGCACCAAGTATCAACATACTCCGATGCACAAGTTGAGATGAGAATGCAACACAAACCATGATGTTGACGATCGTACTTGCGGCGTCTCTTCGGCTGTCAGTAAAGCCCTCATTCACATAAACCAGCCTCGAATCCGAGATAGTACTGGCTTGATCTACCTCCTCGACAGGTTTATTTGGGTAACGGAGATCGGAACTTTCAGTCGGATAAACCTTCTCGTCTCGCAGAGACTTGCATATTGCGTACGGCAGCGATGTCAGGCCTATGTTGCCATGGTTTTTGCATCTTCTGCCAACATTCGCATAGAACTCACGCCCACTGCCGACGTAGGCCTGTCCTTTGTTGGGATAAACCCTTGTGACCTACCGACACTCAGGTGTCCGTGTTTCCATACACAGCATTACAGTAATACATGCCTGCTGATATTGACCACAAGGCTTCTCGTTTGGCGTGTGCTTTTCTTCCCAGCGAGGAAACCACACAACTAATGCGCAAGCATGCCATCATTCCAGATGGCGAGAAATGGAGAACAATGCTCAACATGGCCAAGCAGGAGGATAGAAGTGAAGTGTGCAAAACGGTGCCTTTTGAGAAAACTGAAGGAAGGGCATCTTTGGATGGAACACACGAGGTATCAATACGCTCAAACAATGGCCAGTAGTCGGGCCTTTTTTGGTTGTAACAACTTCGCGGTATACAAAAACCTACATTCCATGAACTCCGTCCGAGCTGCCTCTGGATGCCAGGAGGCTCGGGATAAACCTGGCAGATCTGATGCTTGGGAGATGGGGGCTAGGGTGGACTGTACCGCATACCTGTATGTTCGCTCGGGCATCACGAATGAGGGCCTGCCTGCAAGGTAAAACAGGGCTGGCGTAGCAGGCTTCAAATGGCTTCTTCATCGAGAGCTCGTTTGTACCCTAACAACGACCCATCTCTCCACATAGTAAGTCTTCGGGACTGAGAAGAAGGCGTCATCGCGGCTGCTCGCTTGTCCACTCGGCTTAGTCTGTCCTTGCAAACCTCAATCGCTCGTGACACACATGCAGCTGTGGCTTTAGCCCATCTCAGCAGCAAACCTGTAAGAACTCGCTGTTCTCAACAGTTTGAGGCTGTTTGGTCTTGTCCTCCAGTGCCTGGAAAGGACTCAGCTGCAGACAGGGGCATGCTCGAACCGTTGGGCACCTGCCTGAATGACTTTCGGCAGGGATTCTTCGCTGAAGATCTCTGCAATCAGTGGGATGTAACTGGCGGTTAGCCCGAGTCTTTTGTCTGGAACCAGGATAGCGTCTCACTCCAAAGACCGCTCGCTAGATTTCGTCCAATGACATTGAAGGGCCTTCGCTTGAAACCCGGCGCATCTTGCTGGCCGGAAAGCAGGCTACTCTCCTGGCAGTTTCTACGTCTAGCTTCAAGACACGAGACTAGTCAGACTAGTGGAGACAATCTAGGCCCACTCACCGGTAGTGGCAATGAGTGCTCCGTCAACAGCATGGCAGCATCACTTTCAGACACCTTCCAAACTCAAACGCTGATGGAAGTGCCATGTCACATGCAGCTGTGGCAGCTGCGCCTCCAACTGTTTCTCCGCGGTCAGTTCCAGGAATGGCAGGGCATCAGCCGACATCCAGTGCCTGGCTCGAAAACTGCACATAACACACAGGCAGATCCGCTGACTGCTGCACTCTGGGGGCGCTGACTGCGGGGGCAAGTTGGGGAGGTCTTCTGCAGATGAACAACGCAAAGTGACATTCCCGGCATTGCTTCGGTTGAGCAGAAGCCAAGCCAATGTGAGACCGCGTGTGGCGTGCTGATTGTTGGCATGCGACGTCGATTTCTGGCACCCAGAGATGCATATGTTTATGCTGTCTGCTTGAAGTTCCAACGGCCTGTTAACATGCGCCAGGTACACCCCGACCGCCTCCGTATTTACGGTACTTCGTAGGCTTGTAGCCGAAAACGTCGCGCCTGTTCGCATTTTTCGGAAGGGGGGGGGGCGGGGTACGGGCGTGGAGGCCACGAACGGTATGTCGCGGCGCTGGCTTGCCGAGAACGTCACGCCTGCAGCTGTTGTCTGAGAGGAGTACTTGCAGTCCAGAGCATCCATGGGCCAACCCTGTTAACGTCCACTCAAACCCCATCCGTTCACGCAGAGCATCCGTGGGCCAACCATGATAACGTCCACTCAGACCCCATCCGATCACGGAGAGCATCCAAAAGTCCACGGGCCAACCATGATAGCGTCCACTCAATCCCATCTGATCACGCCGAGCATCCATGGGCGCATGGCCCCCAAAACTTTCTCAGCCTTGCAGCGGACAAGGACTGGATGAAGTTGTGCATCTCGGGCAGGCAAAACATGTGCCAAGCATGGACTTGCTGATTAAGCGCCCCTACGTAACCACCTCCAAAACCCAAGAGCAGCGCATTTCCAGCCAACTTTCTTATTGTTTCGGCTACTAGAACTTGTTAACTCGCCAACATTCTATAGCCCAAAACCGCTGCGCCTGCCACGAATGTAGTCTTGCTAAGCCGACCGCTTCACCCGTTGAAGGGCGCGCGAGAACAACCCGGTGCAGCGTTGTTTGACAAGGTAGATAAACATAGTGGCACATGCACAAGCACGTGGTTGCATCGGCTTGCATCTGGTCACCCCTCTTTGCATGTGTTTTTGTATATAGATATGTGCGGCCACAAATACATACATCCATCCATCCGTCCATCCGTCCAGGCAAGCAGACAGGCAGACAGGCAGACACACATAGACGTACGTATACATGCATGCACACACACCTGCACCGCTGGATCCTTGTCTGGCTGGCCCGACCTGACCAGCCCCAGCGCAACCAAATCGGAGCCACGGAGCGTCCTGCAGATTTCCGAAAGCTTTTCGGGCTACGCGCTTTTAGGGCTCAGGTTTGCTTTGGCTCGGTGCGTGCGGTAGCAGACACTTCTACCGGTCTACCGCCACCCTCTGAGAGCTTGGCCAACCCGTGAGCGCAAGGAACTCTCCCAGGTGCCACTTCAAAGATCCGAGCCTCAGCGTGGATCCAAAGAATACATAAAAGTGGCACTTTCTGAAAACCAGGGCCGCAGCAATGAAGTCATGCCTCAAAGCAGTCAGAGACTGGTCGTGTTATTCGCCAGTGTAAACAGCTTAAGCTTTCTTCTAGCGTGCTTAGCCCTGTACCCGTGCTTGTTATCCAACGTACATGAAGTGCATCATACATCCCCCTTCCAGTTATGTTTCTCATTTTGTTGCTTGCTAATGCATGTTTTGATAATTTCGCGACCGCTGCTGGCTCCTGTTCTCACCGACACAGCTGACACGGCACCTATCTTACTTTCAAACTTACAAAACCTTGAACTTGCAGGTCCCGCCGCACTTTTTCCTTCCATGGACGGCTGGCTACAAGGCTGGATGGAGGCACAACGATGCACACGCGCATAGGTGGAAGGCTGATGTCGATCTAGAAAGATCGAGGCATACAAGCACGACAAGCACTCACTCAAAAGAGAGGTGTTTCTAGAAGGGACAAAAACCGGTCCCCGCCACCGAGACTTCAACAGACGGATATGAACAGGTTTCCCCGGCCCGCATTGTAGACTACGTACGTGTCTTTGCGGAAGGGGCCCGACTCCAGACTCTAGCATCCCGCACATGGGACATCGACACCTTGCAACTTTGAAACGACTTCAATCCGTTTCCTTCGGCTCTCTCGAATCGATGAACACATGCGAATCAGCGGGTGCGGGCCTCTCCAGGCCAAGGAGCCTTGGGTTTCGGTCATGGGCCCAGCTCCCTGGCATCCTCCTCCAAAAAATCAATGGGACACCCGCCCTATTGATTTGCTTTTCGTGGTGTTGGGTAGGCCTTTACGGCGTTGGCTAGTTACGGCTGGTTGGTTCCGCCAGCCAAAGACAGGCGTGACTGAACAGCCTCGGCAGGTATGTCGATCGATCATGCAAGCGACGGAGCAAGCCAGCGAGGGTGTGGAGCACATAGTAGCATCGGGACAGAAACGGAAGCTGGCAGAAGCAGAAGCCCCAACTATCTGCCAGACGGCGGATCTCACAAGTTGTCTCTCGGACCGTTGCCCGGCCTCCCATTGGCACCAGGCCGTGGAAGCAGGAACGGACCTGGGGGTCGATGTCGGGAAACGAGGAGAGGCAGAGAGGGAGCTCTGAGCATCTTGCAGAGACTTCGGACGCTTCGCATGCACCGGAGAAGCTCGCCAGCCCGGCCAGCGCCTTTCTGCGACGCTCGAGGCTGCGAAGTGAGGCAAGTTTCAAGTTCAGGTCCACCCGGCAAGTTCTTGCCGAGGCACCGCACCGCCGTCCCGTGCTGCTCCATTCAGATGGCACACCAAAGGCCTTTTCAAGACGTAAGACCATGAGCTGCGAGTCAGGTTCCTGGTCTTGAGGTCACTGCTTCCGATAATCCGCCACGAGGAACGACAGTTCCTGACCGAACAACATGTAATGTAAGGCAGTGTAGGCTGTCGAAATGCCGACCAGCACTCCAGTTGAATCTATGGATGTCATGCTCACAGCCGGTGTCACGAGGCACTGGTCACCGCACCTGGCTGTTCCACAGCAAAGCCTTTGAAAAGGGAGCAAGATCACCATTCTTCTGCTTCTGTGCCTTGCAGGAGCAGTTTCTCCAGAGACTCTTCAGATGAGAACTTAGGGCCCGGGGCCCGGGCATAAACAGCAGCAAGAAGCAGTTCCTTGGGATCCAAGCCTGGCCAAAACGATCCGTCGCCTTGAGACCATCGCGCCCGAAGCGAACTCCTTGGCTCCAGGCCGATGCAGAAGCGGCCCGTCGCAAGGCTGTTGTGGTCTCGATCTCCACGCTCCAGCGAACTCTGAAAGTTCCTGAGTGTCGTAGAGACGCTCTCATCTAGGCTCTGGAAGATCCCCCGCCATCTGTGAGCCTCTGTGAGCCTATGTAGTTTGCAGCGTCTTGGCACCCGGCTCCGGCTCGGAAACGACTGCATCGGCTTTTGGACAGAGCTCCCTTGGCACGAGAACACAACGGCTCCAGCCTCTCAGGCCACGTGGTACCAGAACAAACCCAAGCCCAGGGCTCAGTAGCCGTGAGCCCAACAAACCTCTTCAGGCTGTTCACCTCCAGGTTTCTCAAGCGCCTTAGAGCGCAGACACGAGCTGACTGGGGCTTCTAATTCTCGTGAATAACCCCAGGCAAGACAGAGATATGACCTGACTTCAAACAGGCCCACAAGAAAAAACTTGCAGCTCGAATCATGCTGAAGATCTGACTTGTACAGCTCGTTCACACTCGGGAGGTCCAGGCCTTCCGCCTGAGGTCAGATGTTCGGAGCACATTGGGAGCATTCGACGATTCGAGCTAGAAAGGCAACCAGCTAAGCATGCGGCGAGGTTGAGCACCAACATGCCCATACCCACATTGCTGCGCCTGGAGAAGCTCAAGACTTTAGGTGCCCTTCATTCAAGGAGCGCTGGGCCCGCCGCTCCAGGACCTTGGCCTGCAAAGTGGGATCATCCATATGCCGCCAGCGCCTTCACGCCATGCCCAACGGTTCAACGTGCACTGCGATTGGGGCTCAAAGGGTGCTGTGTCGCAATCGCTCGGCGCACTCATTGACACGATCGGCCAGGAGTGGAGCCTGCGCACATCATGCTTGCAGCTTTGTGCAGGTCCCAGAAGGTTGTGCTGACGCAGCCATACCTCTGGATCAAGGAAGTCCGCATCGTCCGTGAAGAACCCAGTTCCTAAAATGTACAGCACTAATTCGCTCAGGGCAAAGGCATGTGACCCAAAGTCCCAGAGGCAGCAAAGGCCGCTGCGGATGAAGCGACGATGTTCTGCGATGAACCGAGGTAGCTTCAAAGTCCGTCCTGGCACAACAGCTTTCGTGGCAAGCATTACTCCACTGCTGGCCCCCATAACTCGGCAGGGCCACCAACGCAGCGCCAAGAAGCCTTGTTGCACCGCCAGAACAGACTGTCAGCGCGTTTTTGGATAACTTTGGCCTGCAAAGGCCCGGCGCTGCCGCGAGTGGCAGCAAGCAGGCCATGTGACGTCATGACATGATATTGCTCCTGTGGTGGCAACTAGCATCATGTGCGGATTCAGCACAATAGCTTACCTTTGCAGCTTCTTCTCCCACTCGTCGAACAAATTGAGAAAACACTTCTCGAGTGGCTGTATCAGTCGTCTGGTGCCTCTGTCTCAACAAATCAAGCCCAGCAGAGTCTGCACACATGGCTGACACAAGAATCGGCGATCTCGTGCTACGTTGTTTCCGGATCCGGTGTAGCCGGAATCCCGGATGTCTTCGTGTGCAAAGTTCCTCTGCAGGGCTGGTTGGGTGCTTTCATGGATTTTGCCATTGACTAAGGATTCCCTTCGCGTTCTGTCGAAGCGTGTGCTTTTGGTCTCAGCACCGTGTGATTGTGTGAGATTGCGGCTGCCTCATCCTCAGATACATGGGCCCCGTTACAAAAACTGGCAATCAGAAACCAGTAATCCACCATGGTAGCTACACATCCTACCAAGCTTCGTTCAATTGCCGGATACCTTGACCTGACCCTTCGACCACGTTTTTCCAGCTGCGCATGTTGCTTGCCGCGGCGCTTTCTTTGGCTGCCGCTCAGACCTGAGAGGGACGCTAAGAACAGCGGCACACCTCCCTCCGCAGTAATCTCGTGGGCATCGAGCTGTCGCAATCCTCCTGTACGGCCTTCGAGCTTTCGCAGTCTTCCTGCGTGGCCTCGGAAAGCATATGCAGCGGGGTCCACACTAACTGCCGATGCAGGTACTTGTTATGCATGCGCACACACATGCAAATCTGAACAGCGTCTGGGTGTGACTGCAAACAGATCCAACATCGGTCTGTGCCGATACACCAATACATCTAGACGATTGTCCCCAACCATGTCAGCGGAAGAACACGATGCGTCAACACCCGATAGTTGTGCACAACTTCGATACATAGAGTTATACGCCGGTAAGACCCAGATTGTCAGTATAAACAAACACCTTAACCAAGCAGTTAAATCCAAGCGAAATCCCTGGTGCCTCCAAATCCTAGACCAGGAAGGGTAGATGAGTCCTAGGTCCTAAAGTCCGAGAAGTGGCTCACGTTTGCATGAGCCCGTCTCTGCATGAAGGACGGCTGCACACAAACCATACCGAGGAAGGATCAAACAACGATTCGATGAGTCGACACACTTTTAACTGTATATGCCGACATCATTGTTCCAGTTCGCTGCATTCTCAGCTTTGGTTACACTGTATGAGATGTCTGCGTATCGGCGTATTGTCGCCGTCTTGTCCCGATACAATTTGCGACATATTAGCCATTCGGTGATTCGCCGAAGTGATGAGCTGCATGCTGGATATGCTTGTGGCATTCTTCTAGATAGATCTACAATGCAGACAGAGTGCACTTGTTGATACCTCTCTCTCTCTCGCTCTCTCTCACCCACGTTTGCCTCCGCCTCCAGCACAGAGACGATGTTTTTGAGCCTGCCGACACCACAGATCACACAGACGCACATGCATGCTATGATCTCAACTCTCAGTGGTGGATGTCGGCGAGTCTCAGCTCCAAGCACTTGTTTGTCTCGCTTGCGATGGCCCTTGCACTCTAGGGCCTCCCATCCGCAGAAAGGGTCAGGTACGTAAGGAAAGACCCTGAACCCCACCTCGTACCACCACTCTACCTGCAGTTGCATGTCTGCTTCGTATAGGTCTGGCGGAACCTTGGCGCAGAAACTCGCCATGCACACGCAGTAGCCTGCGCACATCGACGCTTTATGTCTGGAGCAGCGGACTCTCTTTGCAAGCTCCCGCCACTTGTTTCGATTCATTGAGGCAGACCACCACCTATTGACCTTGGCTTTGATACCCGACAGACATGATGAGTGACTGTGAATGTCCAGGCTTCCGGCACACGTCCATTCCACCTCCTTCGCAGTGCCAAGAGGAAAGAATAGACAAGCTCAATGAAATACAGCACTGATTTGGATGGTACGCACAAAGCCGTGCGGAGGACCAGGAGTTGCAGAATCATACCAGGCCCCTTGCCCTCGAATCATCGATGCCACTCTTTCGAAGCTTGCGCCTAAGGACAGGTTTAGGTCGAGAGACCTTCACCGGCCATTTCGCACCTCTCGGCTCTCACTCAGCTGCTTAGCTCGAGTCAAGAGATGCCGCACGAAAACCTCTGGCTCGACGGGCATACCGTACTTGTCCTAGATCCAAGTTGACGACAGAAAGCACCAGGGCTACTGGGCTACTTAGAAAGCCCGGCTGCCTTGTAGGCAGACAAGCGCGGCATGAGGGACCCGTACCATCGTCGCATCAAACTTGCTGCAGTAGCAATCCACTCTTCATGCTGCTCTCACATTGCACGATCCGAGGCAGCGACATCTTGTAACCCCGATGTGGCATCCATTTTTGGACCTGTGGCTGTGCTCACCCCTCATGTGAAGCCTTCGAGCGTAGAGTTACCGGCCCACAGAAACAAACTCAGATCTGTGCTTTAGTCCAGGGGATGTTCTTCGTCGGGAGCAGGCCTCAGAAATCAAGAGCACCACTGATTCCATGCAGCACCTACTAGCGGCTAGGTGCCATCCTTCTGGCATGTGCAAGAAGCTGAGAAGGGATCTTTGGGTTGCTTGGCAGATGGCCATGCGCAGCCTCCAATCCTCACCGCGGAGTTTCGTCCGGAACCCAGCCGGGCCGGGAGGAGCCCGAAGTCCCCAAAACGACTCGTCCTCGGCCTGTGTGAACTTGCCCTTCACTTTGTGACCACCGGACAACTCGCGCCACTTGTCACGCACCGTATTCGGGTTTACCTTGGCAGAGATCGACCCTTCCGGGGCGGATGAAAACTGAACTGCGGCATCTTGGGCGAGGACCGCAATAAGGTTCGAGATGTGGACCCAACTGCCAGTCGATGCACAAGCATTTTCTTCGCACTTCTGTCGGAAACGACCACTGTACTCACACGCGCAACTGACACGGAATGCCTCGGCTTCGCAGCTGAACAAGCCTTCGGGACCAACGAACACCAAGAGCAACTCCAATGAAGACAACATGTTTCTGGTCGTCGCAACAGGAGCTTCATGGAGGACTTGCGACACTCACCTGGAATGACAACTCTTCCTTCTGAATCTGCAAGCCTCGTCAATCAAGATCTGCAATTCCAGTTGCGACCACCTTCTCCAGTCGCAGCAGGTCTTCATGATTCGTTAAGGGTTGGTAGCATAAAAGCTTGCCTGTGCGGCCCCCAGAGGATCCTGCACGAAAACTCCCAGCCAGGGCACCACCTGCATGGCCTAAGCCGGTCCGGCCGGTCCTCTTCGCCCGTTGCACGATGGCCCAGGTCTGACGACGATTCGCAGAAGCTGACAAGGCCTGCGTGCACACCTCCAAGCTCGCGACCCTGCGTCGAGGAAGATCAGCAAAGAACGCTATGCGTCCCCAGGCGCCGCCTTGTACGCGTGCGGGCACACCCACTTTGGACTGCCCTTTGTGCCTGCAGGAAATCTTGGCAAGCTTAGCGGAGAGCTTCTCTTCTCCTTGTGCAACGTTTCGCACCTGTGCAGCAAATCTGTGGAAAGCTAGAACTTAACATGCAATTTTGCCTCCCATTCAGCCGGAGTTCAGCACATCTCAGCCCACCACGCAGCGGCATAGTCCAGCCCTTCCTCTTCACAATAAGCTCGAATCCTCAGTTATCCGACACAAGCACAACGATGCAGCGCGTGAAGAATACGTCCGGACATAGTTTGCCGCACACTTCTGACGTGACGGTGTTGTAGTTTGGAAGACGTGAAGCTTTCCACGAAAGACAAATAAGCGCCCGTCGCCTTGCGGATTTTTTCGTTCTCCGCAGCGCTAAACGGAACGTTGCGCACCTGTCGCAAATCCGACAAAAGGTTGCCGCGTCAAATCATGCAAGGCACGAACCATGATGTCGAAAGTCAACACCATTCTAGTTCAACGTCGAACTTCAAGGGTCAAGGACCACCGCACTCCGAAGCTGCACGGATGAGGAGTGCACTTGAGGCCTTTGACCCGTTGTATTCCTCCGACGGTTTCCATTCACGCCGGTTCCTGGCAAATCGTTGTCAGAAACCTACGATAATCCCTATTGCAACTCACCTTGTGCTGAGGGCCCTGCAAGACCTTCTCGCTCCAGTCTTTCTTCTTCGATTTCGGGTCAACGGGATCCCGGGCCAATTTTCTCTTCGCCTAAATCAAAAAAGTTCGTAATTGAAGCTTGGTGTCGGTTCTACGATTCCAAGATCGCCACGCGCCGCTTGAAGGTCTTTTTCTCCATGCCCAAGCGCAAATGCACAATCCATGCGATTGCTTACATGATCTTCTCGTGAATGATTCCTCACATCGCCGGACTCAGCAAAGCTATCCGAAGGCATGGCTTGGGTTTTAAAAGATCAAACGCAATACTGTCAGAGTGACGATGCGTCGTCGACATGAAACGCAACATCCCGGGCAGTCAGCTGAGAAGCATGAATTATTGCAACTTCGGAAATTGGTGCCAACAACAAACACAACGACAGAAAGATCCATACCAAAACACAACACAATGGGGGAACGATCTGCTGCCCCTGCTCGAGATGCCATTGCTTCTCCATAGTTGCTTGCGCAATACACCGTTGCGACCACTACGTGCAAAACGGGTGTTGGATGCAATCACAGGCCATTCACCACAAGACGTCAAACAGCTGGTCCCAAATCCGTGAAAGCAACAGAGCAACACATCTGACAAAAGTCATAGTCACAGTGTGGAAAGCTTTTCGGCGGTGCCATCATCAGCATTTTATTGGAAACAAAGCTCTGCCAAAACCATTCCGAAACCAATCTAAAACTTTCCTTTGGCGTTATTCGGCCTCAATGCTTCATCGAAGAAGCCAAAACAGCAAGAACAATGCAACACTGCAACACTCCCACAAAAAATCTGTGAACTGGAAACAGCAGCGTTCAGGGCTTTAGACCAAAGGTGACTAGCCGATTCAATTAATGTCAATCTCCGACTATAAGGAAATACTGTCTGATTTCATGCTGCCGCTTGACGACGAAAAGCAAAACAATATTCAATAATTGTTTGAACTGATGTTTTGGGGCTTGATCCGGCGGCGGCTGCCGCATCCGGTTCTGGTAGAAAACAAGAAAGCGTGAGCAATCACCAAACAAAAGTGAAACAGGACGAAGCAGTGTGCAAGTGGGCCATAGCCATACAACATTATACAACTGTACAACTTAAGCCACGCACTTGCCCTGCAACCGAAAACCGGCAAAGCATGTCAAGCATTGCCAGAAGTAAGAGCCGCTATCAAGTGCCATTGGCGATATGCTGTCACTGTTAGCGCAGAATGGGCAGGTTCTTATTCACTGGTGGCCACTGAAAGTTCCAATCGCTCGCCCAGACTCGTTCACTGACTGCAGCCGTGCGACAGCCTTTTGGCTTCTCGTCCACAGGTAAAAAACAAAGACACAGTAGAAAGACAAAATTCAAACTTGTCACTTCTCTTGCAACACAAAGTCTTTGTCAATGTTCTCACTTCATTGCGTTTTTTTCCAAGAGAGTACTGGAAAAGCACTATCAAACCAAACTAAGAATCAAAAGCTGCCACACGCTAGCCACAGAGTAACGGCTCTACATAGTTTCTCTTCGGTCGCTGAGGGCTGTAGTTCGACTCAAGCGCGAAGCTTGCGTTGCTGGTTCCATCCCATTTTTCACTTGACCGCTAAATTGCTACTGGCAGATGGACTTTCTTTTTGAATAGTCTGGATGGACTTTTCTACTTCAGTGCTGCCGGCAGCGAACTGAACGGTTGCCAGAAACCTGCTTGCTTGTCGTCTTGTGGCCATTCGTCGTCCAAATTCAATCATTTCCAAGATTTGTGACCGCGGATTTGGATTTTGTGATGCAAGTCTTTTTGAGTTCTTTGAGTAGATGCAAGATGGTCGCAATAGTTGCAGATGTTCAAGCCAGATTAACAGCTGCAGTGCTCTGTTCAAAGAATAAGACTGGTTTGCTACTCCATTGCATAATGCAGTTCAAACATTCTTTTTCAGTTTCAGTTTTTTGGCATCAAGAATTCTGCAGCAGCCATACAGTCATGTATTCATGCAGAATGACGGCAGTGCATGGTTTTATCTGGTAATCATCGTTGGGTTCTTGATGCGATGGGTGGAGATTGGTGTGGAATCTGGTGGAATGGAAGGATCGGTAGTGTTGGAATCATCGGACGGATTCTGACCAGTTTCGCTGATGATTCCTTTCTGCCAGATGCAATGCATCTTATCATAACGTCTCGTTTGAAGTGGCTCAGCTTGTCACTCCACATGTCACGCCTTCCAGAAGCCGTCTACACAAAGCCCACCAATGCGGTTCAGAAAACTATCCAGAGCCAAAATGAATGTTATTGAACTCCTGCACTTCGGACGCTTAAAAAACCGTTATAACCTGGGTTTAAACCTGTTTTTGTTGGCTTGACTGGGCCTCGTCGACTACGGCTGTAGCACTCGGTCCCTACAAACAAGCAAAGCAACAAACTAACTAAACTACAACAAAGCGGTGAAACAGAAAAGCGAAGCTCTACAAAGGGCTGCGGCGCACAGGCTTTACCTGTGTTGGCCGTTCAGCGCAAACTACGGAGCCTCAGCGACCGGTCCGGAGCAACAAAGAGCCGTCGCTCTGAGCTGCCCAAAACAACAGGTGGAGCCAAGACCAGGCTCCGGCAGCCGTTCTAGTCTCGCCAGACAACGGACAGCCCCTGTGTTTTGTTCCGTCGCGATCGTGCACACCAAAATCCAAAAGTCCAATGCCCACTGCATGCGTGAGCGGCTTCCAGACAGGAGCGCGATGGCCAGTGTCGCAAGACAGCAACTCATTACCAGCCGGCGATTCTTCACACATCCAAGGACAAAACCAAACGTTCCTCGGCGTGCAAAGCGCAAGGGCGTCGCGGACACCGGTGCCCAGCGACAACAAGTCGCCCGTCACAGCACGCAGGTGGCCGGGCGAGTGATGCAGACCGTGGGGAGCAAAATGTTGTGCGTCGAACCCCGAGCAGCGTAAGCCAGGGGTCCGCCACGAGGCAAACAGTGACCAAGGTCACCCTTTTCGAGAGTGCACACCGGACCTGGAGAGACTCGAGTGGAAGGTAATGCACAGAGTAGGAGTGGCATGGAGGGTGAAAAGAACCTAAACGACGTATGTCGTCGGTTGCAGCGCCTTCCACGGGGAAAAGCGACTTCAGCCAGAAATGACCCGACTTGCCTCAAAAGGTCCGACACAACCCGGCCACCCAATCCAATTGCTAAGTGCACTGGCAACCAATCCTGCACCTGCGGTGTCGATGGAGCATTGTGGCGCGACGCAACCACAGAGCAGCGCAAGCCAGGGCCCCCCCCTCCCCGAAGGCAAACCGGTGACCATGAACATCCATTTGGAGCGTGCACACCAGACCCAGACTAGACTCAAGTGATGGTGCATAGCGTCAGAGCAGGGGTGGCATGGAGGGTGGAAAGAACCTCAACGACGTATGTCGTCGGTTGCAAGACTTCCATGAGGAAAGCGACCCCAGCCAAGAAGAAGCGACTTGCCTCGAGAGGTCCGTCACAACCAGGCCACCCAAGTCCAATTGCCTGGTGCACTGGCAACCGAGCCTGCACTATCGGGGTCCGATTCGGCATGGCGGCAAAGGCCCGCCCGCCCACTCAGTCGAGCCCGGCCTCGACGAAGGCCATGTAGCCCGTGCGGAGAGCACAAGGGAAGTAACGACACAACGACGTGTGTCGTCAGTCCCACGGTCGGCAAGTGAAAGTGGAGGTCACCGAGAGGAGCCAGCCGCCGCACCGCGCGGCCAGCTGTCGAGCAGGCGTTGCATGTCACGACCACTCGAAGGAAAGTGACTCTCCTTTAAGAGATAGAGCATCTGGTAGTTTTTCTCATTGTAGATTTCCTTCACCCTTGTATATGTATACTGATGATTGTCATGGTCGTCGCCATGAAGATGTGGCATCAAATCGGTGGAGATACAAGGGAATTGGAGGCCAGGTCCGAGGCCCCCGTCCCTGACAAACTCCTCCGCCGCAGCCTTCCAGCGTTCCTGCGCCCAGGGATGCCCCAGCCTGAACCAGGGGCGCTCACCACCCGGCAGCTCCTGCGCCTGGCTCTCCTCTCGGGCGACCAACCGATGAAGGAGGACCATCGCTTTGGCTTCAACTGCGTCGAAATGCGCAAAGCGCCACAAGCGGGTGGGAAAGTAGAACTGCTTCTTTTGCGGCCCGCGTATCCAATAGGCCGCCACGACCGCTCGGAGATCCCAGCCCTCGGAAGTGGCCGCAGCTCGAAGACGCCACAGGGCGCTATTCAGCAGGCCCGCGGCCTGAATCGAGAGAGAAGGCTGTGCCTGTAAACCCAGTGAGATGTCCGCAAGCGGGAAGAGCAGGCGAAAAGTGCCCCTATATGTGCCCGGATACGTGAACATTCGCGGATCAAACTCGCCGCGTCTGGCCGGAAGGATTCCACTCTCGAAGCCCGCCATCAGTCGGTCAGCAATGGTAATCTGAGGTCGGCCCACCAGGGCAGCCGGAACCTTGCATGTGACTCGCACCTCAATGTGCTGACCGTCACGAGTTGGAGTAACGTTGGTGAGCTGCAGAAGTGGAGCGGCCGTAGGGTCGTCAGCTAATGCCCGTGTAAGATAGAGCAGCAGCTGTACTGGCAGCAACACACCACAGTGCAGCAGTGGGGTTCCCTGTGTCGCGTCAACACTCGTGCCGCCTCCCCCAGTAGTGCGCCGTTGGCTGGAACCGGCGCCGCGTCGGCTGCCTGTTTGCACAGGCTCTCGCATGGCGGTGGGGTCTCGCTTAGGGGCCAAGGACATTTGCACCAAGCTGCCGTCCGGACTGGAGACTTCCGTCCTGCCAAGCCACGGGGGAGCGACCCCTTGAGTCCTGCAAGCTCATCGAGAATGCTCCTTTCCGGGGAGCCGGGCCCGGCGTCGACCGCTTCGCAAGCGGACCGCGCCTCAAGCCCTCAGAAGCTGCCTCAGGCACGGCACCATCGTTGGCCTCCTCGGCAGCCGAGCCCTCGTCGGCCAAGTCCTGACTCACATAAACAGTCCAGGGGTGCTCGCCTTCCCGCGGCGCAAGCGGGCGGATATAGATGGCCATAGACCCCTGCGCAACTGCATCGGGTTCGACACAGGTGACCGCGAGGTTCATGAAGATGCCTCGTCTTGCAAGGGTATCAGCGACCGCACAGGAAACTTCTTGGGAGACCATACGGTGGTACATGTCAGTTGC